TGACAATGGTGGTGGATTCAATATCGATTTCAGTAGTAACGTCCACGATAGTTGTTGGTTGGACCGATATCTCGGTGGTTGTGTCGGTGATATAGACTGTGTCGGTTGTAGTGACTGTCACATATTCTGTTGACACCGACCACGCAGTAGAGTAGACGGTAGCACAGGAGCTCGACCCCCAACCGCTGTCTCCGCCGTTCCCAGCCTGAGTCAGGGTGACAAGAAGAGTGGCGGCAAGGCCGGCAAGCTTCAGCCTCATCATACCCATCTTGAAGTTGAACGAATGTACAACGAGTGACTGAATAGCGATTGTGGGGTGGAAGTAGTATCTGAGGATAGAGAGATGAGAAGAAATCTGGGAGGTTGATCCATACCATGTCTGATATATGAGGTTTGCAGGTCCTGTCCTGTTCCTATTCACTCGCGCGTCATAACTACCACAATCAGCGGTGTCTCAACGGAAGCGATGTTACCTAGTACCGCCAGGTCAATGGCTTGCGTATCGGGCCAGGTCGAGCGGGCCAGCTTTGGGCCGTGCTGGTGCACGTGTACAAAGGACAGTGAACTATTTTCACCACCCCAGCCGCGATCATTGCTTTGAGGACGCCACTGACCGTAGGAGGGGATGCAAACCTGCTTGGCGCTGCGAATAGCAAGGAGCTTGGACCTCTGATTGCCGCCAATCGATAAATGTCCAGGATTCTGGAGGAAGCCACAGTCTTCACGCCTCGGCGTCCCAGGTCCGCCGAATGAAGAGTATGGCTAGGGCCGGGGGATTAGGCAGAGGCTATCGAGCCCACGGATAGGTTCCCCACCAGGTCTTTCATGTTCCTTGCTAAGCTCGAAGGACGAGAGAAGATTTGGGGCGCATTTCGACTCGTTGCTCAATTGTTCGGGCGCAGGAGCGCACGCGGCTGTGAGTTGTGAACCTAGAAACGGGATGCAAGATGTGATTCCCCATTACAACGGACATATTTACCAATCGATCGAAGCACTAAACTCAGTTGTGTCTTTGTGAGACGGAGAAATGCCGAAGAGGGGAGCCCTGACAGCTTGTGAAGATGGCTCGAAGAATCGATCCACTTGGAGGGTCGAGCAGGTGGTTGGGATGAGGCTGAGAATTCCCAGTACAGTATGGATGCGGAGAAAAACCAGGCCTGTCATGCCGGTGGTGTGGGAAGGAAGCGGGACCTTTCTCAGAGACATTTTGGGCATTGGAAGGGTCGGCTAGGTATGCTTCGAGTAGAGCTGTCAATGCTCCAGACCCATGCAGCATGCAAGCCTCTCACGTTGTTAGTGGAGAGAAATGGCCCGTCTCTTTCTGTACTCGTCCAGCTGCAGCGAAAGGCGAGGTGCGAGCTTCGTGTGGTGAGTCGTGACGATAGGGCGCATGGGTAGCGTCACACTTCCCGTCCCAGAACAGCGTCTGGACTCATGGGCAAGGTGGACAATGTGGACAATGTGGACGTGGACGGAGTCATCCTTCACAGAATCCTGCGCGCTTCGTCGACTTTCGCATCGAGGTCGAAAGGATGCCGGCAAGATTGAAGTTGTCAGCCTGATGATGGTCAAGGTTCGGGGGAAACGGCAACGGTGAGAATTGTTGATGAAGCTACCGAGTTGCAGTGGAGGCTCGCGACGGTGAGGTAGCAGGTGGCCGCAGAACAGTGAACACAGGCAAGTAGCGGGGGCCATAGCAGTGGCTTGGTGCAAGTTGATGGATACCCTCGCCCGAAGAGCCCACTAAAAATACGAGGCCACCCACCTAAAAGCAACTAAGCACCTAACATGCGTCTCAGCTCCGGGCCCCAGCGGGTGCCCCGACCCCAAGATCGGCAAGTCATGGCACGTGAAGCTTGATAGCAAATGATGGGGCTTGAATTCTGCACAGTTGGCAGCTTATTTGTCGCCGCCCTGCGCCGTCCCGTGCGGAGCTCCAACACTATTCGCAGCCTAGACCGGCACTGAACAGCGCACGCCAACCTCAGCTGGAACTTGAACTTCGCCATCAAACCATCCTTGAACCACATGCCAAAGTGGATGCTACCCACGGACCGAAAAGAGAACCCATCACCTCATCCTGTCGGTGCGCCGCTCTCCCAGTTCCTTGTCAGCAAAGGATTGCTCGCTCGATTCCTGGTGTCTCACAAGGGAAGGCTGGGAAAGAAAAAGGGAAAAGGTGACTTGCTTGATGGCGCACAAAGAATGAACGACAGAGTACCAGGTAACACTACCTAGTAGGAGTGCCGGTTGCATCCTTCAGTTGATGCACATCTTCTGACTTGCGATGAGGCTGAGTTCTACAAGCCGGCATATCCTACGATTCCACCACCCTACCATTTCTTAACGGCTGTTGTCTTTGTCATGGGATTACAGTCCGGAGCAGATTCCTATTTACTTTACCAAGCCGTGGGGGCTATGTTTTTACTCGTCTCAGTTAAAGCTATCTTTTTCTGGTCAACGGAGTCGACTCCAGTCACAGGTCGACTGAGCGGCTTAGCTTGCTCCAGCCTTTCTTTTCTGCCCGCTCTTTCGCGGCCTCAGGCTCAGTGCATGCAGTGAGCATCCCTGCTTGCTCACAGAAATCCCTGCAATGTTTTGCACCCTTCCTCCATCAGGCAGGCTCATTCTTGCGCCCGACTTCCCGTCTCTGTCTCCATTCTCTTTCTTTCTCCTGGGTGCGGGGCAATCGCTTGTTCTGCTCGCCATGACACCCAGCACCAATGCACGCAGACCGGCAGACTCACCCAACCACGGGCTGCATCATCGCTATTCCGGGATAGTTATGGAGGGCTTCTCGACAAGTCTTTCAGCGGCAGAAAAGAGCCCGAATACACTGGCTCGCCGATAACCTTCGCCACAACCTAGACTCTTCTAGCCGACATACTATTGCCGCAGGGACCACAGTCATCTGAGCCGTCGAGCCGATCAAGTCCTGTAGTGGTGGGAGGCTTTGACTCGCACCTCAGCTTCCTTGAAGCTGATGGAAGGCCGTATCTATAGCACGAGGGACGACCTGAGCCTCGTCGTTTGATTCTGAATTCTACCCTTCGAGATTTGTTTCACGTCCATAGCGCAATCATGTTTAGCATACTACAATGCAGCGCATGGGTATTTACCCTCTTTAGCCTTGTTCTATGCGACCATAACTCCAGCAACATCGGTCTCTGGGACAGGCCGAGAGCTGCCTTGATCAGAGACCATGTGTATCTCGAAGGTGGTTATATGCAAACTGGAGTCTGGAGCAATGGGGCGTGGAAATCTCTTGCGTCCGCCACCTCCTCCGAGGGCTTTCTGTACAAACTCAGTATGCATGATGCGTTTGATACCACCAAAGCCAACCCTGCATTATTCCAGTCTATCAATGAGGGACCCATCTCCAACTACTACCTCGACGGATATATGTTCGCCGACTATGACGAGTTTTATGCTTACGGGTATTTTTCCCACATCCTGCCTTACTGTGAAGTGATGTTGACACTTTTCTCTCAAGGGGCATGTTCTACAGTTCCGAGGACACTACAACAGACCGCACAGTGAACGACCCTCTGTACGATATCGCGCCGGACTCGAACATCCAGGCAGGTGTGCCAAATATTGCCTACTCCCCCGATAGTGGAAGTTTCATCCAAGACATAACAAACGGCGCCGGCGCCAATGCTCCGAGTGAGAACCTCAGCTTCTACTTCAGCGGCCTGTATAACGAAAATGGTACGGCCTTCTCCTATTTCAACCCGCCAACGGACTACTCTCCGTACCTCATCAAGGTCGACACTACCAACCAAGGGCACGCGCAATGGACGCGATCACTCTTGACAGATAGCAACATCACACTGCGATCCGAGGGTGCTCTTGTCTGGATTCCTGCTTCAACGCAAGGACTCCTGATTGCCATTGGAGGTGTCGTTTATCCTTCAGATTTGCACTTTTACGAAAGCACAGACAACGCAACGGACGTCGCGTTGGCAAAGACCTTTGTAACCGAATTTCCTGTATACGATATCGGTTCTGGTCAATGGAGTATACAGTCGCTTAGTCCAGAATCCGAAATACCCCCAAACCTGGCACAATTCTGCACCGTGGTCGCCTCCAGCGCGGACTATTCTCACCACGAGATCTTTGTCTACGGAGGATGGGATAGCGACGGGAATGCCTCGTATTCTGACGTGTGGATTTTGAGCGTGCCTTCCTTCACCTGGATCAATACACACGCTCCTGGAGACCCCAGACAAGGCCATGTCTGCATATCTCCATACCCTGACCAAATGATTGTTATTGGTGGGACGGGAACTTATGGAGCTGGGCTGCAAAGCAACAACAGTGTCGACGTCTTCAATCTGAACGACCTCAGCTGGACAGGCAAATACGATCCCACTGTTTATGATGATTACAAGCCTCCTGCGACTGTGATGAGTGTCATCTCTGCAACCCCGACGCCCAGCGGCATGTCCTCCCAGGTTTTCGGCTGGTTCAACCAAACTTATGAGAACAAGAACATGATTAAAACCTGGGGCCCTTACAGTACAACTACCAGCAGCGCACCCGCAAATACAGCCACGCACACTCAAACCTCGACACCACATCATCACAAAGACTGGGTGGTCCCAGTTGCTGTCACTGTTCCCGTTGTGGTTGGTGTTGCCTTCTTTGCCGGCCTTATCTTCTTGTGCTGTTGGAGGGCACGAAAAGACCGCCAACAAACGCAAGACACCTCTGAAGCCAACAACAGGAAGAGTCCTGTCTGGTCCTGGCTGCGGTCGACCTCTTCAGCCGCAGCTGGCAAAGACATTGGAACCGAGTCTTCAATCACTGAGGTGGAACATCCCCACTCTCCACCCCCAATGGCACAGACGTCTCCTCATGAACTCCCAGGATACTTTGGCATGAGTGGCACGGGGAGTAACCCAGAGCGCTGGTCGTCATCTACACCTGTACGATCACCAAGAGCTGAATACGATGGTCCAGTCGAAGGCCCAAACACCGAGGTGCATGAAGTTCACGGTTCTTCTCGGATTACACGTCCAGATGACATCTACTATGATATTCGTAACATGCCCATGTACCCGCCTAGTGTCGTCAGCGGTGGCCAACATAGGGCAACAGACAGCTCTTCATTCTCGCCAGCAGGCGAGTCCAACGCTCCTGCATCACCGAACACAACGTCAGTGGGCGTCGCAAGCTCTTCTTTTGCGGCAATTCCTGAGGGTGAAATGGCGCTCGGGGACGGGCACACCTCACCTTTTGACAGGGCAATTTCACCAATTGATCACCGGCGAGACCCGAGGCCGCCTGCGCATGGTCGCCAGCCCTCGGATGTCAGCAGTGCTCCATCGCTGCCATCGCCAGGCGGTGAGGATCAATCCGCTCTACCAAACAGGCCGAGAGCTTCACGAAGCGTCTCCGGAGATGATGTCGAAATCGAGGAGCCAGGGAATCGTACGATATAACACGGTGTCTGTGTCGCAAGTACAGTTGCAAGAAATTCCATTTCTTCGCAATCCTTTACTCTTCAGTCTCGCGAGGGTTGCGTGAACATTTTCTTACGTGTTTTCATGATTGGATGACACACAGGTATGAGGGCAACTGAGTCCATGATGTAACAAGGAGGTAATGGTTATATTTTCGTAGGCTGGTGGGCTCGAAGCTCAGATACAAAAGTTCATAGAGCAATCGAGTCTCGCCCAATGGTCACGGACGTAATAATTGTCCATAAAATATCTGGTATCGTCTGTTTTCGCAAAGCATCGTTTGGTGAGCATCGTTTGGTGAGCATCGTTTGGTGAGCATCGTTTGGTGGACATCCAGGGCGACGTCAATGCTGCGCCGAGCTGCTTCGCATTTGGCCTGGTTAGGCCGATATACCTTTTCTAAAACCCTGTTCCTCTGGTCCCTATCGAGTATGTTCGTTTTCTGACCCTAGCTACAACATGGTACATCGCCTCATGAGCAAGTCGTGAAGTCTCATGTCGCAAGTAGATTTCACTCAGTAGCTAACACGGTGTCGGTCCAAGGGTCAGGCAAGGCTGCAACCCTTTCGATGAGGCTGAGATGTGGACTCGGCTTGCTTGCCGCTTTTGTCGCAACTTGGACTGCATCATCGCGAGCTCGGTGCATACTGTGCTGCTCGGAACCAGAATATCCTGCAGTGACTGCACACAAACCACGCCAACATCATGGCCGACGAGGACCGTCCGCCCAAAGAGGGCATACAAAGCGGCCTCCCTCTAGACCCATCCTCGTTCGATGCTGATCCCCGCGTCTCTTGGTCGAAACTCGACAACAAATTCATCCTCGAAACCGAAGAGGGCAATGAGTTCGAATGGGACACTGCTCTGAAAAGATGGATTCCAGTGGTAGGCAAAAATTCGCAACATGAGAACCTCCGAGAAATTATCGCGCCCTCCATGATTTTCACAACATTCTTGCACTACGGTGTGAGGAACAGATTCTAACCTGCTCCCATGTTTGTTGTCTTCGTTGTAGCTGGACCAGTCATTGTTGGACCAACAAGGCGAAATCTACAAGGTTGCAGGTGTCGACGAGGATGCGACAACAACATCACAGAAGAAGAAACGGAAACAGTCAAACGGCGATGAGGTACGTGAGGCCCTGAGGTATCATAAACAATGCTGATCGCGTCTCCTTCAGTCAGGCAACAAGTCCAAGAAACCTCGAGTCAACACCGCTGTTTACGTGACCTCAATACCCCTCGATGCCGACCAGGAAGAGATCCAACATGTCTTTTCCAAGTGTGGTGTCATTGCAGAAGAGATCGACTCCGGCAAGCCACGAATCAAAATGTACGAGGATGACAAGGGACAATTCAAAGGCGACGCGCTTGTGGTCTATTTCAGACCCGAATCAGTCAATCTCGCGGTTCAAATGCTTGATGATACAGATTTTCGGTTGGGGACAGAAGGTCCAATGGGCAGGATGAGAGTTCAGGCAGCGGACTTCTCGTACAAGAGTCAACAGGATGTTCCGGCGAAAACAAGCAAGAGGGAACAAAAGAAGGTTATCCAAAGAACGGAGAAAATGAAGGCGTACGCTCAACCGACTCGTTTATGGACTTGAGGCTGATTGGCGTGCAGCAAACTCATGGACTGGGACGACGACGATCCGCAAGCCCTGCTGGATACGAGCTCGAGGTGGGACAAAGTCGTTATACTGAAGCATATGTTCTCACTTCAAGAGCTGGAGGTAGGCGGATCTTGCAGCACCACGAGTGATGCAGGGCTGACAGAAATCAGGAAGATCCAGCGGCGATGCTCGAAATCAAAGAAGACATCCGCGAAGAATGCGCGAAGCTCGGAGAGGTCACAAATGTTGTCCTCTTCGACAAGGAAGCAGAGGGCGTTGCAAGCGTGCGCTTCTCCAACGCGCAGGCTGCGGCTGCTTGTGTCAGAGTATGTCGTGCTAGTCCCCTTTCAACGTTACTGCTAACGCTGGGGGCAGCTCATGAATGGAAGATGGTTCGATGAAAGACAACTGGAGGCGTACATCGCAACCGGTCGCGAGAAGTTCAAGAAATCGAGCGACAAGAAGGTCAGCTTCGACGATGAGGACGATGACGAAGAAGAAGCAGAAGAAGGTGGCAGGTTGGACAAGTTTGGCTCATGGCTGGAACAAGAAAAATGACCGCAACTACAATGTGGCCGTCGATCCCTGGCTCAAAGCTGGTTTTCCACCGAACAAGAACAATCCTCTGCGTGGGAGGATTGCGGATAAAATCCCCCACCCGAGTCTAGAACTTTGATCTGGAGATTGCCACGATTGTTGTACTTGTAGGAATCAATACTATTAATTGGAGCAAAGGGGACCGCCTCTGCAACCTCGACTCAACACTCTTCACGCCCTGAAGGACCTCTTGGTGTGGTCGGCACCCTGCCTACCCCTGCCTCTCCTGTTCCTCACAGTGTTGTCCTCGGAGGGCTGGTTACCTTCATCTTCTTCCGACTCCCCTTCTTCGAGGATAGTATAGAGTGGCCTGCGCGGGAAGTCCTGCTCGCGACCTCTATCTTTCTTGGTCTGGTCGTCCGCCCCGCGGTCTTGATTCCCATCTGTCGGTCGGTCTTGCCCTCCCTCTATCTGTCAGTCTTGTCCACCCTCTGTCTGTCAGTCTTGTGTAGGGTTGTTTTCACTAGGCTGGTTTTGGGTAGGCTGTTTGTTTTTGAAGGCGTCGATTTTCGGAAGCGGAGCATCCTCTCCTTTCTCGAGACTTGAAATGTACTTGTTCCACGCGCGGCGGTCGGAATACCACTTTCGAAAGCTCGAGTACGCCTTCCTGTGGGGCTTGGCCAGAATCACAAGTATCTGTTCACGGCACACACCCTTGTTCAGGAGCTCAGTCGCATAGGTATCCAGCAAGTCCCATTTTGCATCCTCCTTCGGCACACTCTTCACGCTCGCGTCCTTCAGGTGCTTTCCAAGTTTGGCAAGCTTCTTCATGGCCTCCTTTGGGCATTTCGGACGATCTGGCTTCGGGGTCGTGCCTCTGGATTTCTGGAGCGGTTCATCCGTGAACAGATTTCTCCAGTTTGTGAAAGCGGCCATCCAATCTTCTTGGTTGGAGTATTCGGCACGTTCTGGTTTTGAAGGCAGGCGGTTTTCCAGAGTTTCAGCACAAACGTTGAGGGCTGCGAAGAAATCTTTCCAGAGCACACGAGCTACCTCCCGATCTCTCCTGTTCTGCCATACCTTCTTTGTGGGCCAAGCAGGCAGATGTTGATTCAAGGCGTCTGTGCGCATGCCAAGTTTCTCGATCCTCGACTCGAAATCGATGGGTGAGAGACGCTTAGAGCATCCTTCGCCCGCTCTGTCCTTTGCACCGTGAAGGTGCAGTTCACTTTCCCCAAGTCTTTTCCTGAACCACTCTCTGCGCTGGTCATAGTCAGTTATCAAGTCGTCCAGCTTTTGCGGACTTTCCGGCTGAGCGTTGCCTTCTGTGCCCGGCTTCGGTGTCCAGATCCCGGGTTGGGACCCGGTGGTTGGCACGGTGCCCTGCTCTCCATAAGGCGGCCACCGCCCTTCTGGTTCCCATTCCCAGAAAGCTGTGGTACCAATTGCACGCCCAGTTCTGTCAACATCATAGACTCCAAAAGTGGCGAGATTCTGCATGTAGAAGGCGAATTGGTCATCCGTGGCTCTCCATAACTCACAGGTGTGGGCATTCATGTTGAACTCGGTTGTTTGTTGTTTGATCACCTTCAAGTAATGTCAGTGTGTCAATGTCTACGAAAGAGTTAACTGTAGTAATTGTCATAGGCAAGGTGTGTCGGAGGATTTGGAAATCCGCCTAGGAACACAAGCATGGCTTGCTACAAGCACCGCGACTGATGGGACTTAACGCCATGCCAGCAAGCCTTTGACAACCTGGAGGAGCGGATATTCACAGGAAATAGCGCTGGGAACAGAACAGGGAATAAACAGCCGACGTACCTCACGTTCGACAATGTTGCCCGCATTATCTCTAACTTCTTGGAGCTGCCACTCGAACGGCCGTGAGGTTAGAATGGTCGTCGGGTCTGAGGACTCGTAGATTATTCGTCGACGAACAGTTTCATATCCTCCATACTCTTGCTCATGTCCTTGCTCCCACGCGCCGCAACACAACTCGATGGTTGGCTCAAAGGTACAGTATACCATTTTAGTCGGCTTGTCAGCCCCGGGGTTGTTGCAAAAGTCACGGTGTTGTGCTACAGCTACAATGGCCTCTCGCGGGCAGCTATGCGTCGGTACAGGAACTGTGGGATCGAAAGTGCGGGTCATTTTGGCTGTGGCCTCTGAAGGACCGACCAAGACAGTTCCTTTACGCGTTGGTTTACGCGTTGGCAAGGCCTGGGTCGAGGTTTGTGACGAGGAAGGCGAGGAAGTATGCGAAGACGAGTGTGATGTAACCAGAGACAAGAACGAACTGCCTCGAAGTATATGCGTCACCGTTCCATGTACCTCGATCTCAAGCGTCCCTTTTTGCGTTAGAGTCTCCGTGAGGTAGGAGATAACTGCTGATCCCGATGTAGTTGCGGATGGACTGGAAGCGGTCATCGAAGATGATATTGAACTTGGGGTTACGCCCTTCGAAGTCGAAGGTGCCGGCCTTGGTGTCAATGACATTGAGGGAGCGTACGTTGGCCCGTTGGTGGTGGGAATGCTCGCTGAAGGCATTGCTGGAGATCCAGTTGTAAAACTGCCGACAGGACCGGCGCTAGGGATTACCAATGACCCCGTAGGAACGGGAACCGCAGAACCAAGGCTTTGTTCCCCAGGAACGGGAGCAGATAGCGCTGGCGTACCTGGAGAACCTGGAAATGGCATTGGAGAAGGTACCGGTGCAAGGGCGGGTCCCAATCCAGGAGGCACAGCACCCCCAACAACCCCAAGAGCTGCTGGAACTGCTGGCGCGCCTGGTACCCCCGGCACTCCCGGCACTCCTGGGAGTCCTGGGAGTCCTGGCACTGCTGGTACGGCCGGTGCTCCTGGGATAGGCACCGGCGCGATATAGTTCCCCCCACCGACACCCCGAACAGCGTCGCCAGCAGTGTCGACTACTTGACCAGCCAGATGAGCTCCACCGTTCACAATGTCACCAGCAACATCAGCCACGCCGCCAACGATATCTCCTACTGCACCAAATGGGTTTGGCAGGCCGAACCCACCGCCTGACGCTTGCCCACCGGCCTGGGCTGGCTGAGGGGCCGGTAGAGGATTTGCGGCTGGTTGAGGGCCGGTTAGAGGATAGGCGGCCGCCTGTGAAGCCGGTAGAGGATAGGCGGCTGGTTGAGGGCCGGATAGAGGATAGGTGGCCGCCTGTGAAGCCAGTAGAGGATTTGTGACTAGTTGAGGGGCCGATAGAGGATAGGCGGCCGCCTGTGAAGCCAGACCTGCTGGAGCTTGTGCAATGCGGGTCACTGTGACTGGCGGTTGGGTGACTGTCTGAGCCAGTAGTGACGTGTACAGGTTGGTGATGGTAGTTTCTGTCGTCAGTAATGAGGTGATAATAGTCGCTGCTTGTGCAAAGCAGAATGGATAGGTTGTGGAGACAGAGGCCAGCAGGACGCTGAAGATAATCAGAGTAAACCTCATGACGGCAACCTCAGCAAGAAGAAAGTCGTTAGGTTGTTTGGAGTTGAGGAGGTGTCAAGTCCCAAGTTCGAAGAAATGCTAGACAGTATCGCAATATCTCTGAAGTAGGGGCGCCGCAGCCTTTTTTATACTGACAAAGATCTCTGTCCATGATATAAACTTCGTTGGAAGCGCCAAAAAATCCACTCTTTTTCAACAAACAGAGACTTGATCTGATGACCCAGAGTTGCTCTATGCAAGATGGTCTTGCGTGAAATGAGAGAAAAGCAAAAGAACCCTGAAAGGTTCAGAGCCTTACCAAGAGAGACGGTGGCGCTTGCAAGGCGATCCATATGGAAGGCTGGACTGGCTTCCAGACAGCGTGGATAGCACAACGAACAAGAGCCTCGAGTATAGCGGGCTGGCAAGAGTTTAAATTTTGCATTCGACAGCGAGACATGTTAGCTCTGCAGAGAGGGGGTCGAAATGCTTCGCCGCCAGATCCTACCAGAGGTTACGCCATTCTGTCAACTCACGTCCATCTGTTGACCATACGACAAAGTCGAAACAAGAGATGAGGTAGAGGAACCTTCGGGATCACTGGGGACGAGGCAGATCAAGAGACGTGCGTGGATGTGGTTTGGCAGCAAGGCCAAGGGACCCTACCGAAGTTTATGTCGACCCTGAACAGCCCAGCCCGAGGATAGCCCGGCCTCCCACAAACTTGACAAGGCTGTCAGCCTCAGCCTGGTCCAGACGCTTGCTCAAAATCCTCGTTGCTCGTTGGGCCGGCCGCGAAAGTGATAATAGTTGACCCCAGGTTAAAGGAGTTACGCGCTTTGACAGAAGAAATGCAGCATGGCTCCTGCCAGCAGGGAGAGATGTGGGAGGAAGACGTATGGCCCTCGACCTGCAAGATTGGAGTCCAGATCCGTCGGTAAGGCCAGATAGAAGCAGCTCAAGATAGGACGAGCCATTGACTTGGGACCGGCTATGAAGCGGGGTTGTTGAGGAAAAAGGCAGAATGGGCGGCGCCAGTTTGCTCAAACGCTTGGGACTTGACAAGAGGAATATCAACGGAAGCGTGGAGGGTAACGCCGTGCGCCGTAATTACACAGACGCATAGAATTTCGAACAGTTGACATATTCGCGCAGGCTGGAAGGATAGCGAACCTTTTCTCACCCTCCGCTCTAAGTCCGTAAACACGTAGTAGACCATCAGCTAGAGACGCGTGGGACATTGTTAGGACACCGACTAAGGGAAAAGGGATGTCTTCCCGCCGACGGAATAAGAACGAGAATATATTGGTGTTCTGTGCGCTTGCGCTCTGACCATGTACAATTTGTGAACCATTGTTCCACCTCAAACGCCGCTGGTGCTGATCATTGGGTATCTAGTCGCTGATGGAAGTTGTATGGCATGACCATTTTCATTGGAGACCTTGTGCTTCATCCTCGCTCGAATTGGTCAGACTGAGGTAGGCTGTCCAGGCGATTCCCACTGTGCTCACAAATGGGATCTGGAATTGGAGGGGCATGACGCGGAAGTTGAGGATCTGCACGGCCGGCCAGAGGATATAGTTCGCCCTCAAGGTGGGCAGATAAATGTCCTTGAACTTGGTCGCAACCTCCTTCCTTCCACCTCCTTCGGCTACCGTCATGAATGTGAAGAAACAGCAAAGACCAACCGGTGCGAAGATCAGCTGATCCATGGCCACTCTCTTCAGCGCTGGAACTGTGCCACTTTTAGGGGTGATGGGGAACCATTTCGTGAGACGACCGAACCAAAGAAATTGAAGTGGTGCCATCAAGAACCCGTAGGACATGAATCGAGTCAAGCGTTCGAAGTCGAAAGGTGGAGGTCCGCTGCTTCGAGGAGGGAGACCAGGCGACAACCTTGCGGGCTTTTCGTTCAGGTCTTCGAGTTCGACGCCAGAGGAGATGAGGTATCTCGAATCAGTCGTGGTTGGCAGCATAGCCTGTCTCTTTCGGACAGCAGTTATTGATTGTGCCACCGTATCCGCGATGCCACCAAGAACCTGTTGCACGTTCAGCCATCACCCAACCGTTGTAGGTTTGTCCACGTACCGCATTCGTGATCATGGTGGTTAGCACAGGCTTCTGAGCATAATAGGAGTTGAATTTGGCGACGAGGCGGGCGGCCATTGCTAACTCGACGAGGAAAATGATAGTGTGTAATAATGGCTGTCGAAGAAGAGGTGAGTGTCAGCTTCAAGAACGGAAAAACAAAGCTGTCGATTCCGGATTCGAAGGAGGGTGACGTACGATTCTGCCATATATGTAAGTACTGTTCAACCACGCCAACGACTTCCGTCTCGAGGTTTCCAGCATCGTGACGAGGAGGAAGTTGGAGAGAAGGTGAGAACCGGAAGGAGATGAGAGGTGCTGGATATTTGTGGGAAGATGAGGTCAACGACGTGGAGCGAGGCAAGTCTGTGACGACAGGGTCCCAACTTAGGGCGCGGGCTACAGCGGGCAAAGTGTCGGGCTTTGGATTTGTCGCGATGGTGCTGAAAGAGCGAGGAACGCAGTAGCTAGGGGTTGTCTTGTGCTACTGCGAATCAAGAATTTGGCTATTGTCCGTCAAAGGTCGTAGATGTTGTGTGGAACATGTAAATGAAAGAGTGAGGTTGGTGGTTGACAGCGTGCAGGAAGGGGCCACAAGCCAGGCCTGGAGGGAAAAGGGCTCACCAGAGGCCAGGCTATGCCTAGTGGCTGGTAAGGCCTGGTGAGGCCTAGTGAGCCTCGATGTTTCGAGGGTCTCCAGGGTCTGCGAGACCGGGTCTCGAAAGTCCGCATGACCACTCCTCCGCGCCAGTCAGCATGGACATCCATCCATCCAGCTGATCCGATCAATACCCTGGGTTGGATAAGGGCAAGTGGTAAGAATGAGGGTCAAATAATAGCTATACAATTTCCTTGCGGTCACATATGCATATGTGTTTCTCTTTTGTCTACGAGGCACTCCGTGTAAACATCGACAACATGGTAACTAGCAGCAAATCCGTCAACAAAGTCCTCCTGGTCCCGCCAGGTTGCTGGCATGTGCAAGCTGCTTGCATTTGGCACCGTCCATACCGATCTGGACCTTTTTATCATGAGAGATTCGAATGATGCGAAGCAGCAAAAGCTTCAAACCCCATGCAGGGCCTTGCATAGTCATTCTAGGCGAGAACGTGCGATGAGTGAGATACCGCTTGCTAACAGAACCTACCTATGGGGACAACCCAGGTCGAGCAGCCTGTGACGTCGGCTTCCGATGCAGATGCGTGCCTGTATTTTTCACAATCACCCCACCAGTTCCGTTCTATTGAGCCCAACCCGGGTTGACCCCTCCGACAAGTCCCAATAAGTTCAACAGGTTGAGTCGGTTTCTGTTCACAGTTCCGTAGCTCAACCAGCTTTCTCTTTCCCTTTCTCTTATTTTCACATTGAGCAAAAGTTACATTTTTGTTGCAAGATTGTTATTCCGACCTATTCCAACATGTCTCTGTCTAACAAGCTCGCCATCACCGACATCGACCTCAAGGGCAAGCGCGTCTTGATCCGAGTATGTCTGGTTCACATTGCCGTCCTGTTCTTGCTGACCGTGTTCAGGTTGACTTCAACGTCCCGCTTGACGCCGACAAAAAGGTCACCAACAATCAGAGAATAGTTGGCGCTCTACCTACCATCAAATACGCCATCGACCATGGAGCCAAAGCCGTTATCCTCATGTCCCACCTCGGTCGCCCGGACGGGAAGAAGAATCCTAAATACAGCTTGAAGCCTGTCGTACCCGAGCTCGAGAAGCTTCTAGGCAAGAGTGTCATCTTTACCGATGACTGCGTTGGTCCTGAGGTAGAAGAGGTCGTCAACAAGGCCAGCGGTGGCCAAGTCATCTTGCTCGAAAACCTGCGCTTCCACATCGAGGAAGAAGGGAGCTCCAAGGACAAGGATGGCAACAAGGTCAAAGCCGACAAAACAGATGTTGCCAACTTCCGGAAGGGCCTGACCGCGTTGGGTGACGTGTACATCAACGACGCCTTCGGAACCGCTCACCGAGCTCACAGCTCCATGGTCGGAGTAGAGCTACCTGAGAAGGCATCCGGCTTCTTGATGAAGAAGGAACTCGACTATTTTGCTCAGGCCCTCGAAAACCCCAAGCGACCATTCCTTGCCATCCTCGGTGGTGCAAAGGTTTCGGACAAGATCCAGTTGATCGACAACTTGCTTGGCAAGGTCAACATCCTGATCATTTGCGGTGGTATGGCTTTCACGTTCAAAAAGACCCTCGAAGGTGTCAAGATCGGCAACAGCTTGTTCGACCAAGCCGGAAGTGAAAAATGCGCCGAGCTGGTGGAAAAGGCCAAGAAGAACAACGTCAAAATCGTCCTACCCTGCGACTATATCACTGCGGACAAATTCGACAAGGACGCCAACACGGGTACCGCGACTGATGCTGAAGGCATCCCTGATGGCTGGATGGGCCTCGACTGCGGCGAAAAGAGCATCGAACTGTATAAGGAAGCCATCGGTGAAGCGCAGACGATTCTTTGGAACGGGCCGCCGGGCGTTTTTGAATTCGACAAGTTCGCCAATGGCACAAAACAGACCTTGGATGCCTGCGTAGCAGCAGCCCAGGCTGGCAAGATTGTCATCATCGGTGGAGGTGACACAGCAACTGTCGCAGCAAAGTATGGCGTGGAGGACAAGTTGAGTCATGTGTCAACCGGCGGTGGTGCAAGCCTGGAATTGCTGGAGGGCAAAGATCTGCCCGGCGTGGTTGCCCTGTCTAGTAAGTAGTCTACATCCTCCATGATCGACGCGCGCACGATTGATTGGTATCGAAGCAAGCGGTACTGCGAGACCAAACCTCTGAGGGAAAAGCAAAGCAAGACAGTTCATTGTTGTATGATAGTTTTCTCCTCCCACGAACTGCTAGAAGGGAACATGCCGTATCTTTAACCATTGATGCCCTTTTCCATGATACCCAGACGCCATGCCATGCACTGCTCTCATGTGACAAGCCCTATTTGCTTGCTTCGACTTTCTTCAACTCCTCCCTGCGTGAAATGGTCAGTTTCATGGAGAATTGCAGCGGAGAGACATGTGATGTCGTCCGGGACATACTTCAGTTGCTTGCTGAAGTCTTCATTCTCGTCATCATCGTCCCAGCTCTCCTCCCAGAGATGTGTAGTCCCGCCGGGTACTTCTGCGTCTTCCTGCGACCAGTCTGTTCGGAAATGTGTCAACATAATCCCTTCGATCGCATCTTCTTTGCTCTACGCACCTTCAACCGGAAAATCCTCAAACTCGTCGTCTTCCTCGAGCATGGCTGGAGGCGGATTTGAAGCTGTCTTGGAGGCTTGGGCAGCATCGACTTCGGTTTTCTGAGTCGGCTGCATCTTCGTGGTTGGTGCGTTGGAGGAGCCGGAGGAGGACATCGTGAACAGGTGGGTGAACGCAGGCTGCGGGTCAAGTACGTAGTCCTGCGGCAAATAATAGCAGAGGCCAAAAACAGACAGAAGTCCCTTCTAAAATCGCGGTCAGAATGACAGCCGGCTCTTTCTCTCAGAAATACAACCGAGTGCGGCGCGACGAGGGAGCTTTCTCGGTACAGTAGGTAACGAATGAGGAACTGCGTGAGTTGCTGGTGGCTAGTGCCAGTGTGGTGTTGAAGATGGGATCTCTGAGCCTGCAATTCCTTAAGTCGTTGGTAGCCTGTGATTAGCCAGCTTGGTACCCCGTTGTGGGCTCGGATAGACAGGACGCTAGTGACTCAAACAAGCCTTGTAACAGGCACAACGAGGCACAAATGCAGCATGGCATGCGATGCCGCAGCACGGGCATAACACGCAAACTCCACAGATCCTGCCTGATGTTCGTCATCACGGCTCCTTCACAGGCAAACCGCTCAATTTACACCATCCCTTAACGAGTACATGCCGTTGGTACTCGGTACTTTTTGCAGCCAGCCAGCGGTGGTGGCGGGGGCCGGAACAAAATAAGCTCGATCCTCGTCCTTTGGCTGAAACCGACGTCTTCCCTTGATCCCCTTTTCCTCTTCTCTTGATTAGTTCGTATGTTCGAGGTAATATCTTGTTCTACATCTACCCGAAGTACTCAAGACCCTCCGATTTGATGTGTTAAGATACTGCTGTGTTCGATTTGCCCTGCTTTTTTTCCACCCCCGAAACCTTCGATTGAAGCAGACTCGGCCAGGCTTTACAGGTTCTTCGTCCTTATTCCGACCCTTCGACTTCAAGGATGCACAGAGTCGGACGATGGTTCGACCGCGGCCGTGCCTCGGTCAATGCTTCAACGCACAGCTTGGACTCTCTAGAGGAGTCTCAAAATCTAGAGACCGCCATGCGGGCTGTAGACCGAATCATGGATGACGATATCAAGGGTGCTGAAAGAGGCCTTGCCGAGGGCAACTCCTCATTTCACAAGCTTGCCAAAGGCACGCTGGCCTTCATGAAGGCTGCGTTGGGATTCGAGCAGGAATTCATGAAGGAGGCTTCGGAAACGCTCTACGAGGCCGAATCCAGTGCTTCAGCCAGTCACGCGAGGGCTCAGCACGACTCACGTGCTTTTCAATCCACCATCTATGAAAGAGGCTCAGAATTTGCACTGTGCCAGGCAGAGGCCCAGATCATGTCTGCCGTGGTTGCCGTGCTCAATGAGAGTCTGACCGAGTCTCTGCGAGGGTTCTATAAACTCCGCAAAGCATATATTACCCTTGACAGCCTCGTGCAAATGGAAATCAACTTTAACCGCACGCGGTCGAGCAGCAGTCTGTCAGCTTCCAGACATCAGTCCACTGACAGTTTGCACTCATCAGCCTCCGAATTGTCAGTCCGCTCGTCTTCAGGACGGCCAGAAGCCCATCCTCCGCTCCACCAAGTCCAACCTGCTCAACCGTCTGGCCTCAGGAATGCGGAAGCCGTTGATACTCCATCAGACAGTGCCTCTGACGATGAATTTCATGAAGCAGACGAGACCATTGCCGTTACAGACAGATACAACGGTCGCGTGGAGGTTGAAGTCGAGTCGGACCCTACGACGGAACTGGACCTGGAAATTGAGCAAATAAATATACGCTCCTCAGAAAGCGTGCTGAATCGATCGACAACGGCGACGATGGGATTGCTCACAGAAGGACCCGACTCGGAAGTTTTTAACAACTCGCTTGATGTTTTTATTCACTCGGGAACCAATCTCATGTCTGGCTTGCTGGCGCTTCTCATCTCCATCATCCCCCCAGCGTTCAGCAAACTTCTGTCAATCGTCGGATTTCGCGGTGATCGAGAACGAGGCATTCGGATGTTGTGGCAGGCTAGTAAGTTTCCCAACATCAACGGCGGGATGGCAAGCTTAATCTTATTTGGCTGGTATAATGGCCTGGTCGGGTTTTGCGATATCATTGCGGACGTGGATCCCTCGAAGCCAGACGATGTCGAAGCGTATCCTGCTAAGCGCTTGGAGATACTGCTGCTCGAGATGAGGAAGAGATATCCCAACAGCAATCTCTGGATCGTGGAGGAAGCAAGAACAGCGGCCTCTAAAAGGAACCTTGATCAAGCCTTGGCTATTCTTGCTACTCCTGGCAAGAGTCAACTAAAGCAGATCGAAGCGGTGCACATGTTTGAAAAGAGTTTGAGTGCCATGAACGCCCACAGATACCAATTGTGTGCGGACTCCATGGTAGCGTGTGTGGACCTAAACGCGTGGTCTCGCGCTTTGTATTATTACATTGCCGGTGCCGCCCACCTTTGCTTCTACCGCCATGACAAAACTCTCTCCAGTGAAGAGAGAGAAAAGCATGCCAATCTTGCTGAAGAAATGTTCAAGACGGCGCCAACCAAAGTCGGAAAGAAAAAGATGATGGGTAGGCAACTGCCCTTCGACATGTTCGTGGTGCGCAAGATTTCGAAATGGGAAGAAAGGGCTTCTCGGTGGAATTGCAGTTTCGTTGATGCTATCGGCGTGAGCCCACTCGATGAGATGATATTCCTCTGGAACGGCTTCAAAAAGATGAACGAGCCGCAGCTGCAGAAATCCTTGGACAACCTTGCATGGTCCGAATGCACACCTAACTGGAATAAGGAGGATGTCGATGAGTATGCGATCCATGACATTCTAAAAGCTATCATCTTCAGAAACCTCCGCCGGCATGAGGAATCAAAGAGCCTGTTGAAAAGAAAGCTGTTGACTCAAGGGGCCCATGAATTCAGGGGCTCGAACAAGGATGACTGGATGGCTCCAACCGCACATCATGAGATGGCGGTTAATCTGTGGATGCAGAGGACAGCGTACATTCAGCAAAACGGGGCCACGTTCATTAGAGACCCCACAGAGAAGGTGCCTCCACTGGACCTCGTTCATGATGCAAAATTGGTTCAAGAAGCAAAACACCACCTGGAAAAGGCAAAAGGCTGGGATAAGTACGAACTCGACGCCCGACTGGGGCTGAAAATCACGTCCGCTCTCAATGCCGTGAAGAAATGGGAACAGAAACATCCAAATGCACTGCGATGATGCAGTCGGTGTCCCCAGGCGCCATGCTCAGTGCCGAGTTTTCAATGATACCCGTCAATCAAGGTGTCACCGCTGACCATATCATTGATCAACTATTCCTACTTTCGGTTCGGGTTCGCTCTTTTGCCTCCCTTGGCAGCTTCAGGCTGAGAAAATGAGTCCCTTCCAGAGGTGTCTCATAATATGCGGCGATGTTTTGGAACCCGAAGTGGCGGTACATCCTTAATGCTGTGGTCATGCTCGGCAGGGTGTCCAGCCTCATTTCATCGTACCCAAGCTTCTCTGCTACGGCAATGACGGCGGAGGCCAGGGCTTTGCCGACTCCAGTCCCTCGCCCCGCTGGCGTGACGTACAGGCGCTTCATCTCGCATATCTTACCTCCCACTTCAGTAGAGGGGAGAGGCCGCAGCCCGACACATCCGATAGCGAGCCCAGCCTCGTTCCGGGCCAAGAGCAATTCTCCTTGCGGAGGGGAATACTTCCCTGGCATTCCCGCCATTTCGTCGTCAAAATTTTGGAAAGATAGGTCGAAGCCTAACGACTCAGCATAGGCATAAAAGAGAGCAATGGTATCTGACAGGTCGCTTGGAAGTCGCACGGGATTTATGGAAAAGCTGGCTACCTCTTCAGCCATTTGGAGCACGGCGAGGTTATCTATTTGGCAAAGGGAAGAGTGCACAAGAATTCAAGCAAATGGCGTGGCTCACGGTCAACCATAGACTTGGGGTGCAGTGTTTGGGAAGTTGTTCTCCGTCTTTGCTTTTGGCATGCAATTGTTTGGAGCAAAGGGAAATTGTGTGACTCAGGCGAGTGCATGGGAGATCCAGGCTCCGCGGCGAAGTGTCTGCCTCCGGCTGTGTGTCGACCTTCCCCCACTCTGGTGCGTCGTGCCGCTTCACCCTTGACTTGACACTTATGAGTAAATTGCTCCCGAAGATCTTTGGCTTCTCAGATGCAGGGATGGGAGGTAGTCGAGAAAGAATTTTCTGCTTCACGTGTCCAACTGCTAACTGTGCCCCGGCTTCGTGGAGAAAACTCTTCCAGAAGGACAAGGCTTCTGCTCTCTAACGCTGGACGTGGTGGGACATTTTTTTCCTCATCGTCAGCTGGCTCTAGAGCTCGGGTACATCCGAGTCGCTCGTTCAGGTGTCTAGCGAGAGAAAGAAAATTTGCACCCAGAGGCTGCGGGCGTTCTTAGCGAGGGGCATTGCTTCTGAGGCCACGGACACGGGAGTCGGATGGATTAAGGAACTTCAGGTTGCTTTACCTAAGAAGCTTTTGGGGGGCAGCAAGCCATGCACAGCGACATCGGATCGAGCAAAGTCAGGACGGAACAAGCAGGACCAGCCGCTCAGCACCACCAGCATCTGCACTCCACAGCCGCAGTAACAATAGGCGGAAGGACGAAGAGTCTCGATAAGACGCGTGGATAGAACTTGAGGCCCGTAGCCAGGGCGCTGCAGGGCGCGCATCACTGATTCAGCAGGTTCGTCATTGTCATCAGCTCCCAAGCTACCAGTGGGTGCCAGGTACCAAAGCCCCCCACCCACCCCTAGATCCTCGATACCCTCTACTACCGCTATTCTTGGGTGACTACCAGGTATTACTCGCTGGCATCACGATGTTGGGGCCCTTCTTGAGGTGCCCTTAGTCCCATCCCCAGTCTCCACTGCAGCTCTATCAACTCCGACCTGCGCACCCTCCCTTATCGAACCAATGGACGCGCTCACTCTCAGCCTTTACAAAATTTTGTCAACACCGGCTTGACAGAACAGTTGTCGATACGATGGGTTCTGGACTCACCTTTTCTCCCCTTGTGCCTCAGATAAGCTAGGTCGAGCAAAATTTTGGCCCTGCTAGCTGCACATACATCATGGTTGTGCAAGGTCCGAGGATGTGGGATGGCTGTCGGTGGGTGTCGTCACCTTTCAAACTGACGTACTGATAGATTTTTTTCTGCTGCCAAGGTGAAGAGCTGCAGCTGTAGAGTACAGAAAGAGCTCATCCAGACCGAATGACGCCTTGCTGGACACTCACTTCTGGCCATTATATTGTGGACGTTTTTCTCTCCTCTCCTACTTTTGCTCCTACTTCTAACGCAAGTTTGTCTCCGAGTGTCGGTCTCACTTCGTTGTTTGCTGATCTCTGCCACTTCACAACCCCCCCAACAACATGACGAACATCCCCTCTGAGCCTGAGTTCGAACAGGCATACAAAGAGCTTGTTTCTAGTCTCGAAAACTCGTCGCTCTTTGAGAAGAACCCAGAGTACAAGACAGCCCTCAAGGTCTGCTCCATCCCCGAACGAATCATCCAATTCCGAGTGGTGTGGGAAGACGACAAGGGCCAGATCCAAGTCAACCGGGGATACCGTGTACAATTCAATTCGGCGCTTGGTCCTTACAAAGGCGGCCTCCGATTTCATCCCACTGTGAACCTTTCTGTCCTAAAATTCCTGGGATTCGAGCAGATCTTCAAGAATGCGCTCACTGGATTGAATATGGGAGGTGGAAAAGGTGGCGCAGATTTTGATCCCAAGGGTAAATCAGACAATGAAATCCGCAGGTTCTGCTGTGCTTTCATGAGCGAGCTCGGAAAGCACATTGGCGCGGACACAGATGTTCCTGGTAAGCCCCACGAGACCACTTACTCAATTCGGTTGGCTGATCATGTGGACAGCGGGCGACATCGGTGTCTCTGGACGAGAGATCGGCTGGCTATTTGGACAATACAAGAAACAAACCAAGCTGTGGGAAGGTGTTTTGACTGGAAAAGGAGGCGAGTTTGCAGCGCGTACCTCTGAGAAAATACAAACCCTGACAGATCGCAGGCAGCTGGGGCGGCTCGCTCATCCGACCAGAAGCGACAGGATATGGTGTCGTCTATGTGAGGAGGACCCCTCTATTGCGGTGAGCAACATTTGACTGACAGTTGCCAGTACGTCGAGCACATGATCAAATATGCCTCCGGTGGCACCGAATCATTCTCAGGCAAGAGGGTTGCGATCTCTGGCTCTGGGAATGTGGCCCAATATGCTGCCCTGAAAGTGATTGAGCTAGGAGGAACTGTCGTGTCCCTGAGTGATAGTAAAGGTGCCATTGTCGCCACCACCCCTCAGGGTATTGACCCAGAGATGATCGAAACGATTGCAACACTCAAGGTGGAGCGGAAACAGCTCTCCGAGGTCGCCCACACCTCGGCATTCAGCAGCAAGGTTAAATACATCGACGGTGCGCGACCGTGGCTTCACGTCGGCCAAGTTGATGTGGCTCTTCCCTCGGCGACGCAAAACGAGGTATCTGGTGAGGAAGCCGAGGGTCTAATCGCAGCTGGCTGCAAGTTTGTGGCCGAAGGAAGCAACATGGGATGCACGAAGGATGCGATTGACGCCTTTGAGGCACAGAGAAACTTCAAAAAGGAGAAATGGGTCTGGTACGCACCCGGAAAGGCTGCCAACGCAGGTGGTGTGGCAGTTTCCGGTCTCGAAATGGCCCAAAATTCGGCACGCATCAAGTGGACGGCGGAAGAGGTGGACGAGAAGCTGAAGCTCATCATGAAGAACTGCTTCGAGAACGGGCTGCAGACCGCGAAGACATATGTCACCCCGAAGGAGGATGAATTCCCCAGCTTGGTGGCCGGCAGCAATATCGCTGGATTTACTAAGGTCGCCGCAGCCATGAAAGATCAAGGCGACTGGTGGTAGACGCCGGACGGGATCTGGTAAGATAAAGAAACGCTATGACTTAGATACCTACCTAGGTAGGTACTATTTTGATCCCTTGGTATTCACTGTAGGTTGGAATATCTTTTTCATAAGATAATGGACCAGACCTCAGACGTACCTGGTAGGTAAGGAGCCACTGACAGGATGACTTGGCTCGTGTCGCAACACCGATTCTTCTTCCTCCGCATGGGGCCGATCACCCCCAACCAAACGTGCCGCTTTTAAAACCACTTCCTCGAGACTCACCCTCACCCTCTTACCTTCCACTTACCTAGCTCCTTGCCCTTCCTGTCGCCTTTTACCTGGACGGTCCCGTTTCGTCCTATAATTATATCTGTACGCCTGGTCACAGTGGGTATGGCTTATTTAGGGGTCTCCCAGGATAGGATCAATCGAGAGGGAGCATTTGGTGGCTGCTGTTGGGGCCCCTAAAGAATCCTCGTGGTTTGTCCCGTTCAAGCTTACCTCGTCACGGAGCAAGAAGGAAGCAAGGCGAGTCCGGAGTAGCTGCGCAATTCGTGGAAAAGCCAGGCACATCTCAGCCCTTCTCAGAGTGGATCCGGTGTGCGAAAAGCAGGTCCCAAAAACAATCAACACCAGAAGAAGAAGATTGGAAAAGGAAGTGTCACGAGTTATTCAATATCGTCCCTCCAATTGGCAAATGTACCATCGATTGGCTTACTAGATTATTACTCGCTTCCTCCGACTTTGCAATGGGGCAGCCATCTTTCCAAAGAAATTTCTGTCCAATGTTTCCAATCGTTCTCCTCCGGTCCACTGCGCATGAACCCCCTTAGTATTATTATGTTTTCATATACCGCTCCTCCCCCACTTCCGTCTACGCAACTCGATCTCATCACGCCACCAAAACCTCTGTCAACGTGATCGTCGGCCCCTCAACGTCGTCTCCATCATATAAATACGTCGGATCACTGGCAAACACGAAAAAGGTCGTGCCGCAATCAAGGTTCCCGTCGACGATGTCACACACCGCGTTGTCGCCGCTATCGAAGAAGAATACTCTCGAGAAGCCGCCTGTGATAGGGGTCTGCAGAGGCTCGCCGGTCTCGACGTCGATCAAGTTGCACGCATCGTTGAAGGTGAACTCGGTGGCGCCGACTATGTCGGAGAACTCGGCCGTTTCGTCCACGACGGAGACGTATTCGCCGTCGTCGGCGGTGCCGCTGCCGCTGGCTAGGAGGAGGAAGACCGGTTGGACGCCGCTGGGGTTGCAGCCGGTTGGGACGGCGGGGGTGGTGGTTGTAGTTGTAGTTGAAGTTGTAGTAGTAGTTGAAGTTGTAGTAGTTGTAGTAGAAGTTGTAGTAGTTATAGTTGTAGTTGTTGTGGTTGTAGTTGTACTCGTAGTAGATGTTGTGGTAGGAGTAGGAGAGCTCGTTCTCGTGCTTGAGGTCGTGCTCACGCTAGGGCTCGACGTTGATTTGGTGGTAGGCGACGTGGTTTTGGTACTCTTGGACGGGCTCGTCGTAGTCTTCAGTGTGGTGGGTGGGACTCGACCCCAGCCATTCTCCGGGCCAGACAGACTGGAGACAGGAGCAGGAGCCGGAACTGGCCAGTCATTCCAGATAGAGACAGCATCAGGACGCGATTCGGATCTTTTGCCCTCCCAAAACAAAGCGTTGCTAGCCGTGAGGAAGCATGCCGCCAACAGAGTGGCTTGAGAAAGAAAGTACATTGTTGTCAAAGGGTGAATGAAGGGCTGGTCAGGAGCCTGACCGGTAAAGCGAGTGTGTGAAACAAAAATGAGAGACTGAGAAGATGGACAGACAGGTGAAGCACAATGAGTCGAGCGAGAGAACTGAAATTACTTATGCCTCTACCTACCGACACAGGGAGGCCGATGACCTCACCTTTCACCTACTGATTACCTACCTAGGTAGGTATATGCCCATTTTGTCCAGAAAAGGAGGTGAACAGAGGAGTCGGCGTTTTGTTGTGGGTTTAGTGCTGAACAGGGGACGCCATATTGGTTGGATATTTCCTCCATGCCTTGCTCTGCACGGGGAGTTAGCTCGAACGTGCCCATGCGAGATGAAGATTGCCATGGCTGAAACATAGAAGTCCAAGAGGGGAATTGTGATGGCCCACCCCTTTTTGAGGAGGCGCTGTACAAGTAGATACCTACCTAGCGAAAAGCTATCTAGGTAGCTAAGGAAGATGGTGGCTGGCTGTGGTAGATATAGGTGAAGGCTAGGTGGGGCGTGACATGTTAGGCCGGTTGACGAGGGAGACGACGGAGATCTCTAACCCGACTCGGGCGAGCCGGTGGTGAGCACAGGGCGGCATCACCCTAAGCCGGAAACGGGGGCTGAAGCGCGAGCAGTTTTCATTCACCTTGGCGTTTATTGATCGCGACATTTGCGGAGAGACGCGTCGCAGGAACCTGCTGTTCCAAATCAACAGCGCAAAACATTCCGCAAAGTCCACTGTCATGGGACCCATCCTTCGACTCACATCTCACAACAACGCTCTCTGACCAGATGCGACTCAGACAACAGCCGCAGCCATGCTCAATCTCTACACTGAGACTGCCTTCCAAGTGACTTCAGCGACCGCAGACTCAGTGGTACACCTCCGAGTTCCGAGAAAGAATGGCTCCTATGACAAGTCCAAATCTTCTTCGACCCGATCTGAGTCTGGCCGAGCCTGGAGAAAAGACCAACAATCCTATTCCTCCCATGTCCTAGCCTCGCAAAGCTCGATATATTTCCGGTCGTCCAAAACGTATCCACGAACATTCTATTGGAAGGTGGTAAATAATGGAAGAGTGTTGCACATACAATGCGCGGATTTTGCGAGAAGCGAAGCGGATCTCAACGAGGCCTACTTTACTATCCAGTTCGAGTTCCAGGATCAGATCATCCCTCGAGGCGTAACGTTTGCCGATTCGGATAATCTCGATGAGATCAGCGCCTTTGTTTGTACCGACAAAAATGAGATCTTCAACTTACGAGTGCCTACGAGTGCGTTCCGCGACACGCGTGTCCTCCAGAGCGAAAACCTCGGCCAGTGGTGCCAGCCGCTCGACAGTTCAACGCTTGGCATAGATACCGTCTACCGCATTTATGCCAGCACCCCTCTGGTTGTGGTAATATCATTTGCTAGCGGAAGATTACAGAGGTTGAAGAGAAGGTCTGTACAGGACGGCTGGGAACAGGATAACTACGATGACCGGTCATGGGGCGCATCGATCAGAGGGCTCGTCAGGCGAGGGGGTTATCACGCTATCGAATTTGGTTCAATGCAACTGGATCCGAGAACCGCCCAGGCTATGGCCGTCTCTGCGGATGGGGATCTCCTCTTCACTGTATGTCTGAACCATACTTTGAGAATTTGGAACCTGAACAACGGGAGAATTGTTGCTACGAAAGACCTGCTGGGGGTAACCCGGGAGCCCAACGACAGAACCCACTTAAACCCGGCGGAAGACGCCTTCTTGCAGGTATTCAGAGATGACGAAGCGCTGAAATTTCCCACTGTCTTGACTTATAGTCCCCAAAAAGGTGGCCATTTCAAATTTTGGGACATCAAAGGAAGCCTCACAGACTCGCTCATTGTTGAAGACAGATATCCGGAGACGCCACTCAGCGCTCCAGACCCGGATCCGTCAGGGAACACTGTCTGGTCTGTGGTTGGATTCAAACTCGATCCAGGCACTAATTACGGTTCAGCTCAGCTCTGGGTGCTTTGGCGGAATCACAACTACCACCAGCTGTATAACTGTCAACTCGAATTAGGCAGCTTGGCAAGCTCATGGAATTCAAGCTGGGTGAAATGCGACGCAAAAGTGTCCGCTAAAACAGTCCCTCCGGAGTTTGTCAAAGGTGATCAGCAAGATCCAGCTTCCAAATGGTTAGACTTCTTCTTCCATCCTGGCCGCTACTCGGAGGCAGCCCTCGACACGGCATTATCCATATACGAGGATGCGACTTCGGCGAAGTTGACCGCTTCTCAAAGGGAAGCTCCCTTGAGACAACGCATGTGTACCACAGTGGCGGCTAGCATCGCATTGCGGAAGTATGGTGAATCGGAGATGGACTTTGACCGATTCTGCATCGACACTGATGCCCAATGGCGCAACTTCTACAGAATAGCTGAAAATGTCAATGACGACCGCAATGCCCCGCTTGCACTGGCCTATGATGCATTCAGCAAGATGGTGTGGATTACCATGACGGACAAATGCTGTGCGGTTCGGGAATGCAGCAAGTTCGAACTCTTCCAACAGAATGAACTTGGAGACATAAAAGATCTCGAAGCCACGACTGCTCGATTATGGCCTCACCGAAAGGTCAGTTCTGACGACGGAGAACCCTTCCTTGACCTGGCTATCTTGATCTCGGCATCGAGAACGTTCAGGGAATCGTTTCCTTCCGATTTTGCTCAAGATCTCGCCCTCGCTATCGAAGAAGATTTGTCGATCGGGTCCGATTATATGACCCCTACACGAACACTCAGTATCTATGATAATACAGGGTTTGGCGACGCTGTATCGAATGATACTTTCGAAAGACTTCAGGCTGATCTTTCTCCTTTGGGTGGCATCTCCGCCCTGAACAACGAAACTTTTTTCGGGGTTTTGGACCTCTTCGCCCCTAAGAGTAGGAGAGCGAAAAGCGCCTTGAGGAATACCGTGTTCGGAAATTTTCTATTGTCTGCTGGCGTGCTCGACTTTTTGTTCTCCCAAAAACAAGCGCTCATGGATCTTCTTGCTCTGGCGGTCTTTGTGGAGGGAGAGTTGAGTCAAGAGGAGGTGAAATCGACAGTATTTGACGCGTCTGAACTATATGACCATATTGCACCCCTTCTTCGGCTGTGTAATCGCAATCTGTGGCTAGCATCGCACTCAAGATTGGTCCCATTGGAGATCCTCGGCACCGATGGAAACCCGAATGCCTCTCGTCAACGCTCTGATACTGGTGCTGATGACAAAAGACAGGTTACCATCATGGAGGACACGCTAAGCAAAGCCGTCCGACCACAACCTGCCGTCGAGAAACCACTGATGTATCTGATCACAGATCAGCTGTCAGAGATTGACGATTGGGCTTCTGGAAAAGATACATTGGATGCAGAAGAAGGTGCAGTCTATCTCCAATGTGACCTGCTTGTACAGGGTGAACTCGACCTTGCAACGGAGTTTCTACAATACCAGCCCTCGACGTCCTGGTCAAGTTATGTAAAAGGACGTCTGGCTACTGCGAAAGGCGAGTACGACGTGGCGGCGCATTATTTCCGGAAGGCATCATATGGTCTAGCGTGCGGAAAAGCAGTTGGAAACCTGGTTGCCCTTTCAGCAGGGCTATTGTCCATTATTGAAGCAGGGTATTTCTACAACGGACTGCCCGTTTACCTGCATCATATTACGAACCTTTTCGAGTCTGCAAATGCATACAACGAAGCGGCTCAGTTTGCTCATTTGACGTTGGAATCACTGCACACTGGACAGAAGGAACCACTTCCTAACTTCCGAGCCGAAGTGCTGTCGAGATTGGTCACTGCAGAGCTCAAGCTATCTAGGTTCGATCGCGCCTATAGTGCCTTGGTCCAGCTGCCTGACCAGGCATTGCAGCGATCATCAGTGACTGCCCTGATCAATTCAATACTGAGGTCGAGTGGATCTGTTTTCGGACCTGAAGGCGTGGTACGGACCCTTCAGTCTCTTCCTTGGGCTATGTATCCTCAACTCGCACGACACATGGATTCATACCTCGTTTCCCTCGCAAAATCCCAGTTGGTGTCATCGAGCTTGACTTCAGACAACGGCAAAGTCGACTATCTCAGCATCATGCACTCCATCCGCATTTCTCAAAAGGACTATCGTGGCGCGCTTACTGTCCTCTATGACCGACTCAAGTTGATCCGCAAGTCTGGGCGGGCTCGACATGATCCAAAAGCTACAGCATTGAGGCATGTCTTGCTTGCTCTCATCAATCTCATGGCCTGCATGGCACCGGACGAAGCGTATATTCTTGTCGAAACCGAGGACAGCAAGGCAGCTCGGAATTTGACACACGGAGAAGACAACAACGTGCAAGACGAAGGATTCATGATGAAGATGAGCAAGCGACGGCGCGTGATCATCACGCTCGAAGACTTGCGGAAAGAATATCAGGCAATTCTGGATAGGTGTAGTCGGATCGAGCGTGGAGATTTCGGATTTGAGATAGATGGGGACGAGGAGAGCGAAGACGAAGAGGCCGACGACATGATGGCGGATCAAAGCCAATCGAGATTGAATCTATCAAAAAGTTCTTCGAGAAATGGGTTCAGTGGTGGAGAGGATGCAATGGAATATTGAACGCTTTGAGCGGCATATTTGCACGGAAATGCTTGAGCATTGTCTACCAGGAGGTGTCTTTATGCCACGTGTAAACTGCGAGACCTGGGCTGGGGGTTAGGAAAAGGAGAACATTTCAATCGAGCCTCGATAAAGACAGACCATCCTTACGGCGAAGTGCTCGCAACGGTCGGTGTGGTGATGGCTTAAGAGTAATCCAGATAGGTGACCCGGATCCAAAGTCAAGTTTATTCAGATTAAATTGCATCGCGTCCGCTGCTTTCTCCTCATCTTTGAATGTCCGAGCATAGGTACTATGTAGGAGACATGAATAAAGCAGGCAAAGCAGGCGTGTTCTGGGGAGTCTTTGTGTCCTTCGCCGACTGGTCTCGCCGGTCCTGAGCGCGTCGCTCACGAACGAAAGTCCCGTGAGCATAAGCATTAGACTCCTGGCCATGGGAGCCAAGTAGATGATGGTCATCAAGACCGACTAAAGCGGTTCTGCGGCGCAAGAAGCTATGGGGATGGAGAAGATGTGCGTACAGATTAGTCTGAAGAAGCCATTCATCCCGAGCAATCAGATAATACCATTTGAATTTTGAAGAAGTAGACGCTGGAATCCTTCGTGATTAGAAGCCTGAGATGCAGGGCTCTACGTACCTAACAGGATGCATAATTCTCAAAAGTCGCGGTTGGGGAGCAGACAACTTGAAGCTTGCCTCAAGTGTTCTATCCGAGAGAACCAGTCTATCCTGCGCGTGCAGAGAGTAGCAGAGGACAAACCTGCTGTGAGTCCCCAGTAATAAGGAAAGGCGCAAAAAAAGCCATGACTGACTGACCTGGTGGAATCTCCTTTGCCAGCTATCTCCCCTGACGCCTCAATCCTCCTCGATCTCTCCTTCCTCGCTTCCCGAATGCACTCCGCTCGGTTCCGGGACTTGAAGCATTTCACTGTCCTTGTCTTTTTTGACCGACGACGGTTCGGGCGTCTTGCTCTTCGCCTTCTCGCGCGACCGCGATCTTCTCTCTCGACGATTCCGCTTTGCGCTACGCCGTCCACTCTCAACGCTGTCTTCACTTCCCTCCCTTCTTCGTCGTCGATCGCTGCCCGTGATGCTCCTTGATTCTTCGCCGTAATTGAGTTCGTCTCTGCTGCTGCGCGGTTCGGCTCGTGTACGATATAGACGCTCTCGTTCTTCTTCTCTCTCGCGCCGTTCACGCTCGTAAGCACTCATACGTCGGGTTGGAGGTGTTCTGTCACGATCGAGGCGGCCGTGCCTCTCGTCGCGTTCTCTTCGCTCCCGAGGGTGCGAGGGTGGGGGGCTGAACCCACTCGCCTTTCTGTATTGTTTTTCCCGAGCTGCCTGTGCCTTGCGGCGATCTGCCTCGTAAGCATCAGGCTCTGGAGTCTTAGAGAGTCGGCCGTATCTAGTTTCACCACGATGGCCGTTTCGATGATCTCGATCATCACCTCGTCTAGAATGCCTCCGTTCTCGGTCCTTGTCGGCGTCTTCTTCCTTTTCTTTCAGCCGCTTGACCACCTTGTCGAAGGCAGACTTCCTCAGTTCTTCGCTTTCAACAGCATGATACTCATCTGTCTTCTCCACTCGTGCCTTGATATCCTCCCAAGAGTCAGTAATGCGAACTGGGGGTTCCAGGTGCTTGATCCTTGAGCGCAGCGCGTCCACGGCACGACGCTGATGGCGGTCTGCAGCGTGCTTTTCGTCCTCACTTCTACGCACCACCTTGTCATGTAGACGCTGGAAAATGAGCTGCAGGGCGTCTCGATCGATATTGGCTGTTCGTCGATCAGCAAGCATGACATCAAGAAACTCGTCGAAGGAAGTTCTAGGTGTGACTTCATATCGTTTGTCCTGCACGTGGTTAGCATACGCTACGTGGATTCAAGAGTCTGTAGCCTACCTCGAGCACATCATACACATCGTTTCTCCTTCCTCGAAGAGCCCTCTCTTCCTCCTCGACCATGTCCCAGAACAAATCCAAAGGTGTTGAGCCGGACTGACCCAACATTGCAACATACCTCGGGTCTTCTTCGATTTCGGGCAATATGGTCATCCACTTGGTACCCGCCTTGATCTTGCCTTGACCTCTCAAGCTTTGGAGCAGTTCCACGAACCTATCGCGGTTCTGTCTTTCGCGTCTTGCTTTGGTGGCTTTTTGCTGCTGACGTGCATCATTGAAAGTCCTCTCGAGCGATTTGATATGGTTCTCAAAAGCCGTCAAAACATCTGACTTACTCAGAAGCTTGAATTTCTCATCTGACAGTATCCTCTCGTTGGACTGAAGAATCTCCTGGGCCTGCGACCATCTGGTGTAAGGCTCCAAGTCGAGGGCTTTGAGAATCGCAACCAGGTCATCCAGCGCTGACTTGCGGGCGGCGGCTTCCTGCTCGATATGCTGTTTCTTAAGCTCGATAATGTATTCTTCGAAAAGTTGCTTACGCTCATCTTCGCTGTCAGTGGATCGAAATACGGTCTCACCCTCTATGATGGGCCGGATTGTTTTCCATCGACTGTAGTGTTTGATCTCGGGGTGTGTTCTCAACATGTTACCGAAATCTGTGCGTAGCTTAGCCAGCCTTTCTTTGGCTTTTTCCCGTTCTTGTTGCCGAACCTCGACCGCATATTTCTCGAAAGCTGCCTTCCTGTCCTTGGGGTCTTTCAAGGCTCTATATTGAGGATCTTTGATGGTCGCCCGCATCGTCTGTTCCCAAGTCCAATCAGGCTGGACGTTGGACCGTCGCAGGAGTTTCATAAATGCAGCCTCCGCCTCTTCAAAGCTGGAGTAGTCCGGCACCACCTCCTTCGTGAGGGACGGCACCGAGAGCGCGCTCTCAGGCCGAGGTTTCGAATCGAAGGGCGTGTGATCATCTCGTTCGCGCGCGTGAGCGTAGGATGAAAGGGCAGTAGTTCCGCCGGCGACGAAGGCAGGGGGTTGCTGAACCGGTTTAGGAGGAAGTTGGACGGAATTGAGGGCGTCTCGATACTGTTGTGGCATGTCCCATACCGTCTGCTTGGTCTCCGAGTTCGAGTAATACTTGCGGCCTTCGGGAGTGGTGTATTCTTTCCATGGCTGAGACGCAAGCGCTTTTTCCAGCGGAGTCATGAGATCGGTGGGTTTGGTCCATTTTGTCTCCTTAGTGACGGTGTGGTAGTAGTAGGTGCGCCCATCGGGGGCGCGCGCTTCTCGCCATTGTCCTGGTGTTGATGGAAGCCCATTCATTTTTTGCGCGTCAAATGTGTTGACCGGACATACGAGTAAAAATAGCGACGATAACAATAAGGAGCGACAGGCCCAAGTTGGACATTGATTGTGGAGGATGATGAGCTGCGGTAACTGGGAAATCGCAGGGATTAATAGTGAGAAGGTGGAAGTTGAAAAATCCAAGCCAATCATTACATAAGCCGCTCGACCACAGTGGCATCAAGTCCATAGAAGCCACTTCACCGTGTGTCTTCGTAAACGATTGATGAGCACCGCCATTCCTTCAGTCAAGCAACGGACGATGACACCGGGGTTCTGTATCTTCGAGTAGTCACACGAAGGCATGTCTGACAAGGACTTCGCCAGGTCAACCTCCCAAGATGGAAGCTGAACTTTACAAATCCGCCCTGGTGGATGCAATTATCCCATCGGACACAGTCACCGATGTCTCTGAGATTCTACAAGCAGGGGCAGAGGCCCAGAATGAATCCAGCCAGCTTCTCGTCATAGAGGAAAGAGATCTACTCTTTTTCGGTATGTTCAGCCCAAGTCGTCAAAGGAATTCTGTCTTACTCATCCCCAGATCAGATGAAAGGTTGAGGACGCTGGCGGTCATACGGCTGCCTCATTGCGACGAAGCTGTCTTGGAGTCGTTTCTATCACAACTCTCTTTCAAGATTGACGTGTGGGCCATCGAGGAGTCTCCGGGCAACGAACAAAATACACCCAACGCAGCCCCTCCTAGAGACCTAGTTTATTCGGCCGAGTCGATTCAGAAAAATGAACCTATCGTCCTGGCCAGCGAGACTGCAAACCGCGGCCAGACCTTAACACTTGTCTGGGAAATCGAAATCCTCCTCAACCGACCCAGATTTCGCGTTCCTCAGCCTGCCATCATTCTGATCCCTTCCGCCACCGTCACTGCTCCTCAACGAGATGAAATCGACAAGAATGACGATCTCAAACCCTTTCAGCCTCTGGAAGCAAACGCACTTGAGCCCATGCGTTTTCTCCCAGGGCTTAGGGATAGTCCTCCGTACCTTGCTGCTTCGAGACTGGAACGAGTACTCCCCATGACGACAACTCACAGGCACCGAGTCCATCTCCAACATGTTCCGTCTAGGCGGCATAGAGCAGTACCTGCGACAATGTCACGGATACGGTATCAAAAGGTGAATGCTTACACCACAACTCCCGCAACTGTCGCTCTCCTGGACGTGGATATCATCCCGTTTGTGCGAGTTGCCGCAACAATTGAGCATGTTGATCTCTCCCTGAAGAATGGGAGTACTGAGACTTTGATGCCCGGATTTCTGCCCATGCAAGCCCGCTCAGGGGACTGCATAACATTCCTTTATAGACTCCATCAAAAGCTAGGCCCGAATCGAACCCCTGGATTTGGACTCGTCAACCCAAACATTGACGTCCTGTCCATTGGGATCAGGCTAGCGATCCAGTTGAGTGAGAAGTGCCATCCATTTCTCGTCATGAATTGGACTACCAACGTCGATTTCACTCCAGTCCTAAACCCATCGTTCGGCCCTCCTTCACAATCCATACAACGGCCAAATCGGCCGACAAGTCTCCCGGTTCACCCTGACAGTGGTGGAGCAGCGTCCGTGGCCGCTGTTAGCACCAGCCTACAACCAGCTGTTGAGTTCGATTCGAGGAGTGGAGTGTCAATATCTTTCACAGCTCCTGATATTCCGGTGCGAGTTGGCGAACCATTCGCGTGGAAGGTCCTCGTCGTGAACAACTCTGCAAAGATGGCCAAAATCGCCATCATTCCCCTACCTCGGATTCAACGTCAAGCTACTCAAACCCAAATGCTCGCCAAACGGCACGCACCGAAGTCATCTACTGCGTCCTTCCACCCAAGCGAGCGGCGACACACCAAAGAGGGCGAGGACATTGATATCGCACAGGCAATTGTCGACGAGAACGTCGTCTATGCCATGCACCACTCCTACCCAGTTCCACCGGAAACCGATTTGCTGGCCTTGACAGCGGAGTTGCGGATTGGTCCTTTGGCTCCTGACCAGTGCCATGAGAGCGAGATTCAGATGGTCGCTTTTGAGGTCGGGACACTGCGAGCCGACGCGATGCGAGTGGTAGATCTAATCAGAGAAGTGGAGGAAGGTGCTGCGGCAACGGGGGTCTTGGCCGATATCAGGGATTTGCCCGATATTGTCGTTGTGAAGGCGACGAGCGAAAGAGATTGACATCAATGTGGCTCGGCAACGGAGGGCCCGAAGCGCACAAGAAACCCATCAACAGGCAGCCGCAATTCTTGGATTTTCTATACGAAGATTGATCCTGTCCAAGCCGAGAACAGCGTTCTATGTTTGGGATTTGACGAATTCGCCCAGCCTGCACCGTTACTCCCTGCGAATCTGCCTTGCGCTTTGGACCAATCACGATCGGCCTCAGCAATCCAGTCCAGATATGGGATTCCGAATACGATGACATGGCCAGCTATGAAGCCAACAACCGCAGGCTTGCTTGGGATGTTAGGAGCATAAAGGTTCTGGGTCACCCGCATCTTCAAGTAGGTGTCTGTCGTTTAGGTTTTCAGAGCTTAGGAGAGCGAAAGTTTTGGGACGCCACTGTCAGTCAATTTCTTTATCTGCGATTTGAATATACGTCGAACCACAACGGAATGACCGCACAATACTTTGAGTACAAGCATGAGTTGCCGACCTCGACAGAGAAGGCCCTTGCAGTGAATGCCAAACCTGCGGCAGCCTCCCTCTTCTCCAGTGCCTCGCGCGCCACCACCCTTCTCGACCCTGACAACTTCCGCGCCGGCACAATCCTGCATATTTCGGCTCGTGGAATTGGCGTGCTCCGATTCCCAGGCCCTTGCTCAGAGCTCAAAACTCAAGTCTTCCATGATGATGGGAGTTTGGCATATACCTCGACGAAAGCAAAGCGATGTTCAGGGGATGCAGTGCTCAACCATCCAAAGCTAGGCGACTTGATAAGCACGTCATACTTCTTTGGTCCCAGGCGCGGACCTGAATTGAGGTTCATTCAAGGTCAAGCGGGGATAGGCGGCGACTCTGTCAAAATAAAAGTTTGTGGAAAGCTGGGTTCTCGGTCCACAAGCTTCACCGCTCCAGACGGGCGTACATTTGAATGGAGCTACACACATATAAAGGATACCTTGGGCAAGAAAGTCAATATCATTGCACTGCGCCAAAAGGAAGCAGGAACCATTCTGGCGCAGTTGGTCAGATCGGACGGTACACGGACCGAGGGTACTTCCAAATGCACTGCTGGGAATGGCGGGCAACTCATACTGGAGCAGGAAGCGACAAGCCAGCTAGATGAGGCCATGATCGTGGCCACATGCTTGGTGATTTTGAAGAAAGAGATTGATCGGAGGCGATGCTTGCAGATGATAGTGCTCGCGGGGGTTGCTTAGCTTTAGCATAGTTGCAGTAGCGGATGCTGATATGTATTTCTCTGAGTTGCCACACAATACAACTTCATTGACCCCGTCCAGATCTCCGTACTATGGCAGGATAATTGGTGTATGAATCGGAGGCCATTCGTAGAAGAACGGAAGCACACGAAGGCAGAGGCGTGATGGACAAGATTGTGTGATCCGCCGTAGGTGAAGTACTCGCTCGTCGCCTCTCGCTCCTCAGACGCATAGGAAGCGCAATTCGTAGAAGACCACCTCCACGCACCTCGTAGTCCTGTGGCTCATTCGTCCCTCAAGGTTGTCACACTTCGATTCAGCACAGGATGACTTGAAATGCCCTGCGACATGTCGCGCAAACGCCGCAATACGTCCTCTCCCGAGCCGGATGAGTCTCCCCCCATCAAACGCCAATACAGGAGCGATTCCGAGGATGAAGAGGCGGACGAAGTCCCGTATTTCGACCAGTCTAGCGGCCAGACCGGTGCGTTTCCCGGACTTGGGGAGGACAAGGGTGAATTATTCTATGGGCCTGCGAATGATGGAGTCGATTATCTGAGGATGGTGCGGTGAGTCTTCCCCGTTATATATCAGTCGCATGTCACTGAGTGTCGGGCATTCCAGGTCGAGGACAAGGGCTGATACGTGATAACGTGTCTCAGGTCGGAAGCGAAGGGCGTCCCTTCTATTCTAACTGCACAGTTACCGGCCACACATCTGGATGAACACGAGGAGACGGAGGAGACGGGACAAGGCGGGTATTACTACGATGGCACATATACTGCAATCAACCAAATTCTCGTGACGGTTGAAGCAAACCCGCGCTTCCCACCTGCTCAAGTCCAATACTACGACTCACTCCTCGCGCATTTCAGACTGGTCCGCGCCACGCTAAGATGCCTACCACCTCTTCCAGCTGTTGAAGCACTTCGTCCCTCACAATTCATATCATTTCCAGAAAACAATCGAAAGGTGCGGAAGCAGTGGGAAGAGCACATGTTGTCTACGGACCCGGATCCCGTTCAGGTTGCCTGTATGGAGACAGATACTGTTGTGGAATTGGTCAGGTTTCTTTCGGCAAAGCTGGGCAAGATGCTGGACACGAGGGACCCTGTGAGGATAACGAGAATTGGAGCTTGGGTGTGGGCAGTCCTAGGGAAGTGCCGAGATCTGGGGGAGTTGTCGAGCGAGGAAGTGGGAGACATTCGAGGTTTGGCGCAGAGGGCGCTTCGGTTACAGGAGATAGGAGACGAACGGCATGGGCCGGGCGAGGACGAGGATCAGGATGAGGAAGAGGATGAGGACGAAACCCAGGACAAGAAGGAGGTTCTAAGGGAAAATGTTGATACGAATAATCCCCCTGAAGAGACGCCGACGCTCAAAAATGGGGATGGAAAGGCAGAGCTTGTTGAAAGCATTGAGGATTCAAGTCGACAAAAGTGTGACAGGGTGCTCTTGGACATGATAGTCACGATTGTCGGCGAGGTTTACGGCCAGAGGGACTTGCTGGACCTTCGAAGCCAATGGACTGACTGATGACAAGTGAGATGAAGTGAAATGGAAATTGAGACATCTCTTCCAAAGAGTACGTATCCCTTCTAAATCCAGCAAAGGGAAACCGCACCCACTGGGTCTCAGGCGTCGTCTGTCTCACAGCAAACAAGCCTCTTGCTGCCGGTACCCGATCCTGGATTTGACACTTGTGTCCATCTGTCAACAGCATCTTCTGTGGGTGTGCAACCTTGAGTTGCCTTGTTCCCTCACCACAACCATGCTATTTACCTCCCTCGTCCTCTTCATTCCAACCATCCTTCGGCGAGCCATGGCGGATTACAACCCGGATATCTCCAACGGTACCTGCTACTACTACGACGGCATGGAGGCCGATTCCAGGTATATCCCTTGCGGGAATGCCGCCCTCGGCCACAAGTCATGCTGTGAGAGTCTGGATATGTGCCTATCGTCGCACGCTTGCTATAATGGTCAATGTAAGAATCACTCTTTGCCGCCTGGGGATTCTCGCACTGATTATATTTAGACGGCGTCACATATTTGGCTGGCTGCACGGATTCTAGTTACGATGACCCGGTCTGTCCAGATAAAGGAGAGTTTCAAGGTAGAGAAAGAAATGCGCATCCTGTCCGTCCCACACTTTTTGACTCCTGCAGGGCAACAATGGGCCGGGTTGGTCTACTGCAATGGCACTTCGAATGAATGGGTTGCGTGCGAAGATGAAGGCAGCACAGTTACCACTCCATCACCTTGCTGGTGTCCCGATACCGATTCGAGGACCGTGGCTTTCACCGATTCCTCCGTCCTCACGAATATCATGTCCTTGCCAGCGACCTTGGGCGGCAGTGTCACCTGGAAAGACGCCGATGCATACTCATCTGAACATTCTCTCACTTCGACACTTGATTCCTCAGATACCGATACCACCACTTCAACCTCCATTTCCAATTCAGTGACTAGCGCAACCGTTCTTATGTCACCCGCATCTACCAGTTCCGCAGCAACCTCTACCCTGCCTTTACCTTCCACCTCTTTTCAGACCTTCTCTGCACCGGCGGCCACCTCAACAGTCACGCCTGGCGACTCCGGCTTGAGCACAGGACAAAAGATAGGAATATCATTTGGAGCAGTGGGTGGAGCAGCGATAGCGTTGGTTTTTGCCTGGCTATTATGCACGTCGTTCCGCCGACGAGCAAAGAGAAGACAGAAAGAGAAGGGATCAGCGCCAATGAGGGAACCCACGCTACCGCAGGTGGAGAGGAGGCCGAGTGACGCAGAGATGAGGAGTCCGGCGTGGTCAGGTCACAAGTCAGAACTTCCCGCGGACGAGAGTGTGACCAATGCCTCGCCAGCACCTCGATACCAGGACCTTCCGACGAGACCGCAGAGTGCGGAAGTAGAGGGCAGCCCGGTGAGAATGTCGCCTACAAGACCTACGCAAGACGGTGGATTAAGGGTGCCCGGTCGGAAAGGAACGTACTACGAGATGGCCGGATAACACGCAGACGAAGCTAGACACTTAGTGCTCTTTACGCGAATCATGGTGAATATGATTAGGAGAGTGCTCGAAAGGGGATCTTGCAAAGCTGCTCACATGAATATTCTTCACAGTTCGCACTTCTTCGTTCTCCCCATCCTAATCCTTTGCGGCATTTGCGACAGGTGCCGAATCCTACGATTTCACATTAGCTCCAGCCTCCCTGCCCGATAAACCCACCTCGGACACACAGTAGTAACTTACCAAATAAACCTGATAGTGCTTAAACCTCAACTCCTTGCCCTCATACTCGGCCAACACCGCTCTCGCCGCCCACTCCAAAGTCAGCTGCTTCCCATTCTTCAACCCGTAATCCACACTACCATACAACATACACTCCAGACCCGCGTCGCCTTCTCCAAACGGGAAAATCTTATGCAAGTGGTGCTTCCTGCTATGAATCGGCCCGTTCCACAGCCCCTTCCGAAGCTCCAAGACCTGATCGTACCCCTTGACGGACTTCGAGCCCATTACGAAGTCGGCGTCCGGAAGGAAGGAATCCGCATAGTCGTCGTGTGCTGTCGGGTTGTCCGAGACGGAGTAGAAGCGTTCGAAGAAGGGGATGATCCGGGGATCGACTTTGGAGGCGAGAGACGGGGGAATTTGCCCTGTGTACGTCATGTTCGAACTGGATGTGTCGAAGGAGGATCGGGAAGAAAAATTGAGCAGCCTGAGAAGCGGGGGCTTACTGAGGTAGCGTGTAAAGGAAAACTATCTAAAGAGAGACGAGAAGAAAATGAGGCAAGAAGTGAGGTATAGTGAATGGATATCATATACTTCGTCCAAGTGAAGCCGTTCGAACCGGCCCCCACCCCCTCCCTCCTCCGGCCCCGGCTCGGGGTCGCGGACCGGATAATGCCCCCGAGAGTCAAGGCTACGTCGTACGAGGTACATACAAAGATATTCCGTAGGTACCCGCCACAAGGCTGTGGCGTGTAGATTTGGCGAAGTATCCAAAGCGTCTCGAATCCTGCAGCTCCTCTGCACCACATTTTGTCCAAAGATTTCGATCTACCTTGGTTCATCCCGCGCCATGCGGTTGTTCCGTCTCTATTTCTCAATTTCCTCGGCCTGACATAGCTTCTCCAAGCAAATGGATCTTGGACTCCCACCTCCCGGCGAGGCACCGCCCACTCCGAAATTCCACCGACCCATCCATGCAAGCCGTACACGGAATATAGGTAAGAAAGTCTAAGGTCTCAACCTCTGCGGATCTCTAGGGAAGGGTGTCGCCTGCCTCACGTTATCCAAGCCCAGGAAGAACATGACGATACGGTTCAGACCCAATCCGCCACCCGCATGAGGCCGACACCCCTGCCTGAAGGCATTGACGTAGTCCTGAAACCCCTCTGCGTTCGGGTCGACTCCTTTGCTCCTCATCGACGCTTCCAGCTCTGTGGCATCATTGATACGTTGGGCACCGGACATGATCTCTTCGCCCCGCATGAAAAAATCATAGGAATTGGACAATTTCGGATCTGTCGGGTGCGGTTTCGTGTAGAACGGCCGGACCACCATGGGGAACTCGTCCAGCACGTAGAAATCTGTGTCGTACTTTTCCCTGATCAACTGTCCCAGTCTCTTCTCCTGGGCTGTCGTCAAATCTGTGACGTAGTTATCTTGTTCGGTGGTGTCCACCCCGGCATCTTTCAATATCTTGATTCCCTCGAAATACTTCAATCGTAAAGCTTTGCCGTCCTTGATTCGGAAATCTCCTGCGCGGGGGAAGTACTTTTGCACGACGGCAATTTCGTCCTTGAAGCGAGATTGGAGCTCGTGCACAATGAAGACGATGAGGTTCTCGGCAAAATCTAACACTTCGTGGTAGTGGTGATTGAAGACCATCTCAAAATCGAGACCGGTGAACTGGAGTACAGTTAGCACTTGCTCCCAAAGGGGGTGAGTTGAAAGCCATACCTCGGTCAAATGTCGATGAGTATTGCTGTTCTCCGCTCGAAAGACCGGACCAATCTCAAAGACACTCTCACAGTCTCCAGCAATAAGCATCTGCTTGTGCAGCTGCGGAGACTGGGCAAGAAATCCGCTTTTGCCAAAATAGTTGTTCACCTCAAAAACTCCAGAACCGCCCTCCGTTGCCGCGCCTAGAAGCTTGGGGGTGTTGAACTTGCGGGAACCGGATTTGCGCATGAATTCTTCGAATAAGCCTTCTACGCCGGAGGAGATGGTGAATATGGCTTGGTTGCACTCTGTTTGTAGATCGATCACCCGGTTGTCAAGACGGGTTTTCAAAGTGACGATAGGAGCCCCCTCAGCATCAACTGCGGGCCCTTCTTCTTCTCCTGTTATTGATGGTGGCGGTGGTCGTTCCGCATCTTTCACTTGCATAGGGATCTGTTCGGCGGCGGAGGCGATTAGGTAGATCTTTGTGACGTGCAGTTCGAGGTTGCTGATTGAGGCCGACGCCACGGGAGGGTCGGGCTTCTTGACTATACCTGAGACGCGGACGAAAGAATTGACGTTGACACCCACGGCCCATTTCACCATCTGCCTGGACACAGCTTCCCCTGCCGCTGCAACGACAGCTTGGATGGTTTTACCTTGCTGACGCAACATGAGGAATGCTAATTTTGCACTCTGACTTCTGGAGTTGTGGATTCGGACGATCACGGTAACTTCTTTGTCGACATGCTCCTCTCCCAGCTTCTTGAGGTGCGTGATCTCGGGGTCGTCTTGCGGTAATGTGCCATATTTGTCCTTTGCTGTGTCTTCAGACGCCTGCACTTGTTGTGCGGCTTTCTGTTCCGCCTCCTTTGCCTTTGCCGCAGCCTTCTTTGCGGCTTTTTCTGCGTCCTTCTGCGCTTTCTTCAATGCATTCTTCGAGGGTGCGCCCTCCGCAGACACGTTAGGGTTGTCTTTCGCATGTGTCGGTAAGGCAGCTTCCTTATTCTCCATTTTGGTCCGAGTGTTGTAAGCCCGAGAAGAAAAGACAATGAAGGTGACTGCGGCAGAATTTGAGAGGGCGCTGGTGGCACGACAGTGTGGAATTGAGTCATGAGAGGAAAAGTGGGCTGTTCAAAATCATGGTGGGGGTCAATTGGAGAATGTCAGCCTCGCCAACTTGAAAATTGTCAGCCTCGCCGAGCCGCAGCAGATACTAGTAGCAGCGAGCCAGCCACACATTGGTAAGGACATGGGTAGGCGGTACGAAAGGAACAAATAACGCGTCTAATAATCATATCATTGGGTATCTTATATGCTCATTAGTCATAAAACGGTACTTTTCGATTGAGGCTCATGGCTCCATCCCCGCGAGAACTGTCCGTAGGGACGCATCTTCAGCGACCCATGTCTCAATTCTCTCAGCCACATCTCTCACGAGTTTTGTATAGGTTTCTGATTCATTGAACATCGAAGTGTGTGCGGTCACCTCGTCGATTCCCCCCATATATATCCTAACCCAAGTTGGGTCTTGCTTGCCTGTGTTTGGATCCTTCGCTGGAAGAGCACAAAACTTGCGATCTTTCTGGGCTTTTCCGTTTTGCGGCGTAGCCCCAGAGACTTCCGCTTCTTGCCGCAGTTGCCTCTCATACTCCTCTGGGTTCAGTGTAGAGGATGTTTCGAGCTGTTCCTTTTGCTGCCGGCTTTCTTGCTCTGTGGCGATCTTTGAAGCCTGTTCCTGCTGCTTTCGCTGGCGTTTTTGCAGCAGCTTTTCGCGATCCTTGACCGATTTGTTCCAGTCCTTAACTGCCCTTTCATATGCCTGTATTTGCCGCTTATGCTCCTTTCGAACCAATTTGAGGGTATCTTCGTCTTGATACTGACTGGCATCAAATTCCGGCGGTCGCTCTGGCAATGCTGGGAGTGGTGGCAACCCTAACTCAGTAGAAACGGCTTCTGCCACGTGGAGGCTCTCGCTGAGTGAACCCGAAATTGAAGTGTGTTCGCTTGTGCTTGAGACAGGAGTACAAGCTGGTGGGTCTGGGTTGATCTTGAGCTCGGCCACATCTTTTGCAACGACCTCGCCATCACGATGCTCTTCTAGAGACAGTCGCGGGCTCGAGAGGGTCGAGGGATGAAGACTTTCTCCGGACGATCGTCGTGTGGACGTATCCTGAAATTCCGTTGTGGGTGGTTCCAATGAAGCTTGCTGTTTATTTGGAGAAGGCGATCTCTCTCTGATAGGCCCACTGCTTGCTGAATAGTAATTGACAAACCTCACCCGCTTCATCAGCTTTCCTTCGGGCGTCCTTGATTCCACCGTCTCGTCGACGTCTTCTAAAGCACGAATTGCACTGTAGCGCCTCTTCAGGCCCGGATAGTCAGCAAGGCACCCACCGAATTCTAGGTGAGAAGAAACATAGTCTCCGGCTGCTTTTGCCAATTCTCCGCAGTGCTTGTTCCAAAAGTACCAGGCTCTTTGCAGTTTGCCTTTCCTGTTAGCCAAGAGAACGTCGTTGGAATACGTCGGGTTGTATGTTGGGTCTTGAAGCGTTGACGACGCATCTGAGAAGGGACTTGATTGCAGTGGTTGAGGATCTGGGAGTTGGGGAGGGGCCCGAAATAAGCTGGCAATACCAGTACCCACTACCCCCGGATGCATACCCAGGAATGGTGTGTCAAAGGTCATGAGTCCAAGAATACGATGTTGGAAGAGACTGTTGTTCTCTCGAGGAGACTGGGAGGGTATCAAGACCACTTCCGCGGCAAGGATTCCCCCCAAGCTGTGGCCGACCAATATCACATCCGTCGTGGTCGATTCACGAGGGGTTAACCAATTGCTGAAATCATCTCGGGCAAAGGAAATATTCCTCCGCGACTTGTATCGAGGGTAGATCTTCGTATATACAACATGCGTTCCAGCCACAGCGGGTGTCAAGAGGCTATGAACATGAGCCGGGAAGCTCTTGAAGCTGGTCTCGGTACCGAGGAAGCCATGAATGTAGACAACGAGCAACGTACGGCGCTTGTCACCAACTGATTTGACAGGTTGGAGCGACTGGGTTGATGAAGCTCGTGGATCATCTAATCCACCGAGATAGACAGATGAGTTAGAATTTGGACTGATTAAGGGCGAGAGATAGCCGGCGTGGCCATTGGAAGCGGTTGAAGGTGTCCTGGGAGGAAGAGGGGGCTTTGACTGTGCTGCCATGGTGGCAGGCAGTGTGGAAGAGAATGTGTCACCATGACGGGGACAGGAAGAAATAAGGCCTGGATGTTGTTTCACACGGGTGATGGCATTGTGGCAGTGGTCATTCGTGATGGTTGATTGATTGTCCTTCCTCCTTAGTCGTTGGCGTTCAAGTTGGGGCCTTGGGTCGAAACAAGGCGACGTCATACCGCATGCGCCTTTCACTTCGCAAACATTGCCAGCCGTCAATAAACAAGGCTCGACCATCGACCATAACAGACAACGGGTCCCAGCTTTGAGTGAGCATCTGTGTGCATTATGGCTCCACAGGTCGAAATCTCCATCCCGAACACCACGATATCCGGCAGCTCAAAACCCTATACCATCTACAACGTCTCCCTCCGCTTACCCTTACGATCCTTCACGGTGCAGAAGCGCTACTCGGATTTTGTCGTCCTGCACAGTGGGTTGACGGACCAAGTCGGTTCACCGCCGCCCTGCGCATTGCCTGCGAAATCATGGTTTCAGAAGACTGTCTCCAATCCACAACTGACGGAGGAAAGACGACGGGGATTGGAAACATATCTCAAGACCATCAACGAGATTGACGACTCGAGGTGGCGCTCGACAAGTGTGTGGCGGGCCTTTCTCAACCTACCCTCCTCATTTGCGAGTCAGACATCAAGTAAGGCGGGCGCACTACACTCGGTCATATCAGGACCCGGCGGAGGAGGCGCTCCGATCACAGATCCGGTCATTTGGCTCGATGTCCATCGTGATCTGAAGGCCCAGCTACAAGACGCGCGTCTGAACTTGACCAACCGAGACCAAGCATCCACACCCCAAAAGCAACACGAAGCAAGCGCGGCTGCAAAGAGTCATCTCGTCAAAGCAGGGTCATTAATCGCTGCATTAGAGGAAGGCCTGACCAACATACAAACCGCTACAGACGGAGGAGGATGGGGGGGACAGAAGCTCGGCGAGGGCGAAATCCGCAGGAGAAAAGATTTGATCGCCTCAGCCAAAAGAGATAAAGACGGCCTCGAGAACCTGCTGAACGCCATGGCCACGAAATCCAAACTCGACAGTGCAGTCGCCTCCATGCAAGAAACCCAACATCTCATGGGCAACGGTACCAACAAACCCAAAGTCGGCGGTGGCAGAGTCCTCGGCAAAGAAACTGCCGAAACGCGCGAGCTCGACAATCAAGGCGTCCTCCAACTCCAAAAGCAAAAGATGGCCGACCAGGATCGAGACGTGGAAGAATTGCGGAGAATTGTGCAGCGGCAGAAGGAGTTGGGGATTGTCATCAACCAGGAGTTGGAGGTACAGAATGAGATGTTAAGGATGGTGGATGAGGATGTTGACCGTGTACACGGAAAGATCCAGATCGCGAAGCGGAGAGTTGGGAAGATATCATGACCATCATCACCATCCTTCGAGACATGTATTCGTCCTATCATGCATGACAGCGGCATCTTGTACACAAAACAATGCTTTTGGAAACCGTTCCTTATCCCCTCAGTTCGTGTGCCCAGCTCATTCTCGGGTTTATCGGCTCACCCTTGCGGCTTGGGGACTTTCAGAAACTCTTCTGCCTCCACCGCATCCACATTTGAATGCTCTTCCTCATCCTTGCTAATCAATCCGAGTTTGCCCTTTCGAATCGACCACCACAACTCGCGTCTGTTCCCACCCAACTGCTCGGCAAAGATCTTCTGCTTGAGCTCGCGCACAACGTCATTGTACAACGTCGGCTCTTCGAGCCCCATCATCTCCTCTCTCATTTCGCCCAAACCTGCCACGACACGCGGGTAATTCTGGCCGCCAAAATCACTCCTGACCAAGTTCTCCAGAATCTCTTGCATCTGTCTCACCGCGTCCTTTATGATTTCCATATCGTCCGTCGATTCCAATAACTGTTTGAACTCTGGGATCGCGTTGTCCGGGGAGATGTGGACCTTGCCGCGCTCGCTGGATGGACGTGCCTTACGGAACAGCTCCTCCACATTGAGTCCCGACAAAGGCTTTTCTGCCTCTCTATCGCGATACCGTCTTCTCCCTTTTACTTTGCTGGGTACCTTCTTCACATCTGCAGCCTCAATCAAGCGTTGAAGCGCCTTCCTACTCCTTTCCTGCAGCTCCAGGGGTTGTTTTTGAAGCGAGTCGAATGCTTCTGGCCTCTTCGGGATCTCGTTTCTCTTCTCGGGGTCAGAGCTGTGGACGGCCCGGTATTTGATCGCGCCTTCGATTGTATGTAGGAGAGGAGAGAACGTGTCATCGATAGCCACCATTTCCTCGTCGTCATCCCCAAGTAGGCTCATGTTGTCGACAAAATCACTCATGCTTTGCAGCAGTCCTTCTGAGGGAAGGTTGCGGTGTTCGCTCAGTGCCTTTCCCGAGACAGTAAGGACTTTATCCAGGGGCGGAAAGCGGTAGGATCGGATATCCTCTGCAAAGGGGAGGATGTTTTCGATAAGGCACTCGAAATCTGCTTCGACGAGCGGTGACAAGAGCGTGAGGATTGGTTCCACCATGTCTTTCTTGACGAGGCGGCCGATGGCTACAGACCCGAGCTCGTAAAGGGCGTGAACCAAGGAGGAGAGAGCGAGTGCGGCTTCGTCGTTGCCTTTTTGCGGGACGATCATGCTGGTGTTATCCATCAGCATGTACCGCTCCACGTTGTCCGCAGGAATGAAGCCAAGAATATCGTATGCCATTTCTGTCTCCAATTTGGTGATATTTTGCTCCGACTCCGAAATTGGTACCGCTGTTCGCCCGTATTCGTACCCTCTTGCGAGCTCTTCGCGATCGAGAACCTTGGCTCCGCCTTCGTACTCTTCGTCCTTGACTTTGTACTTGTACAGATTGTGGACGTTGGTGAAGTTCTCCGCGTCGTCTTGCTCTGCGCCGCTGGGTTTGACGACATATGCACTAGCCGTGGGCGGTCTTCTGATTGACGTCTTGAAATATCGCTCGACAGCAATGGACAAGGCTGTGTCATACTGTGTCGGATCACCAAGTTTCAGTTGGCCTTTATATGTAGGCGTCGGTCGGACCGGCTTGATTTGTGGTCGCGAAAGCTCGTCAATGGCTTCTTGCATTGTTCCCAGCACACCTCCAGTAAGGTCAGCTAGTTTTCGCAAAATCTTTTCATTCTTCCTCTTGAGTTCTGGTTTCTCTTCCTCCTTGAATCCATATTCTGGATCATCGAAATCTATGCCCAACATCACCAGTTCGATATTATTGCTCGTGAATTGCTGCGCCGTGCTTTCGATGTCATCATCATCAATAGGACTTCCTGTCGCATTCGTGACCACGACGATCTTCTTCTTATACTTCAGATGTTTGCAATATCTCATCATCATGTCGACGGCGATGATGATGGCTGAGAGAATATCACGATCGTCTGTATTGCTGGGTTTGAGGACCTTAGGCAAGTTCTGCAACTCAGCCATCAGAATCTGAGCAACCGGCTGTAGCACGCTGATGTGTCTGTAACTGGGATCCGCTTGCATCTCGTTGTCGGTGTCAGCGGTGCCAAGTCCAACAATGCCAACTTGAAGCGTCTTCCGCCCCGTGAAGACGATGTTGGTGATCTTGTCATAAACCCATTGTAGCGCCCATTCGAGGTCGCTCTGGTCTCGACCATTGTGTTTTCTGCCCATCGACCGGGCCAGGTCAATGATGTATATTGTCGCCTCCTTTTCCATCCTGGCTAGGGTATCGTAGACGCAGGCTGAGGTTCCATCGGAGATTCAAATCCGGAGTTGGATCAAGGATGTGGGTGGGAGATGTGTGAGTCGGGCAGGGAGAACACAGAAGGAATATTGTGCAAGCCAACTTCGAGAGAACAGGAAGAGAGACGTGTATGTCGGCGATGGTTCCTTGCTATGCTGAGTGATGGTTGGAATACTATCTAGGTATGTAGCACCCATTTCGCCATGTAGTACGAAGCGGGGGGCGGGCACGCAGGCCACATCACGAACTTCTCGCGTCTTCACGTGGATTGACCACTTGACGTAGGTTAGGTACCTTGTACCTTGTACGAGGGCGCGCACCAAAAGTGCTGAGTTAGCGCATTTCTTAGCGTTTACGCCAATTAGCTTTAGGGCCTTGGCATGGTAGAGGAAACAATCTGTCACCTATTTTGTATGAGTAACTAGCTGGTCAAGTCATGACTTGGCCTGATCGCTGTCTATCTAAACGTCCCGTTCATCATCCTGTTCATCATCCTGTCAATTGGCTTGTTAACTGGCCTGTTAATTGGCCTATTAATTAGCCTGTTAATTGGCCTGTTAACCTGCCAGTTCATCGTCCTGTCAACCTGCCAGTTCACCGTCCTGTCAATTAGCCTGTTAACTGGCCTGTCAAGTGGCCTGTTAACCTGCCAGTTCATCGGCCTGTGCACTGTTGCAATTGCTAGGCTGTTAGTTGGCCATAGAATAGTAGAGAGAGCAATCGCTCACCTGATTTGTATGAATGGCTAGCTGGTCAAGTCATGATCTGACCTAATCGCTGTCCTGTTTATCGTCCTGTTCATCGTCCTGTTCATCGTCCTATTCATCGTCCTGTTCACTGTCCTGTTCACTGTTGCGATCGCTAGGCTTTCCGTGGGTTGGCCATTCCATGACGTCCGCGGTAGATAGGCTAGTCTCTGGATCGACCTCGCTGTCGCCTACCTCGCTGTCCAGTAGATAGATGTGCTTGCCTAGGTGACTAACCTTGCGATAGTCTCTGTAGCTACGCTTAGTCTCGCGCCCTTCCTTATACTCGTTGCTACCCTTAAGGCGTATAATCTCTTGAATATTCCGCGGAATACCTTCAATCCACTATTAAATCTACCTTTGCGGAAGCGCTTTCTACGCCCTTTTCTAGGCCTTTTTTAACTCGCTAACAGAAGGAGGAGGACCGCGGAATGTCGTTACCTTTTTGAGCTACGGCTAGGTCTTTTCTAAGGCGTTTAAATTAGGTAAATTAGGAGGGTGTGGAAGGCGAGGAATTTGATTAAATTGATAGATTTGTTGCGTATACTAGTGCGTATACGATAGCGCATTGTCCTCCTGGACGATCGTCTTAGGCCGCGATTTCTGGCACTCCTATATAAACGGGATAATAAGCGGTTAGACGATGAACTTAAGGGTAATTTTGTTAGTAGATTCTATAGAAAATAGCCCGATAGGCTATCGATCGTCCCGAGATCGCTTACCTTGATATATCGATACCAATCGATTCCTCCTTAACTGCGCCTTATTAACTTACCAGTTTGTTCTATAAATCGCTAGGCTGGCTTTTTACTACCTTTATTCCTTAGGCTTAGTCGCCTAGTGTCTATTTTTAGCTTCTATTCCTCTCTCTTAACCTCTTCGATCTCTTGATTAAGCCTCTTAATATGCTCATTTACCTCTCTACGTTCTGTGGCAGTTTTAGGCGTCTAGATGAAATAAGGCCCTTTTAAATCGTAAGTAAAACAGCCCTAGAATATAAACTTAGAATAATCTTTCTAGCGATTGCGAATAATTGATAGAATATAAGCTTTATCTGAGCGCCGTCAGACTCTTTGACGACCTCGTCTACTTAGGACGATAGAGGTCTCGTCGGACTAGATAACGTTCTTCTAATCCTCTAAGGTCTAGTGTTGATATCGCTAATAGAACGCCAATCGAACGGCTCGCTGGGCCTTATTTAGGCTAGGTTTTCTCGTTAGTTTAACGTTAGTAAAGCTATACTTCTTTAGAACGCGTAGAATAGATGATGAACTAACGCTAGATTTATAGGTAATAACATCGCTTAATTTCTCTCTACTAGATCGATCCTTAGTAACGACGGATAGGATACGCTGTTCATCACTCTCTAAGATCTCTCTAGGTCTTCCTATCCTTACGCTGTCCTCGACGTGGTGCTTAAGGATCTGGAAATCCTCCTGAGGGTTAAACCCTCGCTCCTACGCCTTCTTAAGAATCCTCCTAGCCTATTGACTAGGTACGCGAATAGCCTGTTTAACTTGCCGCGATGTCCAACCAAGCGATAGTAAGGTCAATATCTAAACGCGTTGAGCGAGCGAATATCGAACACTAGTGTGGCTAGAGGCTTATTCCTGAGATAAAGGTCTTTGAGCTCGCGGGTTGTGAGGTATTCTCGGCCGCGAGGCTTCGCGGCTACGGGCTTGTTCTACATATAAATCAGTCAAAGGTATACTTAAACGCAATAGAATAACCGTAGAAATTGAAGAATAAACCTTCCTGGCAATTACGACTATCTTTTATATCTGTTACTGATAGCGCAGACATCGCTGTTAATAGGGTAGGTTGGATAGCGATATCGACCTAATTATTCACGTTGGGTAGCAATTAATAATGGTATAGGATTGTGTATTTGTAGGTTTCTATTTACTAGGTAGATTGGCCGGGGGACGAAAAGCTAGTCCTATATTGAGCTAGATTGGGCATTGGTTGAAACGCTAAGAAATGCGCTAACTCAGCACTTTTGGTGCGCGCCTCGGTACTGCGCGCTCCGCACTCAATGATGCTAGTAACGTCTCGTTGTCGACAACGAGCTCACACCGCTGCTTAGAGCTCTCCAGCAAGAAAACCTCCTCAGACTCACTCAGGTACTAAGTACCAGGATCTTCATCCATCATGCCGGAATCATCAATCCTCTATTCAGCAGCACCCTACCACATCATTAGGTGAGCTCCAATTGTACACCATCCTTGATCTGTCCAGGCGGACTAATAAATGGCCATTCAAGCTATGGTGTGCTCCTGGGTACGACTACTTTCCAATCTTTCGTTGGGGGTATCGTAGCCTTCAAATCGCTACCTCGACCTCAGTTTGCAACCCTCCAGCAAGCGACATTCCCCATATACTTCGCCATGCAGACCGCCTTGCCTGTGGCCCTCGCACTGACATTCCCCGCCGAGAGGACTGCGATCGGAACGAACCCTGCTAGCATAGCGGGCGTCCTACATCCAGAAAACAGACTACACGTATTTACCCCGCTGGTGACAATGCTTGTCTCGGGACTGTTGAACATGGCGTACCTCGGACCCGCAACGACCAAATGCATGCGCGAGAGGAAACACCAGGAGACTAGGGATGGGAAAAAGAGCTACGATCCTCCGCCCCATAGCACAGAGATGCAAGCACTCAATAAGAGATTTGAGAGGCTGCATGGCACCTCTTCGTTGGTGAACCTGGTGTCGTGGGCTGCTATGGTCTGGTACGGCTTCTATCTCGGGCAAAGGATTGCTTGACGAGGTCCTACAACCTGACAGCAGGAAATTCATGCCACCTCCAGATTTTCCTGTGCGGGCGCCTTCTCAATACCGTCAGCGTTCGTTCCTTTCTCCCCGTGCCTGGACTTGACCCTGCTGGCTCCAATCTACTACGCTTCGCCGTTCTCGTCGGAGTCTTTCAAGCTCATTGGCTTGATCTGCATACTCTGCCCTTTCAACCTCGTTCATGCTGGGTCCCAAGAACAAGAAGAGAATCTGATATGCCTACACTCTACCCATGAAGATACCATTCACCTTTCCCTATTCGAAACGCTCTTCTCCATTATGCGGTGGAAGTGGGTAACGCTCCTCCATACCTGCTTGGATGGTCGCGGACGCCGACGTCGACAAGGCCAGGTTGCCCAAATTGGTAAGTGTTTCCAACTGCTGTGGTTCGAAGGGCCTCCGGACGACCTCCATCGACTGGATCGGTATTACGTCCCACACTCCTCCCACGAAGAATTGCATTGCGAGTGCCGAGACTACCAGACTCGTATTGCGCGGCCTAATGTAGACTGGGACGAGCGCTGCTCCGCACACACAGGCCACGAGCATTGTCAGTCTCCTGCCGAAGAATGTACTTACATATCGGAGCATAGTGCCGTCGCGAAGAGCTCCTAGTTAACCGACACAGCTGATAATGGTCACGTCAATCGGGCCTAGGAGGTCTTGATCCTCGAGGAAGGTTGGGTGGAAATCTTGACTGATTGGCCCATATGGCATTGCTCCTTTCTTGATGCACCCCGAAGAAGGCAGCGGTCGCAAAATTGGGTACATTGTCGGTCGGCATTGCTCTGAAGATCAACGAAGGGCCCTTGAGAAATTTCACCCAAGACCGATTTGACCGCTGATGTCCTCGGCAGCGTGCAAAGAACCCGACTCTTGCTCAGGGTACCCAGGCCTTGTGTGCGTTCGTCATACACTGGCATCTCAGGTCAGGGCCATCGTGAGCCAGAAGTAGCCCAATCAGACTGTAGGTTTCTCATCGCTGTCTATTAGATCAATGGCACGTTTGTTGAACCATGTTGGCAAACTTGCAGAAGCTGAATTTCGAATCTTACCCAAGGAACATATGGCTTATCTCTGTTGTTCTCTGGCTTGACACCCCCGACCCCTCTTTCGACGCTCAATGTCGACATGCTCTTTGTCCGCACAGCCTAACTGCAGCCTAAACGTGCTAGTCCAGTCCAGTCCCTTCATAAAATTGTGTGACGGAGAAATTGGCGGTTTGACAGCCAGCACACCGCACGGGATTTCCAGCTGACCCTGAGCAATCCCGCCATGTAGGAAACGAGGAGCGGACCAGCTCGATTCGCGTAGATGAGAGACACAGGTGAAGCACCGCAGAAGATGTTCTGGGTTCCAAGCCGGACATGCGCATCAGCAGCCCTGGCGCCGGGTCAGAAAATGGAGACATAGTCCCAGCGCTATGTGGGAATCCTTTGAATCCTTTCTCGGCCTCGGACGGAAAGGCAATGTACGAGCAGTGTTCGTACTGGAGGAAGGGAGGTGTTTTGCGCCGCAATCAGGACCTGGCCGCCTCAGAGAAGTTTTGGTGCGAAGGGTTGGTGGCATCCGTATTCGTTCATCAGAGCAAAGTCGAATCGGCCCCCATTTGCCTCAAGTCAGCGTCAAAGAGAAATGAAAAATGCCACACAGGGCTGGACAATTCCTCTATTGTTATCACCAGGCTGGCAAACCTTCGTTGTTCCAGCGAGTCAGCGTCCAACAAAGAGTGCCACTGGGCATGTTGATTCGTCGAGGGAACTTCTGATCATCGTAGGATTCACACGTTCTTTTCAGATTTGTCGGTAGGGCGATAAGTTTTTTGGCCCCCGAGGTTCTTTTGCTCACTTTATATTAATATGTACCTATCTAGCTCGCTAGGTCATTACATGGTTAGGGAGCATCATGTGCAGAGTTCACCTTACCTAGATACCCTATGGAAACAACGTTTTGCTTCGAGCCTCCCGTGCGGTTCGGTCCAATCCAAAATCCTCCCATCCGGAAATTGATATTACATCGTTTCTCTTGACGACCTGCTTTTCGCCTCTCTCATCCCGGGCACCACTGGCACCCTCTGGTCAGTATGGAGTACTGCCTCTGATAACAAAGGTCATGCCTCTTTTCGGCAAACGCAAATCTCTCCCTAGGCGACAGTTAGCACGGTGTGCTGCACAAGGCCGTCGTTGAAACGTGGGCCTGCTTTGATAAACAGCCTTAGTGCTTACCTCGACCTCCTTTGCTAGCTTGCTAAGTTTCATGTCTGGGTCAAGTTGTGCGCTCCTACACGCTCTCTGTCCCTTTCCTGGCACGCCTGCGTCCTTCTCGCCTGATGAGGCTGATGGCGCCCTTGGCTTTGGGCCCTTTCGTGGCGCCTTCAGCACATCAAAAGGTAATGTCGCAATAGGACGGGCCATTTACTGGGCTGACGGTTTTCCTGGCGAGCACTTTGCTGACAGAGGTTGAGATAAATGCTCTAGCCGGTTCGTTTTGCGACAACCCCTGCCTCAGACAACTCATGGCATGCTCCCAAAGTATCTCTTCGTTGTGGTGCCAGAGGCATATACTCCGGGCTTTTCTGCTTCGACCCACGGCCGGCACCTGTTCTTCAGTATAATCGTTTACCAGGCCACTCGTTTTTCTCACAATGAATCACTTCGGCGCAGGCCGCCGAGCCTCTCGTTCTTTTTATGGAAAACTCTTCAACGTCGTCCCAGAACCGGATGCGCTTGATTCCCAACACTCCCTCGATCCCATCATTCCTGCCGCGAAAAGAAGCTATACTGTTCAGAGTTTTTCCAGTCCCCAGGAGAGATTTGTCGAGTACGAGAAAATCGAACTGAGCGATGTATCGACTCCTAATCCCAACCCGGCGCCGACATTCGGTCAGCCCCTCGAGATGCCCAAAGAAGCAATCCGCAAAGGATTTTGGCCAAACTCGCATAAGCTACTGCCTCATTTGGCTGCCAGTGCCGTCACGGTCGCAGTTGTCCAGCTGAGTTTCCGCAATCGCTACTGGATGGACTTGATGGATCCAAATGTCCAAATTCTGCCTGGCATCACCCAGGGCGGCGCAATGAACGCCCTCCAGCTGGCGGCGAAGCTCCATGAGTTGATTTTGGTTGCTTCATTGGGGACCATTGTCATGCATGTTGCCCAGGCGCACTTGGTTGGCAATCACGGACTGCCGCTGGGAATGCTCGCCAACACTTTCGCGATCGGCTCGGGAGACTATATGCGGACAAAGGGCTTCTGGTCTTCGATTTGGAGTGCGAAGGCGCACTACTGGCGGTTTGGGCTGCTCTCCGTGCTTGCCACCATCCTGGCAACGTTGGCTGGTCCGTCTTCTGCCATTGCAGTCATCCCATCTCTCAATTGGTTCAGCGTCGACAAGCCTTTCGACAATGACGTGTTACCCTTCTACATCTTCAACGAGAGTACTGTCCTATGGCCAGACAACGTGACCGGCGCCAGTGAGAATGCTCCCAATTCGGGCATCGACTGCGTTACCGCTGCGATAACGACGACCGAACAAGACGCCTGTCCCGCTGGCGGCTTCAGAGACACCTACAGCTGGGCGGGCAATCTGCTGTTTTCCAACTCCAGCGCCGGTTCCAATATCAGTTTTCCTGACGCCCGTGGGGATACTCGGAGGGTGCTGTCAACGCAGAGTTGTGCCAGCGACTTTGACGGCAGAGCGTCTGGCGTCTCGTTGAACAGCTTCATCAGCGGAGCATTGACGGCTTATTGGACATTTGCTCAGAACAACTGGCAGGGCCTTGCTCTTACTACGGCACAACCTAAGCTCAGCCTCCCCGGGCCCATCTACGCGCCCAAGGTCGAAGTCATGTGCAACGGCTTTGACTATTACAACGTCTCGGAGGTCGAAGCTCGGACCCATGTCAACTTTCCCAGTTTCACACCGGACAAGCAGCTTCCAAGTCCGGACTACATCTTGCCGTACCACAGTACGCTCAATGACACGACGTTTGACTGGGTTCAGATGCCCGCGGGAACCGACAATCCGGCCATCGGCGCGGCGGTTAGAGTTCCTTGGGAATACATCGAAGTGGACGACGACAACCAGCTGAGGCAAGCAACAGAGATTCATGCCTGTAGCATCTATGCCCAATGGGTTCCCGTCGATGTATTCTACGAACCGCGGACTAGCGACCAGGTTGCATTCAACGTCAAAGGGGAGTTGACAAACACTTGCCTTTCGAGCATGCCTCATGAAAAGGCCGCTGTCCATCAACCAGTCAAGAACATGACCATCGACATGGCCTTCGCTAACGCCATTAACCAGAACATTACTTTTGTTACAGGTCCCGTCCCAGCTATCGTCGGCATGCTTAACCAAGCAGTCTTCCCAGACGACCGAGTTACGGACCAAGTGCTCAACGCTTTCAAATCGCCATTTGTCGGAAGTGCAAAGACAGGCGCCAATGCGAATCTCACAGATGACGAGGTCCGACAGAGCCGTGCCACGATGATATCAACCATCTTAGCGGGCGTCATTACCGATGGTCTGGCCCGCATTGCTGGCAACGGACTGTACCCGTACTCCGCTTCCATGTTCCTGACCAACGAGACCCAGGATGGAAGTCTTGTGGGCCGGTTCCCCGTCAGCAGTGCACAGGGCGGTGAAGACACCGTTTTGAACTCCACTGCGGCCGACACGCGCAACTGGCTTCGCATTGACCCCGTGTTTGAGCGCTACGGGTACGGCTATCGCTGGGAAGGCTCCAAGACCGTACAATTCGGCATCATTGTCCTTTTGATTCATGTCGCCATTGCGGCCATCCATTCGTTATTCCTCATCTACAAAGTCGTGATCCAGAAGGAGGGGCTGGTGGCCGCCTGGACCACAGTCGCAGAGTTGATCACGCTCGCGATGAATTCGAGCCCTTCACCGAGGTTGCAAGACACCTGCGCAGGTGTCATGGCGGCGAAAACGTGGAGGCAGGTCGTCACCGTGAGGGAGACGTATCCAGGTCATTTGGAGATGGTGGTCGGTCCTGAGGAGAAGGCCAAGCACCCGCAACCACAGGCAGGGAGGTATTATGGCCACGTAGCTGAAAAGCGAGATATCCTTGACGAAGGGGAAGCCTGAGCTGAGTCCATGTGAATGTTAGCAGAGCGAGGTGTATGGAGTAAGCAGTATATGCATTGTGCGAAGAATGACGATGATTTCTGAATGTTCAGTGGTCTCCAGGGTTTTTTGGAATGTCGATGACCGTTTTATCGTGTTTTGGTGAATGAGAAAGCAATTGCGAATAAGTGGCTGATACCCTCCAATTTGAGCACCGTTACACAATCAGGGCCATGCCGATGAAACCTACATCGCCATTGATTTCCTGCCGAATCGAGAATTGCAAACATTTCCCCTCAGAACGGACCGGCATATTGGACTTTGGTCTCTTTTCGAGATGCGAGGCTGTCAAGGGTGTTTCCCATGAACTAGCCCCCATGAACTCCATGTAAGCATTGGCATACTCCGATCAAGCATGTTCCCAGTGCTACTCATCTCGCATCTCGAGAAATATAACCCGACCAAGTCTAGTGCTTTTGGTGGATCCTTACCTGTTTTGGGTGATTTCAGGCTTCCAGCACTGCTTTCTGGTATCAAACTTATGGCCGCGACAAGTCGAAAATAGCTGTACAGTGTGGTTTGAGATATGATTCATGCAAGAACCGTTTTAGCTCGGGAGGCTGGAGTGAAACGCTACCCAGCGAGGCGATATTGAGTGCGGCAATTGGTCTTGATCGTATCGCCTTCAAGGTTGTTGCTGGAGCTACAGCCCGGTGGCTCAAATTGGACATTTGGAATTGCCTCTCAGGAGACAGGGCATCGCTCGGTGTGATTCATATTGTGGCCGACAGTTAGTGATGCTTGTAGAAGTATAAAGCACCAAGTTCGCGCACCTCTCTTTCTCACGTCCATCAACAGCGGTAGTGTCATCTTGAGTCATTCCACACGTTTCCTCACCGCTTCTGCTCCTCACGAAAAGATATCGTTCTTCCTTAAACACTTCAATCATGTCCTCCTTCTTCAACCTCTTCAAGAAGCGGAAGGCACCACTCGCTTGCGTAATGTCCATGGATCAAGGCCATACGCACACTCAGGCCTGCTTCGTGGACATCATGCCCCTTTCGGTCGTGGAGCTCTTTCAGTCTCAGGGTTGTGCGTCCTGCCCACCAGCCGTCCCACGCATCCAGGATGCGACGAACAATCCAAACCTCCTGCTTCTCACGTATGACGTGACCTATTGGAACCCATCCAGCGGGTGGGAAGATACCTTCGGCTCGACACAATGGGATTCGCGACAACGCCAGTACCTGACCCAATGGGGAAGAAAGAGTCTCTTCACACCGCAGATCGTCGTCGATGGCGTCACCGACGGAATTGGTGCAACAAAGGATGATATTGACCAGGTCGTCATGAAAGCGATGGAACTGCGAAATGGGATGACTTGGGCCCTTGGCATTGACCGAGTCGGAAACGACCTGAGGCTCGCGGCCGAGGCTCCAGAAGCGGACATGGTGTACGATGTGTTGATAGTCAAGTATGATCCCGTGCTTCAGACTGTCAAGCCTCGTGCTGGCCCGAATAAGTCGAAGAAGATCCCCCACCGCAACGTTGTCAAAGAGCTGATGAAGATTGGGGAGTGGAGTGGCGGCATTTCGAGAGTTGCATTGCCAAATTTCAAAGAGGACGGATTCGAAAGAGTTGCCCTGGTGCAGGGAGGCGTTGGAGGTCCGATCATCGCTGCTCTGAAATTGTAGGCGTTCAGTGTCTGCACCTGATCGTATTGGATAGCAGTCTCGGGATGCCGGAATGCAGAATGCAAGATGTTGATCGCTATATTGCCGAGTAGCAACAATGATGGGATCTTGATATACCTTCATTTGCATTGATGCAACTCCGTTGGGACCTACATGTATTCCTGCTACTGCGTGACCGTCTTGTCCCACGCATGATTGCCGGCGGTAGGCCATCGGACTTCTAGGCAAGTGCCAGTTGGAGGGCTGTCTGCAATGACTACAAAGTTTGTGAATGGTTTGTGCACAGTAGAGGGCAATGCCGAGCAGCGAGCTGGCTGCCAAATGTCCAACGAGTGGCATGAGTGGCCAGCATTGGTGGCTTCCAAGAAGGTCGTTGGAAGCGCATAAGGGGCGTAGGGGAAGTCCAATCCCACCACCACCTCCTCTATGCAATGGACTTGACTTTGCGCCCCATTCACATGATGGGTAGATGTTTACCGTAATGGACGATGAGGCAATGCGCTACTGCGCCATATGCTGTACGCGCAGTCTTCGTCGAAGAAAAGAAGGGGACAAATCTCCAAACCAGAACCACAGCTATCGTAGAGCAACTGCCAACAAACAGCTCCCAGCACCCTGCGTACGTTGCGCCGCGGTCAACAGCATGGCTGGGTTTGTCGAATGAGTGCTGACGTGACTCACACAAAGATATGGGTGTAATGGCCATCAACATCCCACGAATCCAAGTGGAGGGACCAGGCATCTTTGAATGGAGACGGAACTCGCCTTCTTTGTTTGTCAATTCCATTTCATGGATTGGCGAACACAGCCAACGTCAGTGGTGGTGGTTGCTTCCGTGTTGTCGTCAACGCTCCAGTCCAAAGGCCCTGTTGAAGCATGGGGATGACATTGGTAATGCAACGGATTACATCTTCTCTCGTGGACAGGGCGGTGGTGGGCTTGACGCGGCACCTTGAATGCCTGTGAGCATCACGTGAGTAAGACATAGATTCGGGCATCCGACCATCTTGGTATGGGTTGGGCTTCGAATTTCTTTGCATCCATTGTCCAGCGTGCGCCGATAGAGGCAGGGGTCAGGCCCCGTGAGTGTTCTGTTCTATTGGGAGTCTCCAGTGAGACCTTTTCCAGCTAGCGTGGAACGAGGGCGAGGGCGGTCAGTTTCGAGCCCGCAGTGTAGAACTAAATCATGAGAATGAGGATCACCGGACTGCGGGCGGTCAACATCTGGGGGGGCTTTTAGGGTTGCGGCAGGGGCAAAAGAATCGGGAGATTCGATTAGACCAGACGACCCAGACACGACAAACTTGATGGAAGTGCAAGCAGAAGCAGAAGCAGTAGTAGAAGTGAAAGGGTGTGGTGGTGATTCGCAACGAGATCGATTGATGGGCGCTGGGAGATCGACAGAAGAGATCTGGCGACAGTGGCGAGCTGGATCATGGCGGGTTGCCAAGCTTGCGAAGCTTGCGAGGGATGCGAGGGATGCAGTGGGCGACTCGGAGATGGAGTGGCACCCAGTGGCAGCCTGGACAGGAAGGTCAGGAGGGCGATTCACAAGGACAACTCCAAGCGTGATGTGATGTGCAGCTACGAGTCAAGGCCCGTGCCGGCCGAGAACAATGCTCCCCATGCTCCTATGCTCCCATGCTCCCAGCGCCGCCCATCGCTACAAGAACCACAATGGGGGAAGCGAACCGAGCCTAGAGAACATCCAGTTAAGCTTAGTGGTCTGGGAGCGCCCCCCCGGTAAGCAAGGCCCATGCCGCCATCTTTGTTTGTTTTTCCCAAACCATCGGCTGAGCAGGTCATGTCGCGTACATCTGGGACCATCACTTCAGAGGACTGTCATGGTCGGAAAAGGACGCGCTTTGGCTCACTGGGCCTCTGGGTCATCCCCGTCTCCTCTTGGGTCACTGGTCCTTCTCTTTGTCTTCTGACCTGCGGCCTCATCTGTTCCTTCTGGCCCGGCGATTGAGGTTTGGGGGTCGCGGGTCGCTGGGCGCAGGTCGCTTCAGACACCACCAGCCAAAGCCACCAAAGGACCACGGTTGAGGGTCACTCTCGCCGTCTCGATTCGGTCAAGGAGAGCAATTGGGAGTTCACATTCTGAGGCGGAAGAGATCCAATTCGTGCCTAAACAGGAGAAGCCAAGCAGAGAGCATTGGAGCAAAAAGCTGAAGCGACCTAAAAGGTGGTCGCATGAAAGGTGACCGTTGGGCGGAGTCGCTGGCAGCCAGTCTCGTGGCGCGGCAGCAAGCAAACTTCCTGCAAGCTGCACGCACCGCGACTCCGGCCACTGCTACTGGCACTGGGGGACAATCGCTGCCCAAAAAACGAAGCAGACCAAACGGCAGGTGAAGGGAGGAAAACGAAAGGGAAAAAACCACAAGCCCCGAGTGCCAGTGCTCGGGATTCGCAGAGCATCCAATCCATACCCTGGCTCCCTCTCGTCCGCCCAACCATGGCTTCTCCTCTCCTCTCCTCGTGTCTTGTTCTATGGTCTCCTCGCTGCTTTTTGCTACGGCTCCCTTTCCATCTCTCTGTGTGGAAAGGGAAAAAAAGGGCCCTCGCAAAGGGCCAATTCAGGCTTGGGGACCTTTCCGGCGTCCTCTTCCTCCCTCTCTCTCTTTGTCTCTCTCCCCCCACCCAGGAATTCTCCCTCTTCGTTGATTCCCTCCTCGGTCCAATTCCAACTCCTCTCACCTCTCACCCTGTCTACCCTCTCACATCACCCGTCCCAGACCCGTCCAGAGACCGGGAAATGGGGCATTGACGGTTCCTCGTCAGGCTCCATGTTTCTGATCTTGGATCCCCTGCCCCTCCGCCTCTCCTCTCGCGGTATTGTATTGTATCGGACCAGTACTGCTTGTCCTGCTCGCAATACATAGTACTAAACCACCTGCATCTCCCTCCTCTCTTCCCATCTCTGAACATCTGACATACTCTTTGGCTTTGCATTTCATACATCATCAATATGCTTCTTGCGGCTGGCACTCTCACGCGCTGCTGAAGACTTCACACTTTCGTTGTCAAGAGAAAAACCCATCATCCTCCCACCAAGACTTCTTCCCCACCTTTTCGCTCACCGCCACTTAGTCCATCCATTCTATCGGCACAACAACAAACAATTTATCGTCGATTCCCATTTCTATCGCACCTATGGCGATGCAATTTCAGGCCCAGACTTACTTCCCTTATGGGCAACCTCAGTGGCCCGAGGACGTCAAACCCGCTCTCACCGAAGACGATTCCTCCTCGATCCTCGACGACAAGGTCTTTGAATCCTCGACACCAGCCGATATGACAGCTGCCGATGCCTCGGACAATCGACGTCCTTCAGTCACGAAGATGGAGGACGATTATCCTGCATCTGCCCATGTCTGGCAGGAGCGGCCCCATGGTGTCATGGGACCCGTCCGCCATTACTCGCAGCCCTCACTCCCAATGTCCAATCCCCATGGCCAGTTTTTCAGTCAGATGAACGCTGCAAACTGCGGTCCCGGGTTCATGCCAAACCAACCGTGGACCTTGTCGGGACGGTCTGAAGCGAGCACTCCAACCCCCTTCTTTGGTCCGGTACAAGAGCCATTTGAGCAGCAGGTTCAATACACCGGGGGACCTGTCACCTTTTCGGGTTTCTCGCAGCAAGACCCCGCCTCTGCCGTTTCCATGTCGCCGCAGTCCAGCCAAGGTGGATGGGCTTCGACTACTTCATCCGATGCGGCCGAGACAAATCGTATTCTACGACACAGATACAGACCTGCATCCCCATTGCTGGTACTGAGGTCGGATGGTATCAGGAAGAAGAACGCCAAATTCGAGATTCCTCCCGAACGAAACATCAACACCATCGACGCCTTGATCAATCAAGCCACAAACGAGGAAGAGAAGAAGGAGCTCAAACAGCAGAAACGGCTGCTGCGAAATCGGCAAGCGGCGTATGTATAACCTACACCCCTCGGTCGTCGTTGTCTGCTAACCGTCTTTGCACAGACTGGATTCTCGCATGCGCAAGAAGCAAAATGCCGAGAAGTTGGAGGCAGACAAGAAACTTCTGATTAGCCAGAAGAACGAGCTGGAGGACACCATCGGCCATTTCGAGAACGTCCTCAACCATGAAAGACAACAATGGATACTTGAACGTCAGCGACTCGAGGAGTGCATTGCAGAGCTGAAGTATCAGAATGAGGAGCTCATTCGGACGTCGACCTTGGAGACCGGCGAGCTTCGACGAATGAACACCATCTTGAGGGACACCGTCAGGGAACTTGAACGCAACCAACACGCTCGTGCCTTCTCGACCAACGCATCCGACGCCTTCTCCAACGACTTTTCGAATTTCAAGGATCTCGGTCTGGAGGACCAGTGGAACGACGAGTTTGGCTTGATGAGCAATGAAGACTTGAAGATGGAAGAATCGGAGTCCTTGCAGCGACAAGCCACACCAAGACCCAACACTTCGTCGGCTCAGCCAAACGCCATCACCAAGTCTGATGTCAAGGTCGACGCCACTTTCAGCTGGGAGACGTTTTACATGTGCTTACTATCCGGGGCCTTCATCATGTCGCAAGCCGGTTCAAGAGCAGCGAGTGCAGCGTCCTCTGTTGCGGTTGTAGCACCCAACATGCCCGCTCTATCCGACGAATATCGTGCTGAAGCTGGCAATGTTCTCCAGGCAGTCCTTGCTTCTGGTCCCGAGGGAACCCACGAGGTCCTTCCTAGCCGGCCCGCTCCCTCGCTAGAAAACAACGGTTTTCCCCACGCACTTTCGGATGTGTCTGAGATGACCCCTCAGCCTTCCGACACTCCACTCGGCAATCTCCACGCGTCCCTCACCACTCCATCTCGCCAGCAACAAGCTGCAGCTGCATTCTCCCTCTCTGCCGCCTCTTACAACCACATTAGTAGTCCCGACTGCGCTTTCGACGACGATGACGATGTTGTCGAAGTGAAACCAACGCGACTGCAACAGCTGTTTGCAGATATGAAAGCTGAAAGGGACGGTTTTGAGAAAATGAGTGGCCTTGGCGGCAAAGCCCGAGAGCGCAGTGTGCTCCTCGATCGAGTTCCAGAGAAAGTCCTACGAGATTTCCGAGAAATGATTGCCAGGGTCGAGTGAAAAAGCCTGAAACCCGACAGCCAAATGCTCTTCGAGCTGTGCGGATCATTCAAATCCGACAATAACTCTTTATCACAGGAGTTTTCGGCATGGCGGAAAAACTCTTTTCCTTTTGTGTTCGTTGTTCACTTTTGGAGCTACATTCTCTATTCAGACGGACAAGTGTCTGAAGATGAAACCAAACCTACGAAAGCGAAAGACTCATATGCTTCAGGGCACAATTTCCTTATCTCTATTCACAGTTAGGGATTTCCTGGAATTTTGGGGAATCAGGACTTTTGGAGATCAGTTTGATACGAATAGGATACGACACATGATTGATTATGATGACCCAGAAAGAAACCTTTTAACGGCCTAACATGATATGAAAATTCTTCTCCTTTTTCTGCGTGTTTAATATTTTCGGGGCAGGGGATTGGATGAGGTGGGATGGGTGGTGGAAGTTGCACATAGCAATGACAAAGTCATGAAGCTGGGAGGGGGAAGATCGGAGGGAGATTGACACAGGAGAGGGGACGAGCAAGAACCGGGAGGCTGGGAACAGAAAAGACAATGGAGCAGTTTCATTGGACCAGAGACGTCTTCACGAGAGCAAATCAAGGGATAGGGGACCGAGCATAGAAAGACGGGCCACAGATATGGTCTGGGTGGATGGGTGGATGGATGGATCCGACCAAGGATGAAGGATGCACCTACTAGGTAGAGGCCAAAATTCAACGGCCTCCCCTTCGCAACGATATGATGTTACGACCAGGAATGACCGACCAACGTACAGTTTGATAACGCCTCTTCTTCATATAGCAACCGTATAAACCATGCCTCGCTCGGGCAAGAAAAAGACTCAAGAAAGGTGTTATCTATCGAGCACAGAAAGTCTCGAGAGCTCAGCAGATAGGGTGTCGCTGGAATGGGCCAAACGAAAAACCCACTTCCGAGCACTCTTGTTCAATGACGATCCAGGATTTCTACTTTTTGTTTGAATCCCTTAGAATCAGGCCATCTCTCTCTCTATCCTTCATCTCTGTACTTCCCCATGTCTATCAGCATCAAGAGGGTGGTCAAACAGGCTATCAGATGCCCAAGAGCCAAAGCCTACCTCCAGGGCAGCAGCCAGGCGTATGAATGAATAATTCCGTCACGGACATGTGCTTTGCCGTGCTTTGGCCTTGCTTTGATGTTCTCTTGTTTCACCGAGCTCGCTCGCTTCGAAGCTTGAACCACCCATGTTCAACCAAGTCGACGGGGCCACCACCCGTTCTTGGGTGAAAGCCGTCATAAAAACGTCAGTGGTCCGCGGTCTGACCCAGGGAAAAAGGCAAAATAGATGGATGGGACCTTTCCCTTGTCCTGAACCGCGCGGCCCAGAACCGGCCACCATGGTGATCAGATGTCCATCCCCGGACTAAGGGACGAGAACAGACACAGGTTTCCTCCAAGTCCCCTGCGTCATGCAGGCACCGCCTCATCCACCCTCGACACCGGGCGGACCAACAAGTCGACCTAGATTTCAGGAAAGGGCCGTGGCGCTGGCGATGGCTACCTTTGTGCCTGGGCGTTTCACGGGTTAGATCCTCCCTGAAGTTAGATATCAACTAGTGAGGATAGGAGGGCACCGCAGAACTGTCGCCCCATCTAGGTTGCCTGGGCAGACGGTGGGCGAGGGGCGCAAGAACAGGGCAAATAAGCCCAAGGGGGCCAGTCATGGCTAAGGTCATTATTCATTTTGCTTATCCGTCGTCGGATTCATCGGCTCCCTCGTCTCGAATTTGAGTCATATCGCCGAGTTCCCTGGATTCTGGATCAAGAGATCATCAGGCCATCGTCCAAGGTGGCCTCGGCATGCTCCTGAGGACGGCGAAGGCCACGGTCTCATTTTGGTGGATCGTACTTCTCCTTCCAAATCCTGATAATCACAAACATCAAGACGTCAGCACATAGTCACGCATCACCGCTCTTTGTCCGGGTCACTAAGGAAACAATCAAGGTTCGCGGCGAGGTCAAGAGCCGGCCCGTTGAATGCCTTAGACTGTTGCGCCTCATCAAGGACTGCGGCCCAGCCACCTCGCCTTTGAGGGTTGGGATGTCCAGCACGAACCATTTCGCAGGGTTGGTGGTGGTGGACCGGGTCGCCGAAAGGGTCGCATCAGTGTCTCCAAAGTTGACCGCCAATCAGGCATCTCTTGGCATCGAGGTATAGGACACCGCCGGAATTTCGACCCAATTCGTGTGAAAATGCGCAGAGCGAGTGTGATTAAGGGTCAGGCCAAAGAGGAGGTGATCGGGTGATAGGCAGTTCTGGGACAAAATGACATGAGACCATGACTTACCAGGAATTTCCCAACGTCTTTGCACCATTCTTTTCGGCCAATCTGAGAAGTTGTGCCGCTTTAAACTATGTCGCAAGCCCCATGTGTCAGTAACCATTTATTTCTCCGAGAGAAACATCGACCCTGATTCGCGGAGTTCAACATGACTTGGGGCTAATGCAAGGTACGGGGACAAGAGGTTTGGAGCTGGGCGCTGAGTGGACGAGTGCCATCTGCATTGCTGCCCAAAGTGAAGCTGCCATTGAGAGGGAGCTGTATTTGGGTATTTCGCGTATTTGGGGGCCGTAGGCCGCCCAAGTCTGTGTCAGAAGGGCAATAGCTCTCCCGATATGGGTCAGACTTTGTTACACCCGAATCTCATGGCCGGACGCCCTTCGGGGGCGGATGAGGCTCAGCTGGACCGATGCTGTCGCCGCTGTTCATCACGTGGCGAGAGCAAAGGGGGGTACACGTTGATGGAGAGACGCAGATATCCAGGCACATGCAAATACTTGGGCTTCCAAGCAGAGCATCAGCGATGAAAAATAACGCGGAAACTCACCTTATCCTTTTTGCCCCCAAATCCTTCGAGATAGCACCAAGCAGCTTCGTTCATGGCATCGGTATCTCCTAGATTTGCCGCCGTCTCGTAATATTGCCTTGCGGCGACTTTGTCGACCGGGACACCCCAGCCGTTTCGGAAGCAGTTTGCCAGCTCGAAGATTGCAAGCACAAGCTCACCCTTGGCGGCGCCTCCCTTTCTCATTCCGGCTTTCAGAGCATCGGATTCGATGGTGGCAGAGTTGGATGCTGCAGCCGACAGATAGGTGACTGCCTTTGCAGGGTCAGGCTCACAGCCCCAGCCATGCCGGAGAGACAGTCCGTAGAGGACCTGGGATAAGACGTTCCCAGACTCTGCAAGTTGGTGGAACATCTCGGTTGCTTCCTTGAGCTCACCAGACTCGTGAAGCTGGATCGCCTTCTGGATGTCAACGTCGCTCTCTGGGTCGTTTATACTTCGAGGCCGGGATGGAGGTCGCCCAGGGAGGCCCAAGTTGAGAGTCTCTGGGTCGCCTGTTGGAGAATGGGCCGGCATGGCGGGACTCTTGCTGGCTAAAATGGTCGCACGTTCCTCCCACTTTGCCTCTGTCTCTTGACGATCACCAGATTCAGTATATGCATCGGCGATTTCAGGGAGGTCAGAAGGCAGATTGACGGAGCTGGTGCTCGCGGAACGATCCCTATTCAGATGCAGCCGCTCAGACAGTCGCCGATGTTCCTTCTTTTCTTTCTCTGGGGACGACAGGTCAGCGGCCCCGGGACTCTGGCTCTTTCGGAATCGACCAAATGAACGCCTCGAGGGGGAAGGACTCTTTGGCTCGACGGACGCAGCGAGCTCCCGATCGTCCTCAAATCCAGGAGGATGGACGTATTCTTCTGTATGTGTGTCGGTGCGGACAAAGGTGAACTCGGTTGCCTGAGGCAGGGCCGGGGCTGGAAGGGCGGCATCACTATCAATCTTGTCCTTTTTCTTGAGCAAGTCTCTCAGAGGCATTGTAGACTGGCAACGTTGGGTGTCGTGGTTAGGCCGCCTCTCGGAAGGAATCGATACAGATTGTGGGGTGGGTTGGTGGACTTTGAGAGTGGGCAAAAGGGTCAGGAGATGCTGCGATATTGGCAGTACCTCTTAATATGCATGCAGGACTTCAACATGGGCATGAGAGGCAAGAGAGTTGAGTGCGACCGCGTTGCGGCTGTGCGAGCGGTTACTGGCGAGCTGGGGGCTGCGGTGAGAGCATTGAGAGGATGAGTGGGTGAGTGGGTGAGATTGGCAGCGTCTGTTGGTGTCTTGGACGGCGAGATTAGACGGCGTGTCTTGAGCATGGCGGTGCAGGCGGCGCAGGCGGTGCACGGGGGCCTAAACCAGCACTACGAGCACCTCGAAAGCTATTTTACAGGGAGTCAATAGATGGTGGTGGTTCTTCTTCTTCTGCTGCTGGCCTTTGATACTTCAATTAATTCTGCTCCTCGTGGCTCCTATACTGCAGTTCCCTTTTGCATTGTGTCTAGATGCCTGTGGCAGGGATGAAACTGGCGTGTACCTCGTACGGCGGCTCGAAGCAGCCAAGTGAGGGGCAACCTCCCCATTGCCTGCCTGATAGATTGGCAGATTGGCGAACTCGAATACTGACGATCTGGGAACCTATTTTTCACCTCGTTCCTCGACTCTAGCTAGGTAGCTTCGCCTTCGCCTCTGTTCCAATTATTGGCCTGGTGCTCTGTACGTCTTGGTCTGATCATCTTCCTCTCCAGCCTAATCATGCAGGCTTTGGATCTGCCCAAAGAAATCCTAGCACAGGTCTTGTCCTATCTGGCCCCCGCGGACATTGTTCATATTGGTCAAACTTGCAAGGCTGCGCATGAATTTGTCCGTCCCGAGAACCAGATCCTCTGGAGATCAGCTTTCTTGCATGTCTTTGATGATCCCAACGATGCTTGGTCCATGATGCCCGGTCACCTGCCACTGGCGGCAGAGCGTGGGTGGGATTGGCATCGCGAACTTTCCGCTCGACTGATGGCTCTACAACGTATCCAGTCAAAACGATGTGGTCTCGAGGCTCGTGCAGAAGCCTATCTCAAATCCCTACTCGAAATCCTCGACACGGCAAAGTTCGCACTCAATCCTCGTGATATTGCTAACGGCAAAACTCCCAAGGAGGACGATCGGACAACCTCGTTGAACCTCCAAATCCTCTCCGGCCTGGTTGCCCACCGGGACGGCATCGAGAGTCTCATCCACGACGTGGGAACACAGAGGGCGATGTGGCGCGCCAGACCTGACGACCCCCTATTGGGTTCGACATTACGTTTCACCAGGAGCATGGCCGCGATTGAGAATGACAAGAATCGACCAGAGTCCGCCTCTCGGCTCCATGTACTTTACGGCCTGACAACTCGTGAGCGGATCGAGCACAGGGCTAGAGGTGCTGCCAGGCGGAAAGTATACAATTGGAGTTTAAGTGGCCCAGAAAATGATTACGGCCCCTTTCGTCGCGATGGCAGTGGGGAGGTCGACTGGTCTCTCCTCGAGGCCATCTTCAGCGTCATCAGCCGCAATTTCTCCATGTGTGTCGAAGGCCGCATTGCGATGCCACAAGGTTTCTGCTTTTCTCTCCCTCACCGCACTCTGGCCGATCCAACCACCCCCAATGACTGGGCGCGCGTTACGGGGTCTTGGTTAGGGACGTACGCCTGGCTCGACTACGCCGACCTCGTCGCATTCAACACTTGGAGCAGTGAACTTGCCGCTCAGCCGAGCCTGGACGACGAACCCGAAGACTGTGGCGATCTGATGAAGCTCGAACTCAAGCTCGATGACACCGTTTCTTCCGATCCTCGGTTGATGACGGCCCTTCCCGTGTGCACTGACTTACCCGTGCTATATTTCTCAGGTCTTTCTCGTGGCCACGCCGGCATACACCGGCCAGTCATAGCGGTCAGAGGTTGCACCAGCCTCGTCCCAGGTGGACGAGAGGTGAGATGGAGATTCATCATCAACTACGGCGGTCAGGATCAGTGGCAGTTGGAAGGCGTCCAGCCCGGGGGCATCAGGTCCGGCGGCGTGTTCGGGTTGTGGACACAATGCGATCATGAGGACAACGGCCCGGTCGGCCCATTCTGCTATTTCCCGACCGAGCTTTGCAAGCCAACAAGCGTTGTTTTGGCTACTTGACGTGCCCCTCTGAAGGTCATGAGATGTCCACAGAAATCATTTCCAGAACACAACTGTTATAACATCACTATTTCCCTCATCTCTGTGTATGGGATCAATCTCTCTATAGTGCTGAAGGCTGACCCTTGAAATCGCCCGCCTCCCTTGCCGGCGTCCAGGTATCTCGTTGCAATGTTTGCACTTTAGACGAGATGGAGGCTCGTTTGGGCTCCCACGGAACCCGACACACATTCAAGACAACAGGAAGACCCCATGACGTCGCAGAGCACTTAGGAAGGACTCTGAAGGCAGCTGGCACTTTCAGCAAGGAATCTTCTGCTCAGCCGACGGTCCCAGAAATCACACTGCAAGCTGCAAGCTGCGTGGAAGCGACTCTGATCTATGTCAACAGATCGAGACCGACGGATTGGCTGTATGCCTCGAGGACATGCCACAAATCCTTCACTACTCGGAGCTTATGCTGCTCAGCCAGGACTGTAGCATGGCAGTAGCGCTGGCCGGAGACAAGATGGCGCAATACCAACAAGAACTCCGCCGGTCGTCCTTGACCAGAGAAAAATCGAAAGCGGTAAAGGGGACAGCGGTGCAATGAACGTGTCTGAATTTCCCTTGTAAACCGGATGGTCACCTGAGTGGTCTCGGGAGAGTGGCTGGTCGGCCTTCTGCTGAGGAGGGAGTATACGAGTGCGCCCATGACCATGCCGCCTCGATGGTCTCTTTGATCTGGGACGCCACCCTGGCACGCGATCAGATCTCTCTCACCGTTTGGGACTCGGCCTTAGGATGGATTCTCCCACTGCGCCATCTGGAACTTTGGCGCTTGATGTTGGCGCTGCTTCTTGCTATTGCAATGCTGACTCGTTGGATTTCTGTACCATTGGAAGCACTCTTCCGCCTAGCATGTCCAGTGGGATCGGCCTGGCGGTTTGTGCGATGAGAAGCTTTAGCTCCACGAGACCGAGCTTCAGCTCGAATCTGTTCCCTGTTCCTTATCACGAGAGAAAGTCCCAGATGACGATCTGCTGCAAAAAGAAAGAAACTTCCAGCCACTGCACCAACGACATGCTCTTACCGTACGCGCGCCCACGGCAATGAGCTCAACGATGCGCCTGCAAGGACCATCTGGCGCTGCAGGATGACCGAGATCAGGCACGCAATACGCCGTTTGTGGTGTTCGTCCATGGTACTTAAATCGGCTCACTTACACCCAACGCAGGTTGTTGCAGGTGGATGAAAGCCGGTCGGGCAATCTTGGACCAACGGACAACTAACAAGGGGGGGGAAAGGGGCATTTTGGCCTGGAGCCCGTGGTCGGTAATTGCCGTCTAGATCTCCACGGTGAATTATGTATTGGGGCACAGGAACAGTGCCAGTGATTAAAGATTGCCGGCCCGTTGAGAAACCTATTGGGGGGATTAATTCCGATTAATTACTTGTTGTGTGAATTTGGTGCTCTGTAACGCTCATGTGGACCGCAATAATGTGACCGTTGCAAACATAAACCTGTTCCCGAGCTTCGAGTCGCTGCTATGGGCGGGGGTGGCAGAGGGATCGAATAACTACGGCATACAGGGAATAGGATTAAAGGAAGGAAAATCTACGCCATCGTCAAGAATTCCTCGCGAGTGTCAAGACTGTCCAAAGCTGCAAACAACGACGACGTCGTGCAGCGGCCCCCAGCCACGCAATGCTCTCTCTGTGCCCTCACGGGAGTAGTCATACTGTCAGCTGCATCGTGGGACAATGGGACAAGAACGAGGGCAGCGGATAAAAGATTGACATCAATGCTATCGGCATCAAAAACTAAGTACAACATCATCCTTTCTCCAGCAAAGTAAATTGTGCAAGAAATTTCTCCTGCTCAGTTGCTCTCTTAAATCTCAGGAATTGAATGCTGGCTGCCATCATAACACGCTGACAGGAAAGTCCGGAAACGAGAGGGCTGCAGATAATCTTGCCATATCCATGGCACCCTCGTATCATGTGGTTATCATCATATCGTCGTGGTTGTATGCAATCGTCAAGTGGTCGTGGTCTGAAGCCGGCCCTTGTGGCTTTACGTGATGCGAAACGGAAAAGAAATTCGTCTGTGTGGTTGGGAAAGCTCCTCCGCTGACTCAATCGACAGGTCTTTACAATGTATCATGACTTCGGTGGCTGCGAAGGGAAAAAAGAGCGGGCAAATGCCAACTCTTGAAGCGAGAAAGTGGCGGTCTGGTGTCGTGCCATGCTCGCAAAGGCCAATCAATATGCATGGCCAGCAATTGCCGTTGTAGCGCCGAAAGGGCGGGGTGTAACCAGTACTTCGCACAGCTGTGTCGTCCATAGATCCACCAGCCGCACCCACAGCTCCAACAATGGTTGTAGTCGTCACGCTCGGGCTAGTCCTTCTGCCAGAGTCGCACAGGGGACGTTGACCTCCCGAAGGAGCCCTGTGTTGGGTCGCCTGGGCTGGACACGCCGTCGCCCCCAATGTTAACTGGATATCAAGGAGAAAAGGACGAAACGATGCTTGCTCATGGTCAAAAATTGGTGGTAATGATGCCGCAGAGAAGAGAAAGAAGGCGTGACGCCTTCAGGCACTCGGCGCTGCGTAATGGATTTTTGCGCCGGGAAGACCTCGGGCGACCACTTGGTATGTCGAGGACGAAGACCGCGGTGCGAGGAGCTCCGTGGAACCATCCTCCTTGGCGGCTGCAGCAGTCAATCGAGGCCGCATAGTCGAGGGTTCGTCAAAGAAATCGTCGTCTCGGTGATTCTCAAACGAGAAGCCGGTACTGAAGAGCAATCGCATCAGACTCTTGATCATGGTCGCCAATGGGTAGTGATCAACGGGGGGTGACTGGAACTGGAGAGAGACAGAGAGAAGAATGGACATACAAGACAAAGCCGAGCAGATATGCTGCCATTGATATGGCCGATCTGGCTGCCCCTTGAGGTTGGGAGTGGTGCGAGCAAGTGGGGTTGGATGTCGACGTCGTCGCCTGCATCAGCTGCCCTCGCTGCGACCAAAAAACTGGGTAGCGATGCGGGGGTGCAAAGGGGGACCCAGTGGAATGACTTGCGGGATCGGATGATCTCTTGCCCTCCGAAGGGTTACGCGGCTTCGCCGGGTGTCACTTTAGTTGGTTGGGGGGAAGAAAGTTGGTGGCTGGGCAGGTTGATGGACTAGGTATGATTGTCAAACCAAGAGTCCAAGACACACCGATGCAACTCTTGGGGAGGACCACGTGTATAATATAGGTTTTTCTGCCCACACCCACCCACGCAGGATGCAGGAGCAGGAGGCTTTGAGAAAGGGACTTCGTGGTCGAGGCTGGAGGCTGATGGCAGATCCGTCGAGTCCACCGAGTATTTTCGCACAGGCAGCCACTCGAGACGCCCCAAAGGATTCTGGCTGAGGGCCGACACCATGGTCCATGGGTGCCATCCACGAGCGCCCGGGTGTTTTTTTGGTCCATGTTCTTCTCCGCAAGTTAGCAGGCTGCTCCTAGGGCGCTAGCTGTTGCTATGCTTGCTATGCGCCCTTTCTGACTGGAGCGTCATGCGAAAAAGCTTCACTCGGTGGCCGTGGGCCGGCGGTGGGTGGCCAATGCCATTGAGTTCAGCGAGACCTGATGCTCAAGGCCTGGAACAATGAGCCTCTGGATGTGCAGCTGGCTATCATCTGCCATGTGGCTCTTCCAGCCTTTGAGCGCTCGACGGCACCCCCTATTGTGGAAAGACCCTCTCAGATTGTTTATTGACGCCAGCCAGCCTCGTTGTGCGTTTACACCATGGGCCAGAAAGTATTGTCCATTTTGGGCGCTGGCTGGGGATCATCAGGGTCGCCTGCGTGACGTTCATCACTGTTTTTGGAACAGCTGTGGGTAATCGTAGAGCTTGGAGGCTTTGGGGGCGCAGCTGCCAGGGTGCAATCCACCAGGAGCTTTAACCCCAATGGAGATCCAGAAGTTGCTGATGGCTTGCCCTGGACAGGCCTAGGCTCTCGTTTAAGACGCCCGTGGTGCCAGATGACAACATCTGCACCAAAAATGCATCATTCTTGCGTGGACTCTGTCGCGTCGCTGGCCAAAGCAGCCGACGAGCCTGTGACCCAACCTCGAGCCCAGCTAGAAATCCCCTTTTGTTGCTGGCTTGAAAGAGTGTGTGAACTGAAACATCGGTACGCTGTTGTCGGATCATGATTCATCGCCCCCTACCTAGGTGTGTCTCTCCTGCCGATCGCAGTTTCACCCACACACCGTCACGAGGAGACATCGTTACGCCGATGCTGAAGGTTGTCTCCTTATCCTCCATATCATACCGAGTGTCTTCACTCGGCCAATTGCGAGAATCCTTGGGTAGGATTTGCGATGCGGGGCTGTCGACAGCCTCGAGGTGTTCAAACTTCTGCAGGATACGGATGACCAGATAGGAGACGGTCATCATCGCCATGTTCTCTGGGACATTTTGTCAGTTTGGCCAGGGTCAAATTCAACACCACTAGTCAGGAACGACTTACTGCCTAGACAGACACGAGGCCCAAATATGAAGGGCATGAAGGCTCCTTCAAAGTCTGCCGTTGTTCCAGCGCCAACCTCTTCCCATCGCTCTGGTCGAAACACGTCCGCATCCATCCCAAAGATGTCTCGCCGATGGTGCAAAGCATAAATGTTGAAGGCCACCTTGGTGCCAGCTGGTATCAACAGCGGGCTTTTGCCGTCAGGGCCGCCCCCTTCTGGGAGTATAGTATCAACCTTGGCCGTGCGCCCATCCAGGGGCACCACAGGAAATACCCGAAGTGTTTCATTCAAGACATGGCGGAGATAGGGGAGAGCGGCGATGTCTGCTGCCGTCGGTATTCTGCACCCTTGCAAGTGAGTATCGATCAAGCTCCGAAGCTTCGCCATGACTTCGGTATGTCTGGCCAAGGCATAGATCACCCATGAGGCGAAGGAGGCTGATGTATCCCTGCTTGCCAGGAGCAAAGCCAAAAGCTGATCTCTTATGACTTCGGCGGGGATGGTGTCTCTGGCCACCAGTGAGTGCATGAACGAGGTGCCCCTCCCTTTTCCCGGGTCTTCGATGCTGTGCTCGGCCTGGGACCGCCGTGCATCCTCCAGGTATCGATTGACGAATGCTTTGCAAGTCCGACAAGATTGTCGAAATCTTGGGGAATCGCGAACCCAATAGAAGTTGATTAGCTGACCTCTCTGCCCTAGCATGTGAAGAGCATGGTCAACAGCCAGAGAAAAATCCCCTGCGCTCCCCTTATCCTGCTCTCCCGACCAGTGCTTCAAATCAAAGAGCAAGGAATTGGTACTATGGCCGAAAACTGCCTCGGTTGCAAAGTCAGTGCTCAACTTCAAAAACAAGTCGCCTACGTCGACGGGCGTGTCCTTGAAGGCCACGTCGATAAGCCGCCGCAGGAGATGCTGGACATGTACTTCCAATTGTACAAAGTCTTCGTCGAAATTTCTCGTGAAATGTGGTCTGTACCAATATTGAGATCAGTGCCGCCCTGTGATCTCGAAATGCCTACAGACCTCAACATGGCGCGAGATCTGGTCCATTCTCGTCCGTCCAAAGCAAGAATGCCGTGGCCGATGAGGGCATGAAAGTTCCCGGCACGATCTGACCCAATCTCATAGTCTGGTTACGTAGGGTCAGTACAAATTACTGTCCCGGCAATGTTGACGCACACACCAACCTTTGAAGCGTGTTTTGCAGATGGTTTGCACATTGGCGGGTGATCTGGTCAATACGACGAGTTGGCCGGTCACTCGTTGGGTATAGGTGTGGCCATGTTTCTCAAATTCTTGTAGCATAAACGCTGGGAGTCTCCCTGCTCGGTCTGCTCTTATGGTTGGAAACATTCTGGGCATGTCAGGACGAGGCTCAAGGCCAGGGCTCCATAGGTGATACTTGTCCAGTCCAAAGGGTAGCCACCACGGGTTATGTAAATGCTTCAGGGCAGGTCTGCAGCCGTTGGAGGATGCAAAGGCTGCTAGGTCCTGAAAGAGCCAGGTCAGTCCCATAGTCAAAAACATGTCATCCCGTCTGAGAATTGTATTGGGAACGGGGTGTAGAAGTTTATTGTACCTTGTATCTTTTCCATCGTTGTATCCCAGCTCCTGCAAGGAACAAGGCTAGGCACCACAGTAATGCGCCAAAGATATCCATTGTTTTGTGACCAACTTTAGAGGAATTTTTACAAATCCTCCCAGGCTTGGAGAAGGTAATGAGCGGTGCTCTGAGAGAAGAAAAAAACTTGCTGAAAAAGGTGTGGATGGCAATCAGGACTCTGTATCTCTATGGCATCGAAAGCGCTGAAAGGTAGGAAGTCCAGTCTCCAAGAGACGAGAATCGACAGGCATGGTACCTAACAGAGCGTCGGATTTGTTGCGAGATTCGGTAAAGTCATCGATTCTCTGGTAGGGACTCGCAGCATTGTTGCATGGCTAGCCCCTCAAGGTAGTGGCGCAGCACGCCGCATTTGACTGTGGACTTTTGCTGCCTTTCCAAGCAAGTCAGTTCTTTGATGTTTGACGATTTGTGCGTTTCTGTATCTCATGCGAGTGATTAAATACAATCAAGATTATACTGGAAGCAGGGAAGATGGACGTGTTGCAAAGTGTGCCCCATGGAAGAAGGCGCAGGTTGCAACTGCTTCAATACCTACTCTCGATACAAACTTGAATGACTCGCAGGTCTCGATGGGAAACAAAACGCCAAAAGAATTGATAGCAGATCAGCTTAAACAATCCGAGATCCTGATAAACGCCAGAGTGACCCATCTCATCCCAGAAGAAAGACTATGTGCACCCAAAACTCCATCATGCTAATGCGTAACTCCAATAGCAGCAGTCTCGCTGAGTTTCCCTCTACCATGACTCGTTGTCATCGTCAAGACACCATCATATATGCGGCACCCATTTGCCCCAGTCTACCTGTTCATACGCCGATATTGGCACCCACCTCAACGCCGCAAATGACTCAACAAGCACATAGAGCCTAGCCAAGCCATACACAACAGCAACCGCGATCGATGCCGGGATCCTCCACCAGGGTACAATCACTCCATCCGTTACCTTCCCCTTCTTGGCCCTTCTGTGGGCCAAGTACTCTTCAAAGTGGTCCATGAAGAACCAGACGATCACGCAGCCTATCAACACAATGGACGCGATCCGCCAGAGCAATTGCTCAGTGTTGGTCGCCAGAGGTATATTCCATGCCGCAATATGGAGACCAGCATAAGCAAGCGTGGCGATGGCGCAGACAATTGTGACTGGCTTCTCCATCACCGGCAGGCGGTCATTGCGGACTCGGTTCGCGTCATACGGTTTCCGCCCCCAGAAATGGCCGTATATGTCGGTAAACGAGGAAGTAAATGTCGGGAGGCCATCATCGATGATCGTCAGCTTGTTGTACGGCGCCAGAAGTTTACCGTCATTGTCAACCACGTTGCTCGTCTGATGTCCTGCGACGTATTCCTCCAGCAAATCTCGCTGCTTGCCACTCCTCTCCACGAATTTCAACTCGATATCTTCAATAGCATGGCCCGCCATTTCGAGCACAATAAAAGTCTGCACATCGTAGGGTTTCCGGTACCAGGCGATGAGAGTACCCAAAGTACAAACCACAAATGATAAGGTGGTGATCTCCAGGGTAGTGGTCTCCAAGTTTTGGATGGTTCGGGCAATCACCTGTATAGCGAGCGAACTCACTTGCATGATGGCTAAGAATTTGGCCAGACTGTCGGACTTGCTGCGATCGTTGATTTCCAAGGGTGTTATCTTCGGCAGGTCGATGTATCTCTTCCGGACCAGGTGGTTGATATGTTTGGCGGTGATAATGTACACCTGACCCGTACTGTCCCTGAGCCGGAAGCCGCCCATGTTGGCATAGAATGCATGCCGCAACGTCCACCTCTCATCATGTTTTCTTCTTTTCTGCTCTGCGAATGTCTCGGATCGTCGCATTTTTGGTCGTGTACTTTCTGCTTGCGGCAACTCTTCAGGATCAGGTCCAAGATTGTGACCTCTAAGCTCGACTGTTGGGGTAGCTGTGGATTTCACGTTCAGTCTCTCGCCGGCCTCCATTTCATGGGCCTCGTCCAGCTCGACGATGATCTCTCTCATTTCCCGCCAACAAGCACGAGCCGAAGACCACTGGCCGGCAGCTAACAGTAGAACGACTTCGGGCACCATGCAGCAGTTTCCGACTATTTGTGCGTTAGTTGTACGCTCAACAAAGAATGAGTGAGGACCCAACCCCATTTTATCCTTCTGAACCATAAAGCAAACATTGTATCGGTATCAGGCGGAGCCGGCACATTGAGATGGACAGCCGTCCAAACCTAGAGTTCGTTATAGCATTAGCGAATCAAGTCCGCAGTACACAGGCTTCCACCAAAGCTCATGGGAACATGATACGCCATCTGGAGGTACATACACAAATGAAGACGGTGAACAAGCATGACCATACGATATCCATTGTACCTCGCTGGTTCGGAGAATCTTGCCAGGAGGTGAAGTCTTCGGATTCGTTGCTGTCTCCTCGAACACTGCCTGACACCGAAAGCAATAAAATGAGAAATACCGAGGTATTCATGGTGTCAATTGCCGTGGGAGGGGGAAGATGAGTCTATGACCTTGGAGCTGGTTTCAAGGTGCAAGAGGGCATAATTTTTATATCAGCACAGCAGATGGCACATCTGCAAAGCTGACGAGGCTCGAGAACCAGCAAGTATGTGGCTTCATGCATCGTCTTCAACTGGTATACTGGATTGTCCAACGGGTGGGATCGCCGAAAGTCCGTTAGTATCCGTGCCTGAGAGATTGTAAGCCCCCAAATGAATAGTCCACTTGCTGAAATTGTGACTCCTGCTCAGAGTCGCTGGGTGAAGGGTGCCATCAGTGACACAGCCTCGTGGAAAGAGTCATGGCTGCTGAGACAAGGGCAGAGGCAGAAAAGGACAGACGAAGTAACGAGAGAAGATACAGGGCAGCAAAAGAGCGGGTTTCACAACCCGCTTTCACGACCGAGCCTCAACCGCGTCGTCAACTTTTCGACAATGGATGAATCATCTGTGACACAGATAGCTGAAGTTGGAAGGTATAATGGGCGTGGCGGGCCTAATTCACCACGTTTTTAGCGATCTGTCCCTCTTCCTCAGTACGGAGTCCCTCTGGGTCCGCAAGCAAAAGCGGACAGGAGAACAAAGTTCGCCCTTTGGAAAAGCAACGAGGACTTAGGAAGCATCAATTCCTCCGTTTCCACAGGGCTAGGCAACCCGCTAGAGACCGAAAAAGCCTAGACGATGAGGGAATGGGCTGCCTGTATGGGACCACTTTCTTCACAGTGTTTTGGAACGCATCTTTTCGAAACCGAGTCGGCATCGAGGTGAGATGTTCGTGCGACTTCACCAGCGATGCATCAATCCAGCCCCCAAGGCCAAGAGGGTTGAGTAAGGTTTCCTGTTGGGGTTGATAGCCGCCCACGTCTCATGTCGATCAGCCCTATTGAGGGTGGCTGGGCCACGAAGCCTGGCTGCGAGTGGGTGACTAGGTACGAAGTAGTGAGTAGGCAACCTTCTCGTAGGTTCGTCCCGCCCTCCCCAGAGCGGTCACCGGCCGGTCCGCTGAAGGATGTTTGATTTGGCTAGAGTTTGGTCAATAACAGCGAGGACAACAGGCAGGGCCAAAAGGAAGCCACTCAGCCTGTTCATTTGTGCATGTTCAGCGCACGCTCATGGTAAGGCGGTGCTTTGAAACAGTACAAATTCCTCTGCATATGGTGGATAAGGGTGCGGCATATGCCACTCGTACCATTCTCTTTTTCTGCAGTAAATTCTTTTATTGGCATCTAGGGCCATGGAACGCATGGCAGCACTGTGGTTGTGGGGGTTGGTGGTTGCGGCATTAGGGGCGAGCCTCCGAAGAAGGTGAAATATGCCTCTTGGGCGAGCGACAAATCCAGTCCATGACTAAGTTTGCATCTCACCGCTCAAAAAGCCTACAGAGGGAAAAGAAGCCCACGTAATGAGATCTTTTCTCTCTGCTATGACCCTTTATGGTCATGGGCATTGTCATCGCCAGGTACAGTAGTAGAATACTATGTTGGCCCCCGGCAACTACGCGATCATCACCTTCAAGATGGACCTTCTCTCGACCTTCGATGGCATGCTGAGCGACTTGGTTATCTCGGTGTAACCGAGTTCAGTTCAGAAATCCCGAATATCTGTCTCAGCCTGAAAGTCACGAGGACCATTTCCATGGAGCAACCTGCAGGATTGGTGGATGCTTCAATGCTTGACTGATCATTGGATGCTTGGTTCAGGTAGAAGTGCATCTTTTCCGATGCGACACTCCTGGGGTGCTGTCGCTATTATTATCAGTAGAATAGTCCTCTGGATCGGAGTATCTAGCTCCAGCACTTGGCCCATGAATTCATGTTCAGACATCTCTGGCAAAATCCTAAACATCTTGGCTGTTCAGAGAAACAGCCCTGGAATGGGCCTGAAAAGGGATGGGGGAAAGGGAAAGCTGTAGCGAAGGTGTCGAAGGATACAAGCGCCGGCCCAAGAGGAATTACAATGCGATCTAACAGTGGTCTCTGGGGTCTCACCTTGCCCGTCGACGATATCTTGTTTCGAAAGGCGCTTGGCCAAGCGATCAAGCAGCATTGTCGCCTGCGTCTCTGCTGGACTCACTGCTCTATCTGTCTGCTTCTATCGTTAAGTAAGACGTTCCTGTGGCCTTCAGGTTCGCCTAAGCTTGCTCCGAGTCCATTAGCAGGGTCCAAAGTACATACCGCGCCATGAGAAAATGCTTCTCAACTCACTTTAATCCGCCACTCGTCCACCAAGCCCTTGTAATCCTCTGGACCATATGGATACCAGATCTCTGCCCACCAGGTTTTCTTCCTTCTGAATCTTAGTCCTAGGTCCCTAAGCAACATATCCATGTATGGCACCGCATCGAACACAAAATCCGGAAATTGCTTCCCGAAGGCGCCCGGATACCGCCATTTGCCAAACTGGGTCTGCAAGATCGCCTCGTAGGCCACAACGTCCGGGTCGAAGCTTTTCGTGGAACTGAGTCGTTGAGCAGACAGCTGGTTGTTTAGATAAGCTGTGATCCAGAGTGCCTGGGCCTGTGCAACAGGAACGGTGTGGATGGTGAGAAGGATACCCAGGAAAGCGATGGAGGGGTCATTGATGCTTCCGGCTGGCACAATAAAGCGATATAGCCGGAAAGGGCGTTGGTTGACAACGGCTTCGTCCTTTGCCGGTTGTAGAGGCTTGTAATTCTGGTATGCTTCTGGTTGGTCTTTCAGTCGAGGAAAGCGTCCCAGAATCTCTTTATCGGCGCGACTGACAAGCTTGGATTCTGGTTCGGAAGAATTATGCGGGATGCCTAGCTCTGCATCTATGCCTTCAGGAAGGAACCTCATGGAGGGTTTGTGGTGCCAGCCCGTCGAACAGATCAAAGCGTCAGCACTGACTGTTGTGCCGTTGCTCAGGTGGGCAGTTCCCTTCGAGAGATGATCGATGTCGGCAACATGAACCTTGATAGCTCCGTCGCGGACATACTCGAAGATGTCAGTGGGATAGTTCAAGATTGACAGGGAGGAGGCATGCCAAAAGGTGGGGAGCTTTGGCCTCAGCTTTGCGGTCTCGGGGTGTTTGTTATATCCAGTTCGCTCATCCAGATCGGCCGTTAGAATACCCCAGAACCTGTCAACGAAGAATCTTCCAACCCAAGTACCATGCAGCATATTACGAATCCACGCGAAGCCGTCCTGGGCACCCCAAATACACGGGCTGAACCAGGTGAAAAACCGGACGCCCACCAAACCCTCAAGTCTCTTTTTGAAAGGTGTGACGAGGGATGGTGACATCCAGTTGGCGCCGTGGCCGGACTCACGGATGATCCAGTCGACAGTCACCCCTTGCGAAGCTAAGGTGTATGCCACATCGTACGAAGACTTGGAGCCTCCGAGGAGGATGACGTTCCTGGCGGACTTCAACAATCCATCTACACGGTCTTTGAGATGCCTCACATGGAAGACAGGAGCTTCAAAACTGTCCTGGCCGGGAAATTGAGGAATAAACGGATTGTTTGTCAGCCCAGTAGCAATGACGAGCTTGTTCGTCACCACACTTTCGACTGGGTTGGACGCATCTCGGTAGCTGACTTTCCATTCGTTTGGAGATAGACGCTCGACAATCTCAACCTTCGACTTAAGCTTCGTCCGCCTGGTCAGATCAAATTCAGCAGCAAAGGCTTGAAGGTATTGGTGCAGCTTTGAGCCTGGTATGTGCTCGCCAGTGTTGATTCCCAGCGTCACTCGATCGAGCGGGAAGTCTGAGTATTCATAAGATCCTACAAGGTTGTTCGAGTGGAGGCCCGGGTACAGTCGATTGGACGACCACGTGCCCCCGATCGATTCAGCCGAGTCCAGAATCAACAACTGAGCAGCTGGATAGACATCCAGATAAGTTTTGGCCATGATAAGCCCATGGATGCCTTTTCGAGTTCAGAAGTGTTCTCTGACTCGGCAGCACAAGGCAACTTACCGGCGCCAACGATCACTAGATCGTACATTTGCCCTATCTGTATCAAAATTAGAGTGTGCAATGAGCAGATGGTGCACGTTTCCTCTTTTCAAGCTTGGAGTTGTTACTGCGGAATTTCGCAAGGCTTTCTTAGGCCTTGTCTTTCAACAGAATGAGGTGTGAGTAATATAATTTCGGCGATGGTGCATCCAGGAATTACAATGCTGACGCATGATTGACCTCTTGTAAGACACTCAGCGTATACGTATTTGCTGAGAGGCGACACCGCGCATGAAGTTGAAGATACGACAAAATCCAGTCACGTGGCAACGGGCGGCTTGTTTGGTTGAAACTGATGCGGGGAACTGTTTACCGATCGACGACTTTGTTGCCCAGAAGAGTTTTATACAAACAAACATCTCTTGCCCAAGGCAAGAGCAAGGTCGCCCAAGGATGTTCCTCCTCTGCTTCGGGAACCAGTATGGAGTCTGAGGTATATTATACATTGTTCTCCGTGGTTTCACCAAAGTAAAGGCACTTCTGATCGTACAGGGGTTCCACTGGAGATTGCTCATGGAGCCAGGCCATTATTGATATCCAGATAAGCTAGCCTGCAGTCACGATTCAATAGCTGGGGGGAAAACTCTAGAACAAAGGTGCTAATGATGGGATGGTGGCTGATGACGAAAGGCGCAAGATGATTGGAACGCTGCCGACCTGACACACGAGCAGAGATTCATCTTGTCCAGTTGAGGCCGAAGACGCGTGTGAAGATAGGATAGTGTGAGGCCAGGAGTGGGCGCACGTGTACCAAACGAACCGGTCCTGCAATATAAAGGAATGATTGGACAATGGAGACGTACCGAGTAATTCGAATCTGATCAAAGACGAGGGAATTTGCAAGGGCAAAAGACCATGGCCAGAGAAAGGGTGATTGGGAGTGGGTGCAGTGTGTAACGGGGCAGTCTGGGTCCTGGGATGAGGCTAGTGGAGGCGCGAAGCTTGGAGGTCGGAAATTGACAATCAATTGACCAATGCTGTGACGACGAGCCATGTTCATATGTCACCATTATTATTGTGGCAATGCAAATAAACATGTCTGAGAAGATTAGGAGTAACTTGTTGCCGAGAGAAAGGAGATGTCTCTATCTGAAAAAGTTTGTAGGACTGGAGGGCTAGGTTGAGTTGGTTGCTGCACAGGTGAGCTTCATCTGGGGGTACTTGAAGGAGTCCTACGTTAGGTACCTAGGTACCTAGTAGTAAATCACTTGTGTTCTGGTGCTACCCCGTCCATCTTCCTTCGAGCACTCAACGCCCCTGCCAAAGCCCACTCAACAGCCACCCGCAAGCCCAGAGACGCCCGCCGACGCCCAGTTGAGATCAGCGGGGGCCTGCACTGCGCTGCCGTTTTGGCCCAAATTTCAGGCGGGGATCGCGAAATTCAGTCCCCGCAGCCACTCCGTTAACTTCACTAACCCGGCAGCCTGATGCTCCCCTGGCCCCGGCTAGTCAGGGCACGTCTGGTTAGTGGCCGCTCAACGAGAATCTCTGATGCGCCTGAAGCGACCCATTCGTCGGGGCACCATGAGGAAGCCCTCCGTGGCCCCGATCTCACCGGCATTGGACACCTACTACGGGACAGTGAACATGGAGTCTTGGCAGCCTGCAGCATTGCTTCTCTTGTCTCCTTTGTATGCTACCTAGTATGCAGTATCGTTTGCTTTCAGCATCTTGTGCTCTGCTTTGAGCAAGACCAACATCCGTCGCCTTTCCTTTCAGTCCTTCTCTTTGTCACTCATTTCCCCAACTGCAGTCATTCTTTTTGCACCTCACCCAAGTCATTCGTTAAACTAGCTCTCGCCCTGCTGTTGTGGTTTGGTGCTTCGCCTTCATTCCGCCCGCAGTCTGGACCTTACACTGACCACCAACGCAACTTTATCCCCCAAAACACCAAAGGCTACAATTCTCTGCCCGTCACCATGTCATGCTAGAGTAATTGTTAATCGAAGCCTGTTCCCTCGTCGGCAGACAAAAACAACCCTCGATCCGCCTTAATATCATGTCCTCCTTTCTCCCTGAGAATGAGCCGCAGATCCAGCCGAGGAACCCCTTCGCTCGTCCAGGTCCCATCCCCGACATCCGGTTAGAAGGTCTCTACCTGGAGAGACCTCCTTCGCTCGTACAGAGAGCCGAACCATCCTCAAGTTCATCGAGCCCGTCAACTACAACCTCGTGTGGACCAAACGACGACTCGGGCGCCTGCGAGAAATATTACGGTTCTGGGTCGAGTACAACCTTGCCCATCGTATTGGGAGTGGTTATTCCTTTGGGCATCGCTTTGATCCTGTTGATATATCTGCACCGAAGACATGTCAAGAAGCTGAGACGAGAAGATGCAGAAGACAAGCACAAATCCCTCGACTTCGGCCTCCTCGAATCGAAGCAGAACCCGCAGAAGAAGACTGGCCCAAGTGTCCCTGAGATGTCAATGGCCAAGGAAAAAGAGGCGGGCGGTAGACGTGGTCGTGGCTTGTCGCTTGATATGGGTGCTAACAACCCGTACCTTCTGCCTCCGGAACTGCATCATTCGAGGGAATCCCTGCATTCGCTATCTCGTTCCATCAACACCGGTGACGACAAGTATCGCGCTACCACGTTCGTTCCTGACGACGGTTCTATTCGACCACCGTCAAGTCTGAGAAGTCCAATCGACGATTCATCCAGCTATACGGGGTCTTCCACTCGCAGATTTCCGTTCGACTCGAAGCAGAATTTGTTGCGCAATGCTCAGGAACCCGCGAATGGGCTTCCTCCTTCAGGACGCAGTACTCCAGCAGAATCAGCACCTGGGAGTCGTAATCCTGCGCCACCAGGCAAGACCAATAATTTGCTCCTTCCTACCATGCCTGATCCCGTACGCGACTCGTTTGTGAGCACGGCGAGTAGTAACGGTGCGGTGAACGCACTGAGAGCCAGCAACAACTATCTTGGCCAGTTCATTTTTGGTGGTGGGACATTTGAAAAGGAGGATCCCACCAAGAAAGGACCAGTATTGTCCGTGAAAGAGGTCCAAGCTGAGGCACCGGTTGCCCAAGTCCCGGCGCCTCCTCCGGCTGTACTCAAAGACGCTCCACCCTCACTCTCACCGCACACAACTTCAACCTCTCGGGGACAGACATCCATAGTACCCGGGATTACATTGAATGCACCGGAAGAGCGCCAACCAAGGCTACCACAACTTAGTTTCATCGATTCCCAAAGTGATCGGCAACAGACTCTGGCGTCCAAAGAAGAGCCTCATACGGCTTTAGACACATCGAAGACACCCCAGGGCCATGAAGCTCCGTCGATGAACCTTTCTCGCTCGGAGGCTTCACATGATCAGACATCGCAAGGTCAACACCAGGTCCAACAAGAGGAAGAGGATTACTATGACGAATACGAGGCGTACGGAGACCAGGATCAACAATATCATGATGACCACGGGTATTATGATTACCAGGACTATGATGACTACACTGAGTATGACCCTCGTCGACTCACAATGGGCCTGCGACCATTGCCTCCCGACGATCCCTCCGAAAACCCCGAGCAGCGCGCCAACCGAATCAGATCATTTTATAAAGAATACTTCGATGACTCCAAACCACAGAATCATGCTCAAAACATGCAATATTATGATGGTGCTGAAGGCTATTACCAGGACAACTATGCGCCTGGTGTCTATCAAGACGGCTATTATGATCAAGCAGCATATTATCCACCTCGGGGCATGTCACAAACGGGCACGTATGGGAGACATCGTGCTACGGTGTCTAATGGAAGCTACCAGTCAGGTCCCAGGGCCTTCTCATCGGCATCTGGTCGGTATGGAGGACATCCCCGTATGCCGCCAAAGAAAAATCTGCCGCCACCTAAGCCGCTGAACGTACTACCTACACCCTCAAAACTCAAGGAGGACACGTTCTTGCCCATTGACTTCGCCCCGCCCCAGAAAATCTATAATCAGAGGGCTGGTACTCCCGATAGTCTTCGCGGAGGACTGAGACCTTATTCCCCAGCAGTGAGGGCTCACATTCCACTCGCGTCATCATTCGATGATCTGGCGGTGATACCGAGCCCGTAAGTATTCTTACCAAATCAAACGACAGATGACTATGGCTAACAGTGATCGGCAGGCATCAATTGAGAAAGTCATCCACATTCACGGCCTTGGACTTTGCACCACCATCGCGACTCAAAGCAAACGATACCGGGAGTGAGACGGGAAGTATTCGCAGCAATCGATCCGGAATATCGGCTATCCACCTCCACAATATTCGCACTGGGGCATACCGAGTTAGTCGAATACCCAAAGAGGTTGCAGGGACCAGAGACGAGCTGGTGGCAGCGTTGAGGCCACAGTGGGATCTAAACCGATAAATGCCCTTGACGGGAGCATAATATATCTACATTGGCCGCGATATCTTTGATTCAAGGACATGACTCTATATGGGACTTTCTGAGCATGGCGAGTGGCGTTTTTAGGAGGTTTAGGACCTCCTCGAGTGGGATGTCTTTTCGGCTTGGAAGGCTGGAGGCCTGGGAGTCTCTCTGGGGACTGTCCTTATCAAAAAGTTCACATGTACAATATCACAGTGGGGAAGTTTATTCCCCCGCCTGAAGATCTTTGTGGTCCTCGCCCGAGACAAAAGCAGAAAGCATTCTCTGTGACTGGATGGTCGACCAGTTCCAGGCTTGAGCCGACCTTCTCACAAGCCGTCTGGTGCCTTAGCCGTCCCGAAATTCATGCGAGCTGTATGAAACTGCTCTTGCAGCTTAGATCACTCGTCCAAGCTTATCCGAGTGGACAATGGGCAGACGGAAAGGGGCCCTCAGCCGCAGCACCAGCCAGAATCGGGCAGCTCGGCATGTCTGATATGGGGAAGCACAGAGGGAGCCGGATAAGAAAACTAGGAAGGATTTCAGGATGTATCGGCACCTTGCAGGACTGGCGTCTCCCGAAAGCTCAATCTGGAGCATAGTGACCCGATGGTCGGGAGGGATGGGCGGACGGGACCTTCACATCGGAGCAGCTTGTGTATCACATCGACAGAAGAGGTGGGCTGTACTGAGTGTTTTGGTCGTGACGGCGGCAGTCTCACATAATCGGGTCAGTCCATGATACACAGAGCGATCAGGATATGCCCGAGGCTGCAAAGAGCCGCAACACAGTGCTATCTACCTAGGTATGGTGCCCCTCATCGATGGGAGGATCGTCGTATGATGCCGATAATTTTGCAACGCCGTGGCCCGTGGGGATCTTTGCTACCGCCGCCGTTGCCTGTGGAAGAATAGGTTCCTCGCACAGGGGATTTGTTCTCGAAGACGGACGGGCGGCTTCTGCAAATCTCAAAGTGAACGGAATCTCGGCTGCGTGGCTTTTCCAAGAGGGTGCTAAACTGAAAATCCTAATAGTGTGTGTGAGGATGGCACCCAGATGGGGAGCTGGGCGGTCACGATGCCGGTAGCGAGCCCCAAGAGCAACAAGCTCTGCGAAGGTAGAGGCCCTTAAACTCTTAGTCGGAGGCCATGTTCCAGCTGGTGCCAGAGGTCTCAGGGCCCGGCCGCCTGCAAGCTCCTGGTGGGTGCCTGGAGTCTTGGAGTCTTGGAGTCCCGGTAAGTTTAGCATGCGGCTTACCCAATAATAATCACAGGGTCCCCACCATTAGCACCCACCAGCATCCATCGAGCCCATCATCCACAAGCACCACAGCCCTGGCGGCCCTCAAACTATTATTGCGGTTTCCATTGTCGCCAATTTTCCAATTTTCCTCTGGAGTCTGCGGCCTCTTTCTGTCTCGGGCTTGCCACTGCTGCGCCTTCCGGCAGCTCGTCTTCCCTCACTCCAACATTGACATGTCGACTCACGTTGTCTGTGCCTTCAAGTCGCTGCATTATACCCTCCCCAACTCAACTGTATTATACGCCCCCTGCCCGATCTGATACCCATCGGGAAAGTCACTTCTCATCGTCATCATCATCTCCCTGCATGTATTATTGGACAGGCTCGGGACCACACACAGCCCTCGCGTCCTGACACATCAAGTCGACTCTTGACTGCCCCTACCTTTTTTTGCGGCTGACGGGGGAGTTCGACTTTCTCTCTATACAACAGGAGGTGGTGCTACATCCGAGTTCAATCACCTGCAACCTTTTGGAAGACCTCCTGGAAGACCAGACGAGAGGTGTTGCTACGCGTTGGACCTCACCACCTCCGCTTGCTGCGGGAGGGACTGCCATAAACACTCCCTCCAGAAACTCGGCCCACAATGTCAACCGGTATGAATAGGCTCCTTGTCCACCAGTTCCCAAACTAAAAGATGGCAATAGATACAAGTGCGACCGACTCGGTCAGCACGACTGTTATCGGCACAACCCTGACCAGCCTTACCACCTCCTTCTCTACCACTGTCACCGTCACGGGGTCATCTAGCGATACATCTATATCCTCCGACACTTCCTCTCTACCACCTAGTACAATCGTCTCCTCCATTTCAGTTCCTCCCTCGACCACAGTGGTACCTGCCTCAACCACTCCTGTCGATACCAGTCCCAGTGTCGTTGTAGCCACAGAAACTATCACCCAAACCCCGTCATCATCCCAAGGGGTCACCCAGAGCCTGAGTTCTTCGGTTGTTGTCGTCACGTCCACATTCTCTCCAGATACTCCGGCCTCAGACACTGCAACCGCCTCGCTGACGATCACTCCTTCCAGCTCGTCCCCCACCCCATCAGCATTGAGTGCCTCAGGCTCCGGGTCCGGGTCCTCAAGCGGTCTCAGTTCTGGCGCAAAGATCGCAATAGCAGTCATCATACCAATTGCTGTTATCGCAGCATTATTTTTGATTGGGTTCTTCTTCTGGAGGAAGCGGAAGGCCAGGAAGAATGCAGAAGAACTTCGCAAGAGCGAGATGGCTGAATACGGGTTCAATCCCAACAGCGATCCAACGCTGGGTCCCGCCGCAGCCGCATACACTGACAATCAATCCGAAGGACAAGATGACCAGAGTGGGTATCGCGGATGGGGAGCAACAAACTCAAACAGACAACCCTCGACTACGCTAGGTTCCAACGGACGAGCTGCTGGTGGTCTTGCCTTATCGGAGAGCAGCAGCCAACCTGGAGGTTACGCTACGCAGGCCTCGCCCAATGCGACTTCTGACCAGTACTCTGCAGATCCCCTGATGAACGGCCACCCGGAGAGCGGAGATGGCGTCGCAGCTTTGGGGGCTGCTGGCGGACTCGCTAGGCATCGCAGTGGTACGGGAGACATTCGTCGCGGACCGTCCAACGCATCGTCCGCGTATTCCTCGGGCCACCACTCTGAGGCCTCTTCGGAGGCGCCGCAAATGCCTGGCCCATACTACCAGCAAGAAGAAGTCCCTTATAACATATACAACGAAGCAAATCCCAGTCACGGACCCTACGGCGACGGTTCGTACGGTGGTGCTGGAACGCAACCAGTCATCCGTGACAATCAAGCACGAAGGAACACCCGCATTGAGCGAGCACCAACATTCCCGCAAGCCCAAGGCGGAATTTCGCAGAACTTTTAAGCCGCGGGTTCGCTGGCTGTTTACAAAGTATTGTTGTTCCTTTTGATTTTGTGGTCTTTCTTTTTAATCTGGATCTGTGGGAGGAATAGTCATTTTGGAAAAGCATCTGGGCAGATCTCTTCGGATCGATCTCCCTCGCAATTTTTTTTACCTATACCCTGCTCTGTTATCTCGCTGATATCTGACGAATCTTCTATGGATCATGGGGAATCGAGCATTGCAACTGGAGTTACTGAATTGTCATAAAACGACATCTTCTCGGACGCCTCAATGGCACCATACACATATCTTATCTGCTCAGTCTTGAGCATGTAATTACGGACCGGGGACGGGCGGAGCGCAAAGCGTCAGGAGCAGGAGCAAGAGCAGCATGGTTGGTGGTCGAAAGGGTGTGGTTTCTAAGTGTCGATGTATCTAAGTGCGAGCAGAAGCTGCCTCGACAGCGGTCCACATTGTGCAGCTACTGTTAATATGGATCTATGAGCTCAAGCATTCACCAAGACTACCGCGGACTTGGGTCCATGATTTACCCAATTCCACCGTAGCCACGACTTGATTCATAGAAACTGACGCACGACTGAGACGTTGGCGCTAGTCCTATCGATAAGCCGAGCCTTGCGCCGTAGGGATTCGGAAACTGGCTTCACGGGGTGATGATCCTCTCGAGTTTCCGAGAACTTGAGGAAACCATCGTCTATTCCAACCCATAGTTTGCGAGATTGAGACTGAGAAACCCATCGTAGGGCACGAGAATACGCCTTTGCATTGGAGGATCCCAGCGGTATTTCCTCCAAAAAGAAAAAATAAATCCAGGGTCATCTAAAGGAGGACCTCCGATTCCAACGGGTTTTCGGGCCCAAATGCTTTGAGTCACCAAGACGTTGTCTGCGGTCTTGTCAGTGACTCATTGTGTGCAAGCATTGAGACCAGTTTGGTATCATTTCTCAAAAGGTCCGGCCTTCGTATTCTGCCGGTGTCTTTCAACTTTCAAAAGTGTATCACCAAACCTGGTGAAAAGAAAAATCAAAAATAAAGTTGGTTGGCCTTCGAAGCTTCACCAAAGGAGCCAAAAAAGCAACAAACTTCACGTCTACTAGGTCTACACCCCAACCATCTCCTCCGGCGCTCTCTACAGTGCCACTTATCCTCACACCGGGCCTTCACCCTCGATCAGATTCATGCCAGGCCGCGGACGTGGCGGTGGCCGGGGCGGTGGGTTCCGCCACGACTCGATGCCTCGCTCGGTGCTGGTCTCAAAGGCCCTCACCCGCCTGCTGCGCCATGCGGCCGTGGAGGAACGCATCCCCATTGACAACCACGGATACGTGCGGATGGACCACTTGCTGGGTTGGCAGAGGCTGCGCAACATGAAGCCGCCCGTGACGATGGCCGAGGTCGTGGAGGCTGTGCAGGAGAGTGATAAGAAGAGGTTCGCGATGAAGTATGTCGGTGCTGGTCACGGAGAAGGGGGTATCGAGGGTACCGAGGGCGGAGTAGTCCAGGTAGAAGAGGAAGAGACCATCGAGGCAGAGACCACTCAACCAGAACCGGAAACGGAAACAGAAACGGAGACGCAGCGCGCAATCTCGACCTTTGAGTCTGACCAGGCAGCGGCGGCGGCCGACACGAGGAGGTTCTTCATCCGCGCCACGCAGGGCCACAGCATGAAGACCGTCGAGGCCGAAAACTTACTGACGCCCATCACACTCGACGACCCGGCCACCATCCCGGACACGGTCGTGCACGGCACCTTCTACGGCGCGTGGGACCGGATCCTGGCAAGTGGCGGGCTGAAGAGCATGTCGCGGAATCACGTCCATTTCGCCTCGGGCCCGGCGTTGGCGGAAGTCTTACCAGCAGCCGTCGCGGACGACGTGGATGACGACGACGACGACACGACCCAATGGAAACGCAAGCCGGGGACCTCCTCGAATAATCTGGGTGCGTTGCTCGGCAAGAACAAGGTCATCAGCGGCATGCGAAGCGACGCCCAGATCCTCATCTACATCGACATCCGGAAGGCCTTGGCCGAGGCACCGGCCATGAAATGGTGGCGGAGCGAGAATGGCGTTATCCTCTCGGAAGGCGTAGCTTCTACTACTACTTCTACTACTACTACTGTTGCTGGTGCTGGTGCTGGTGGCGATGGTGCTGAAGCAGACACGGCCGAGGACACCACGGCAAAAGAGACACCGAAACTCGTGCCCATCTCGTACTTCCTCGCCGCCGTCGAGGTCAAGCAGGGGATTGGTCTGCTTTGGGAGGCCGGCAGGGGACAAGTCCACGAACTGCCCGAACAGTTGCGCTCGAGGGCCGTGCCGCGAGGGAAAGGAGAGGCTGGGCCCAGAGGGAGACAGAGAGGGAGAGGGAGAGAGAAAGGGTAGAGAGATATCTAGTCTAGACGCCCCAAACTGCGTGGTTTTGTATCAATATCGGATTTGGCTGATGGGAGATATGACGACTGTCTTTTCTATCGGTCTTGAGCTATTTTCGACCTTCGACCTTTTCTGTATTGTGTACCTGCATAGGTAGTACGTGGAAAGGACAGTCATGGTCCCCCGCAATCAAGGTATTCTTCACCGCAAAGCGGGAGCTTGGTTTGATTTCCTTCAATCCTCGATTCGGTACTCTCAAGGTCGGTTGTGTTTGGCAGTCATATCACACTCAAGGACAGACAAGACCAATCCCAGACGGCGAAGAGACCGGCATAAGGGTTCAACATCACCAGGCTGATGTGCAAAAACGGAGAAGACTTCCAGCCTCCTCCTGTGTCGTGTCATTCTGGTTTGCTCTCGCAACCAGTCAGCCATGCCACGGCATTCTGCTCACTCACCCCTCCCTCTGGAGAGATCTCACCACGAAAGTCAGAAACGTCGCTAAATGGACTATCCATAAGTTGTAAACGTGCACGAAGAAGGGTTTGGCCCGAGTTCTCCGCCGGTGCTTCTCCTTCCGCAGATGCTGGGCGGAATGGGATAACATGAGACGCGCTGAGGGAGACCAGTGGGTTTTAAGCATCGTGCGCCAACCCGACCCTTTACCGTTACCTGGTGATATGTCCACATGGAACGTAAAACGGTTTCATCGTTTCTTGTCGCAGCACATCGAGGAACAGGTGGGCGGAGGCTCCCTGTTTCTGCTCCCTTTCACCACCCTTCACGTCTCGCTTCGGCGCTGTGATCTGGTAGGTAAAGGTACCATGCTGTCCGTCACTGAGCACATAACTTTTCCGCAGGCCATCGAGATACCTGGGTAAGTTCCTTTAATGCGGTGCTTCCTAAAGCACAATCTTTCATCCAAAACTGCTAACTGGTAACTGAAGACGTCTCAAGCACTCTTGCTCAGATGGCGCGCCCGCATCGAGAATTTTAACGCTGATTTCTCAGTTCATTTACCAGGGGCAGGGGGAGGGCCCATATTGGTCTTCTTGGTTGAAGGCAGTCCAGGCACCTTGAACCCTCCGTTTGTCGCTGTGCCACTGACTTGAGTAAATGTGCCACTTGAAAAGTAGCCCGCACTTTCAGCTTCGCGCTTCCTCTTCAACTCGGCCTGCACCTTTGGATCGACCAACTCAAGACCCTGGACGGGAGTGAATGCGATTGAACTGGCGGTTCCGGCACCAACACCACTGGACCGAAGACCTTGAGCCCGGAGTGAAGTGACATTTCCTCCGCCGCCAGGAGCCCCGAATCGCATGGACGTAGTTGTGCCGTTGTTCAAACTTGTTGCCGTACCAGAGACACCCCAGCCGGGGTTCTTCTTGCTTAACTTCGCCATGGTTCGACGATCGACCTGTGTGGCTCGTATTCTGCCCTCATTTTGAGCGCCAATCATCCCTAGTCCCACTGTCTCCTCTCCCGTCCCGTAACCGATTTCTCTTTCTTCCTTACCGAACGCCATACGGTTCTGTTGCTTTCTGAGTTCGGTCATGGCATACGCTTCCTTTGCCTTGCGGGCTCTTCTTCCTCCACGCTTTCTGCTAGGTTTGTCATCGGGGGCGGGCAGAGCTCTGACACCTCTGTTTGGTGGAGGCTCGGTCAACTTGTCGAGCCGCCGCAGACACTCGTTGAGTAGGTGCTCGCCTGTTGAGCCGTCGCGCGCTTGATGAACACTGTCCACTCGAGCAGCAAGGATGAGCTTCCCTGATACGATACGCATCGCCTGTACCCTTAGATCATTGGGAATTTCTTGTATGAGTGGTGAATGGTAGAGGTACCCTTGCTGTCGGACTCCCACATTGGTGGCTAAGCCACTCTGCCTCTGCCTCTTTGAGCCCATTGCAGGTACATTGCGATCGGGTGTCTTTGCGAGATTCTTGAGCCCACCAGCAAAGTTGAGCAGTTGGGCTGCGGTCAGCGAACCAATAAGGACGGTGAGGTTCGGTGCGAAGACATTCATTCTTGACTGGACGTATTCAGTCAAGATCTTCTTGGCTTTGTCCAGCTGCAGAACCATTTCGCAAGCCCGGAGAGTTGTTTCAAGTTCTTGTTCGCTGAGATCTTGACCTTTTGTTGTTGTTCCTTCCACTGTGACAACCATCAACGTTGGCCCGTCCAAGATAGACCTCAGAGGAGCCCCGACAATATTGTCACTGGAGTCGGCTAGACTTTTGATGTTGTCCACAGGCCCGTTCCTGATGATCGCGACTGTTTTGGCATAATCTATTGGATTGGCCACAAGGGTCTCCAACTCTGGGAAACGCGCAGAGTAATGATCGCGAATGAACTTGTGGACCAGGATGATTTCGCTGTCGATCTGCGTGGATAGGGAATTTGCCTGAGTCAAGAGGGCGTATTCGGGGTTATCTTCGACTGAGCCAACCGCGGTCGTCCGTTGGTCGGGCGGAATGTTCTGATAATGTGCTATTTTCTGCAATGTGGACGAACCGTCAGGGCTGTCTTCGAATTGTGTAAACGGACAGGACTTTGAGATATTGGCAAGGGCGAGATCTTACCTCGAGGACTGGTTCTAGAGTCTTCATCAGACCGGCGACGCTTCTGACATCGCGCACGCCTCCCAGTCGCATCTTTTCAACCTTCGCCTTAGTATCTTCTTCATCGTCGTCGGCGTCGGTGGCTGTGGCGGCAGCCTGCTGAGCAGCGAGCTCTTCCTCGGCATCGTCCAGTCCTTCGTCGTCACCTCGCTCTATGTGATCGGTCGCAAATCCCAGGCCATTTGTATCGTTTGCCTCGTCTGCGTCCTGAAAACCATTTGCCTGGTCATTGTTTTCGTCGCCGGAATCCTCGAAGTCATTCAGCAGTTCGTCTGCTAAGGTCGCCATTGCCAGACAGGTGATGAAAGAGGTGGACAATGACTTTGGCCTTGTTCAAAAGTTGAGGCTTCGTTTGAACTTGACGGTGAATGCGGAGGTCGTCCATCACTCTGAGTCTGCAGGACTTGGGCACGGCGGAAACCTTGGCAAAATTTCTCCGCAGTCACAGTCGCGGCCTTGCGTGCCTTGCCATCTCTTTTAGTCGAAGACAAAACTTTGTCACACGCCCGCAAATATTCCTATGTGCCCAAGCGGCCTCTCATCCTCCCTGTACCTTATCCCAGTCACCTGCTCGCTTTGGAATTTCAAAAGAGAGACTGCGTTTGAGTGACTGGTCCTGTTCCACTCTTCGAACTTCCACCTGCGCTCACCAAGATGGATTCCACGAGAGGCCCTCCGAGGGTCAAAAATAAGGCGCCAGCTCCCCAGCAGATATCCGCCGAGCAACTGCTGCGGGAAGCCGTCGACAGACAAGAGCCTGGGCTTCAAGCACCTACCCAACGCTTCGCCGATCTCGAAGAACTACATGAATTCCAAGGCAGGAAGCGGAAGGAATTCGAGGACTATGTCCGGCGGAACAGAATCAATATGAACAACTGGATGCGCTATGCGCAATGGGAACTGGAACAGAAAGAATTTCGCCGGGCGAGATCGATCTTTGAGCGGGCGTTGGACGTGGACAGCACAAGCGTGGTTCTGTGGATTCGGTACATCGAGGCTGAGATGAAGAACAGAAACATCAACCACGCCAGAAACCTGTTGGACAGAGCGGTGACGATTCTCCCTAGGATCGATAAGCTGTGGTACAAGTATGTCTACATGGAGGAAACCCTTGGCAACATCGCTGGGACAAGACAGGTCTTTGAGAGGTGGATGAGCTGGGAGCCGGACGAAGCAGCTTGGCTGGCCTACATTAAACTGGAGAAGAGGTATGGAGAGTATGACCGTGCGCGGGCCATCTACGAACGCTTTACCATCGTACATCCTGAACCGCGCAACTGGATCCGATGGGCCAAGTTCGAAGAGGAGAATGGGACCAGTCAATTGGTTCGAGATGTTTTCGGCGTCGCCATCGAGACCCTTGGTGAGGACTTCATGGATGAGAAGCTTTTTATAGCATATGCGCGTTATGAGGCCAAACTCAAGGAGTACGAGAGAGCGCGCGCAATCTACAAGTATGCACTGGACCGACTGCCCCGCTCTCGATCCGAGGCACTGCACAAAGCATACACGCAGTTCGAGAAACAATTCGGGAATCGGGAGGGGGTAGAAGATGTGATCCTCGCCAAGCGTCGGGTGCAATATGAAGAGCAGCTCAAGACCAACCCTCGAAACTACGACGTGTGGTTCGACTTTGCACGTCTGGAGGAGACGGGGGGCGATGTGGAACGGGTGCGAGATGTCTACGAAAGGGCAATCGCTCAAGTTCCGCCTTCACAGGAAAAACGACACTGGCGGAGATACATTTATCTATGGATCTTTTATGCCCTGTGGGAGGAAATGACTGATAACGACGTGGAACGGGCAAGGCAAGTCTACCAGGAATGTCTAAAGCTGATTCCCCACAAGAAATGGACATTTGCCAAAATCTGGATCATGAAAGCGCAATTTGAGGTGCGGCAAATGCAGCTGACGGCAGCGAGGAAGACTCTCGGGCAAGCAATCGGCATGTGCCCCAAAGACAAGTTGTTCCGGAGCTACATTGAACTGGAGAAACACCTGTTCGAATTCGAGCGGTGCCGGACGCTGTTTGAAAAGCAGATTGAATGGAACCCGTCCAATAGCCAGGCATGGATCCAGTTTGCAGAGCTGGAGCGCGGACTGGACGACCTGGACCGAGCGAGAGCGATCTTCGAACTGGGTATCGAACAGCCTACGCTGGACATGCCCGAGCTTGTTTGGAAGGCGTACATTGATTTTGAGGAGTACGAAGAAGAATATGATCGAGCCCGGGCGCTGTATGAGCGGTTGCTGAAGAAGACGGACCACGTCAAGGTTTGGATCAACTATGCACGATTTGAAATCAACGTGCCGGATCCCAACGAGCCCGAGACGGCAGAGAGCGAGGAGCAAGGTGTAGGCGAAGAAGCCAAGAGACGGGCACGGAAGATCTTTGGACGGGCGCACGACTTGTTCAAATCGAAAGAGATGAAAGAAGAACGGGTGGACCTATTGAACGCATGGCGATCATTTGAGCAGACGCATGGTTCGGCCGAGGACATTGAGAAGATTGAGAAGCAGATGCCTCGCAAGGTGAAGAAGAGGAGAAAGATTGAGGAGGACCGGTTTGAGGAGTACATTGACTATGTCTTCCCGGCCGACGACGAAAGTGCAGCCAAGATGTCGAAGCTGTTGCAGATGGCGCATGCGTGGAAGTCGAGACAGCAAGCGAACGGCGGTGCCGACAGCGGGGAGTGAGGACAGGAATCAGGAGCTGGGAGTGTTCGCTGCATAGGGGGTGCTCCAAGTCCGTAGTGGAACAATAGTGCTCGGTACAATACCTACCTACCTAGTACGGAATACGAGGTCCTAGTGTACCTACCATTTACTGCGTACAACTGGTACTCGAATGTCAGGTGCAGCCCACGAGGGCAGTTCGTGTTGTCTTATCTTCTCCCAACCATCGAGTTTGGTAGTGTCTGGTAGTGTCTTTTTCTCACACACTTGTCAGTGACATAATGCCCCCTTCACGCTTCGGCTGTTGCAATTGCCAATTGGTGACACCTTGTGTTCCACTCTTTTGCCATCCCTCAGTTGGCTGGTGTGCCTCGTTGGCTCGCTTACCCCTGGATTTTGCCCCTGTCGAGGTGCTTGGGTGCCAATGCCTGGTTTGCCTGTGTGTTTCCGTACCTGCAGCACGCTTTCCCGGCTGTGGAGATCAAACTCGTCCAAATCAGCCAATTCTCGCGCTTCGACTCGACCGCATGAAACACCTTGATCACTTCTTCTCCTACCCGTCACTCCAACCAAGCCGATTTCCCGCTCTCACACGGGCTTTGGGTGTAACATGTCAAGCCGGGTCATCCGCACCGAAGAAGAAGGAGATGTGAGCAAACTGTCGGGCTGTTCTTGCAGGTGCTTTGAAGAGGAGGAGAAGATGAGACCGAGCAGCCACGCATGATTGATCACTCGTCACTCGTCACTTGCGGTGCCTTGCAGGGAGCTATACGAGTTGGCGCGGTGGCTCGGAGTCTATCCGGCAAGGACTGGAAAGTGTCTGGCACCGTCTGCGCTTCCAAAGCCTTCTTTTGTGTTTCTCTCCGACACTGGCACCTCGCTTCCCGCAGTCACAGGTCACTAGGTCACTAGTTTACAACTGTTGCGCCCGCTGCCCAGAGTCCTGCTGCCGTCCTCCATCTTTGCTCGTTCTCCCGTTTGCAAACCCCTTCTCTGCTCTCCTACCTTTCTCACTTCCCATACTGATAATCTTAGTTCACTTTCACTCATCTCTCGAGCTGCAGCGGCAAACACGCCTTATCCGCAAATAATCTATTCGCTTTTTCCCTTTTCGATAAGCTCCAGGACAGATCGACATTGCTCTGTGACAATCCCACGAGCAAAGCTGTCCCACTGACCCACACACAGACCCGGACCCATCCCAAAGCCCACCTGCGTTGCGCCGCGACTGAGCGCCTCTTCAAACCCAAGGGACTCCCTTTTCCACAACTCGCCCTCACAGAACGACCTTCACAGTGATTTCATAGTTAACTCCCAAGGCTATAGAGTCCTACGACCTCTAGCCACTATCAGCATTACGTCTTGCTACGCGTCGAGAACACCTCGTCGGAGACCTGCGTCCACATTCAACCCAACCCGCGACAGCATCCCCTCAGTTAGACGGACTCTGACTGGAAAGACGCCCTCGCAATTTGACCTTTATCGCAAACGCGTACAGACGCAGTACAGAAGATATCTTCTCGATTTCTCTCGAGGAGAAGATGCAACTCCGGCTTTGACACTTCGCCCGCGTCTTGCGTTTGGTGACCGATCCTCCACTTGGAAATGTCAGTGCCCAAGCCTTCTATTGCAATCAAGAACCACTGCTCCGTTATTCACGACGGAGTCATCTATGTCTATTCACCAGACGCGTTTCAGACATTGGCGTTGACAGAAGGAGCGCAGTGGAAAGAGGAGGCAAATGGCGTGTCGGTAACAGGAGCGGTCTGCGTAAAAGGTGGTGTGGATGGCGATAACTCGAAGTCGGCCTTGTATGTTGTGGGTGGTGCGACAAATGCGTCGACAACCGACTACACTGGCTTACAGCGGTATTCATTTGAGGACAAGTCGTGGCAAACCGTTGTCCCTATGGTCAATGTCACCCAGAACCGCCTCAATCATGGAGCAGCTTATTTGAATGCTTCATCGACTTTGGTCGTCTACGGGGGATCTCAGAATGACGACGTTGGGCCATCCTCAGAGACCTTTACAATTGAACTGTTTCCTCCCTACTCAGTCCTGGCATACAGCTCCTCTGCTCCGCCAACAGTCAGCCCTTTTATGTTACCCTGGAGCCAGGACCATACCCTGATGGTGGGTGGCAGTTCGACCAATGACAAACTGTTCACATTCGGGTCTTCAGATGGCTGGCAGGACCTTGGCCTTACACTGCCGGCTCCACTACCAGATCACTCCATAGCACAGAGCGCCCTATTTGGCCTGGCCGACGATAGTATGGTTCTACAGACCTTTGATCTTGGTCAGATGCCACCGACAGTGACGACGAATGTTCTGCTGAATTCAGGAGGTGCTCCCGCCGCATTTGGTGAGACCGTGGGAGGCAGCAATACTACACAGACTCCCTCGCCCTCGGCCACAACTCCCTCAAAGGCGAAGAGGCAGGTATCTCTTGACACCTTCCCAGCCTATAACGACACTCTGGCCCCCACAGCGTCTAGGACAGGATTTGATCTAGCACAGGGCGATAATGGACTGGTGGCTCTAGTTGGAGGTAATGATGATAACCCAGTGCTATTCTTCAACCAGTCCGAGAATGGATGGCTACCGGCATCCCAGTTCTTCGGAAAACAACAGCAGCCCCTGGCGACATCGTCGAGTAGGACACCAACATCGTCGCCCACTTCTTCAAGCATTCCAACTTTCGCATCCGCTCCCACGGGATCGAGCACTCCAGCCCCAGCGGCTTCTTCTGGCAACAAGAGCCAAGGCCTGACCGTCCTTGGAGCCGTCCTAGGTGCTATCTGTGGTGTCTTAGCGATCCTTGTCATCCTCCTTCTTTGGCTGAGATCGATTCGAAGAAGGCGCAGGGCAGAGTCTGAAAAGCGAAACGAGTACCGGGACGACAAGAAACGAAGTGGGGAGTACAACTACGAAGAGAGAGGACTTCGTCCGCTCGCGGGGCTTGGACAACCGATGGGAAGAAGCCCGATTGCTTCAGCAGTGATCCCGGATGCGGATAGTACGTCCGTGTATGGAGACTTGAAACCTGAACCAGGCATGCTCATTCGACGCGTATCTTCAGATCACAATGCGACTGGGTACCGGGGGTCAGGTATAGGATTTGGGCAGGCACTGTTCAAGCGCGAGAAAGAGAGGGAAAAGGAGAAGGAGAAGGACAACAAGATTGGCCTGACCATCTCAAAGCCAATGATGCCAATCTTGAACGATTACCAAGCCAGACCGAGCATTGAACTAGGAAAGGCGACACCGCCTGGCGCACCGGTGGTAGCAGCTGCGGCTGCGGCTGCGGCGACGGATCCGGACTCGGAGAGAAAGCACGTGTCTCAACGCAAGACTGACGAGGGATGGGGCAAGTACTTTGCGGGTGAAACACTTTCGGGAAACCGAACGACATTCATGTCCAGGAGCTCAGGCGCAAGGAGTGGGTTCTGGCCAGGATCCGGCGTGCTGGAAAACTCGAGCAGGTCCCCCAAGTTTATACTCCGGGACAGTGTGGGCAATCCTCTGGAGGCGCATAACGTTGCTGCGGGCAGTCCCAACCTTGAACACGGGCCGTCAAACCCTCAGTCGAGGGGGTTACAGTCCGTTCAAGGTATATCCGGGCAAATCTCCCATGCCGGCTCGGTGCGAACGGCGAATTCCACTGACGACGATGAGGACGACGACTATGAAGACGAGCAGGTCTTCGAGGGAGCATTTTCCAGTGGAATTCCTGCCAGCGTGCATGATATACCCTGGACACCGGTAGGGAATACGTGGTCGGGCCCGCCGCAGCGACCACTGCGGCCTCCGAGCAGTTATATTGCGGCTCAGCAGGCTCAGCAGGCACAGGCACAGGCACAACGCTCGCCTCCGACAATAAGTTCGAACGAAACCAGTGATACCAGCGGAACTTTGGGCTCGTCAATCCCCTCATTCCCAATGCCAAATTCGGTCCGATCTGCCCAGCCTGGTGGAAGCGAGGGCGCTGTCAACGGCAATGACAATAGCACAACCATCCATCAACAGGTGACTACAAGGCCACCCGGTCGTGAACAGCCAGCTCCAGCTCGCGGAGAAAGCCACGACTATTTCAGCTATGCCCCAGCCCATAAACATAAACGAAGCAACAGTAGGCAACAGCCAGATAACCACCTCAACGTCAACACGGATATGTCGTGGCTCAACCTCGGCACGCCGACCCGGTGACTATCTAGCCGGTTCTCGCAGGTGCTCTACCAATTCCTGCTCGATGACGTTGCTAGAAAGCCGCCGGGCAGTAAAGCGTCGCGAGTGAGTACAGGTAAGGGAGACGGATCTGTTGAGGGCCAGGGTGGGGTCACCGATTCGTCGTCGACGACGACGAAAAAGCCTAAGCACGTGAGCTTGTTTCGAACAAAGTCCATGCCGAAAAACCGCATGCATGCGTTCCATTATCCGCTTCAGGCGGTCAAAAGGGACACGACAATACAGGAAGGAGAGGTGTGGGAGGACGAAGCTCTTCCGCCCGATCCTGATAGTCCGACATTGCCTCCTCGTGCGGTCCTTGGGAGGGAATCTGTGCAGACTGAAGAGTCGAGGGGAAGTGAGAGGCTAACTATGTAGAAGGGGGAATGGAGAAGGGAGCGATACACGGGATGCAGCACAAACCTACTGTTTTCGACCCTTATATCTCGGCTGATTTAAGAAGAAGGGCGACCTGAACAGAGCGGGCAATATTGCTGGATGAGGTGGAAATGTCGCCCATGTACTGTGCAAAAGGGCCCCGGGATCTGTGACGACGATGATGCTGTATCTATGTCCAACTCATGTACTAGTGTACGATACTGCCTGAGGTGGTTATAAGGTAGCAAAGTGATAATGGTAATGATTCCGTACTCAGTATGCTCTGGTGCAACTTGAGCGGTCCGGAACTCAGCCTCCAACTCCTGCATTTCTGCAGTAAACATCATTGACAGAGTTTTCTGCGGCTAGGCATTGAGTTGTCAATTCGATGAGGTAAAGGGTACTGAAAATGAGGAGTCGGAAGAGGATTCATTGCGGAGAGAGAAGAGACCAGCCCGTTCTTCTAGTGAACCATTTAACGCAAGACAGCTGATGAAGGAAAACTTGCCATGTCGTCTGGCGAGCGCGAATCAAAGGACGGGATCGACGCGCGTGAATGCGTGGAGTGGTTGCGGTGGAAGCCTGGTGAGGCCCAGCCGGAGATGGCGCAACATGGGGCAGTGTGGACTCCCAACCAGAAAGACTTTCCTTAGAGCGAGTAACGCACACACGCCTGCATTTTTCTCAATTTCTTTTCGTGTTCAATGTGGAGATGTTCGGCAGAATACTTCATGAGCTGCAAGCTTGCCGTCAAGCCGGTGGTAGCGATGGGGAATACCGGGCGTCGACGGCGATGATGACACAACAACCAGCGTTGATATATCCATGCGGTTGTAACACGTGCCGGAGGGACAAGCGGGCAGGAGTCCAAGGATTGTAACAGGGCAGCAGTCTGGAGGTGGAGTATTTCCACTTGTGTAGCCTGTTCTTGACGGTTGATCGAGGATCAGCTGAGCGATCAGACGGTGTCTTACTTCATCATCAGCATCATCATCCTTGTGCGTGCCGCCTCCTCCTGTTCCCTGTCTGGGCATCATATTCCCGGGCTTGAGACCTGACGAAAAGCAGGGAAGAAACGATGGTGACGAGTAGGTAGGTGCGGTCGGCTTTCAAACGAGGCGGACGATGACGTGAAGGCTACTGGGTATCTCGGCGACGAGGCTGTTCTTTGCTTGTCTGGGCCGGCCTTCGGGACCATCATGACATTGGACGGTGAGAAGGAATGGCTCGTATCTGGCATCTCTCCCGTATCTCTGTCTTGTGGACTCTTCCGGGGATGTGGCCGCTGCTCCGTCTTTGCCCGCATATGAGAGACTTGTACCTCGTAGATTCTGGGTTATCTTGTCCTGATCCAAGATAACGAATCCACAGCTGGCCTTTGGGGTTGGTGGCAAATTCAACCCGAACTCGCCTGCTTTCAGAGATTTTCTAGTGTGGTCGCGGCGCCAGGAAGTAGAAGATACACTTTGAGTAGTGTCATGAGAGATGAACTCATTGAGAACGGGGACGGCGGAGGGGTTTGCGCAGTTGAGGGTGCGGGTGCTTGGTGACGAAGGTGAGTGATGGCCATGTGTTGGTGTCGACGGCCCCTTATTGGGTGCTGGACTTGGGAGTCTTGGACCCCACCTGCCCGGTAGCCCTGGCTTGCTCTGGGTCTCAGCCCAACTGCTCGTCTGCAGCCTGTCGGACGCTGATCGCTAGCCACGCGGCATCCCCCAGAGTTCCTGCCTACAGGCCTATCAAGTCGAGCAGGAGCGCCCCGGGAGCTATTCGTTTGGTGCCTGGGGGGTGCGTTGTACATGAACCCGTGATGGCTCATTACCACCATGACCACAACTTCCGACCAGCCGCTCCACCGATTTCCGGAGGGTGAACTAGTGACGGGTGGGGTGAGCTCAGCTGGCCAATTCCCCATTCCATTTGCAGGCACTGTCGTTGACGCCCTTGGACCTGCACTGGTGACAGCAGGGCTCCTTTGTTTCTCGAGGGCCATGCCTAGCCGCGTCTTAGGCACCCCCAAGACCTCCAAGTCCTCGCATCACATCCCTTTCCAGAGGTGTCCTCATCTCCCTCCGTCGCCCCCCCATCCTCGTCCACCCTCGCCTACCCTCGCAGTTCTATCTGCAACTCTTGCATACAACAAACCCAACATTCCCCCAAACTGTCCGCCAACCAAATCGGCACCTGCACAACCACTTGCACAACCAACTTCACCCACCCACCCCGCTTTGTTTATCAGAACGTCCATTCACTTCCATTGTCCTGTCTTTCTCTTTCTTTCCCTCTACATCTTCCTTATCCAAAGGGAAGATTTCGCTACAGAGACCACCGTCCAGGTCGTCTCTTCTCGCCTAGCCCACGCTCACACTCAGAAGCTCACACAACTCTGCATCGCTGACCCAACGAACCACCTTTGGCCTGATCCTCTGCGCAACCTTGCTCAACCAGTGCCCTCAACCAGCGCCTGAATCCGATAACTGCTATCGTCACTTGTATCTGTCGAATACTGTCGTGTGGTGAGTCATACCCCCATCGCTATATCGCCATCTGGCTCTTCCCCCTTATGACGCGTCGCGATATCTCCTTCTCGTACCAGCTGACTCATAAAGCGCATAGCATCCAACACACGATTCCTCATCGCAGCATACCAAGAACAATGGCTCCTCCATCTGTTTCGGCTCTGGGTATGGCCCTTAACGGCAAGTCCGCGTCTGTCGACATACCAAAGCCTCGCGATGCCCTCAAAGGCCGGGACAACTTCACTGCTGTAACGGCCAACTCCTCCAACAAAAAGCGCTCTGGCATGTTGCCGACTCCTCCAAACTCCATCTCTCCGAATCTCCCACCGCGTGGCCATGGGCGCCGAGACAGCAACCAGCATGGTCCCATGTCGCCCAAGAGCACGGCGCTGGATTCGGACATCGACTTGCAAGATGCGCCCGATAAGCCAAAGCCCACCGCGCTGAGCGCTGAAGCCCTTGACAGTCTAGGCGATCTGGACTCAGCTGGCGCCATCACTCCAAGCATGCTGGCAAAACACCACCTTCCCGACATCTTGTTGTCTCACGGTCCGCTCGCCATCAGGCACATCATGGGCTATCTGACAACCTCGGTGCCTGGCTTCTCACGCATCACTTCGGCCAAAGCGCGTCGCTTGGTCGTAGCGGCGCTTGAAGGCAAAGGAGGTGGGCTAGAAGGCGCCGGCCGCGACGGAGACGTGATATTTGAAAAGGTCGGCTGGGGGCGATGGGACGCTCGGATGAAGGGTCAGCCACCGCGCGAGCGTCAAGGCTCTACCATCACTCCCCCAGGCAGTTTACCATCTTCTTACTCCCAGCCAGGCCTTCAAGTGCCGACTCAGCGTTCCTGGCGTACGGGATCTGAAAATCTGGGGACCAGTTACACCGGCAATTCGGCGGTCTTCTCGCATTCCGAAATGGATTACGAGGATCAAGATATGCTGGAGCATGAAGCCGACAAGATGTCCTTGGACAACGATGAGGATGGCTACGTCTCTTCCATCGCTCCAGAACCTCTTGATGAGGACCTCGGCGAAGGGGAGATGACGGACGAAGAGGACTGGGGCAGTATTGGAGCCGCAGCACTTCGAGCGAGGTCCCTCCCCAACCAGGGGCGATCGGTATCTGGTCCAGGCAGACTGTATCAACCCATAGCGACCTACTCTTATCGGCCAAGGTACCGCTCCAAGACCCCAGGCGACATTGCCCACACCGCCCCGACCAACCCGATGCCCGTCAACCACTCGACGACTTTTGCATTTCCCAATGGCGCTGGCGTCAACGACTCTCAGGAACGAGCTGCAATCGAAGCTCTCCTGAGTCTGGGATCTATGTAACATTATGATGACGTTTTGGAGACACGACCGTTTCTTTCTGGTGGACGGTCGACGTGCAATCTGGCCGGCATTCAACATGGCAAGCCCTTCTGAGGATGCACGGCACTCAGATGGCACTCGTGCTTCTGGACGAAGGTCACAGACTTTTTGGGCGTTTTGGGAATCTTTAATCACGACACCACATTCCACTGATGAACGACTTTTGACGACCTTGAGCCGCTGAGCTAAGCTGGCTCGGTTTGGTGGATGACCTCTTCTCTCTGTTAATCTTTACCAACAGCTGTGGAAGCTGTTACACAACTTCACTTCTACCCTGATCGACAGCTCGATCTCGGCCCTGACGACGGACAACGCTGCTTGATCGATCCGCACGTTGCCGGCTCGTGGCACCCTACCTCTCACGATATTTCATTTGTAATGCATGTTTCGGCTACCGCTAGGCAGCAGGAGAACCCAGACCAAAGCTGGGAAGGTTGCAATTCTGACAACTACTAAGGACGAAAAGGAGATGATGAAGAGCACACAACTCGTCTCGCAGGGGCTCTACTCACCGGTCCTCTTTATTGATCGTACTGGGAATATGGTTCTGCAGCTCTGTCATATTAGGTTATTGCACGGAGTGATGAGTTGCGTCGCCCAGAGAATTATCCTCTCTCAACTGGTATCTTGGTGTCAACATACGGTAATGGCACAGATGATAGGTATTGAGGCGAATGGTATACCTACAAGAATAACTACATCAAAACAC